GGTCCGATTCTGCTTGCGATTTTCAGTATCGTCGTCGACCATCTCAGCTACGGGTCACGCTTTTGCCGCCCGAGCGGCGTCGCGACTGAAAATTCAGAGCGAAATGTTATGATGCGAATCAGGCTTTAGCGTACAATCTGCGGCGTCCACGCGGAATGAATCGCCGCATGTCACATTATTCACGTGAAGTTTTGCGGTGTAATGAGCCTCGGTAATTTCGCTTACGCCGCTCAAGATAGTCAGACATCGCCAGGAAGACGTAGAACCAACAATTCGAACGCGAAAAAGGGCAGGGGGACTCACACCGAAGCCGACAACATCGCAGTTCAATGGTTTGTTTATGGGCGACGGCGAGCTTTTTGCCCACACCCCCCTCGCGCATGCGCGGCGCCGGTGGCGTCCGCTAGGGGCGCTCCGGGCGCTCCGGTTTGGCAGGGGTGCCCGTTATCGCCTTTGGTGTTTATGTTGTATCTGAGAGGATTGGAGGATAGACTAGAGAAGAGTGGGCTTGGGTTCAACCTTTCTTACAGTAAGCTAGGCCAAAAAATTCAGCAATCCTTACCGGGATTGATGTATGCGGATGATATTGTACTAATGGCTCAAAACATTGAGGAGAACACGCCATGCCCTAGCCTCCTGATGCCTGACATAACTCTGTCACTCGAGCACCTTCATGAAGCTTTTCGACAAATTAAGCCCTCGCTCTCACCAGGCCCTGACAACTTCCCACCGGCATTCCTCAGGCTGCTCTGCCCGCGGGTATCCCCATCTTTGTTATCAATATTCCAGTCTTTCCTGGACACGGCTGCTGTTCCAGACCTCTGGAAGCGGGCCTTGGTGACGCCTATCCACAAAGGGAAAGGCAAGCCTGTGAATGACGTCTCATCGTATCGGCCAGTCTCAGTCACTTCGATCCTGTGCAGAACTTTTGAGCGGATGCTAAATCGTACCCTTCTAGATTATCTGTCCGCCAGCAACATACTCTCCTCGTCGCAGCATGGATTTAGGCCAGGAAGAAGTTGCGAAACTGCCCTGGCCACCATCACGCACTACATAAGCGATGCGCTGGACGACCACACTTCCACGGACCTCATCCAACTAGACTATAGCAATGCGTTTGACACGCTGGACCATCACCTTCTTCTCCAGAAGCTCGCAGGGGTTGGTGTACACGGCTCCCTGCTACGTTGGATAGCTCGCTTCCTTATTGGTCGCTCTCACAAGGTGGTGTTCCACGGGTCTTCGTCTGAGGACTTCACCATTTCTTCGGGTGTGCCACAAGGCTCTGTGCTGGGACCCACTCTTTTCTCAGTGTATGTTAATGACATGCCGAAGACGGAGAACACCCTGCTTATCCAATACGCCGACGACACAACCATTTTGTCCCGTTTGAACCACCCTTCTTCTAGCTCCCGCCTTCAAGACCACATCTCCCTGATTGCAGACTGGTCTGCTGCCAACTATCTACGACTTAGCCTCACCAAAAGTGCTGCTATGCGCTTCAGTAAGAAGAAGAGTGTCGACCCCCCTTGCTATTCTTTCTCTGGCACTCCTGTGTCCGTCGCCACACACCTTCAAATTCTGGGGGTGACCCTTGCACCTACTTTGGATTTTACCTTACATATTTCCAACATCGTGGCAAAGGCACGTCGAACCCTCGGGTTCGTCACAAGGGTGTCGCGCTCCTGCGGTCCGGAGGCCTTTCGGATCCTCTATACCGCTCTGGTGCTCCCGCGTTTAGAATACTGCGCTTCAACCTGGAGCCCCTACCAAGCCCACCTCTCTCAGCGTCTGGAGGGGGTCCAGCGTCGCGCAACACGAACTCTCCTGTCGCGGACGGACCGGACGCTGGTCACCCCCCAGACCTATGAGGATCGACTGAGGCGCCTCAGCTGGCAGACATTAGACCATCTACGGGTCGTTGCGCGTGTGAGACTGTTGTGCCGCCTCCTGGACGGTTCACTAGAGAACACTTATCTCAACTCTGTCCTCCGCATTAGTAAGCGGTCCGGACAACCCGAGCAGCTACGGGCTCGCACAGTTCGCCATAGCCGCACGTTTCTTCCAGCTGCGATCGAGGCCTTCCTCTCGGCGCCCCTGGATGTGCGCTTCCCCATCCCAGAAGACCGGGCGGGATCCGCGCTTCTCTGCCGAGCCTTTTCGCGGGCGCGGAATTGATTGTGTGGGGAAGTTGCGTTCGGGCCGGGATTGCGGGACGCGCGTTGCTCTCGACTGTTGCCGTGATGGGGGGTCCTGTCGCGGGGGGAGGTGATTGGGATCGGGACCTGGCTCGCCCTCCCAAGGTGTTGGGCCTTTCTCGGTCTCTCCCTCCTGGCAGGGCCCCCCGTCGCGGCGATCGGAGTCGCGCGCGCTTCGCGATTTCGGTTTGGACGCCCTCTGAGGACACTCGGGCCGTGCTAGGGCCTCGTAAATGCGACCGATTGCGTAACTCCCCCCCCCCCCCTTTTATTATTGTTATTATTATTGTTATTATTATTTATTTTTTTTGTATTGTGTGCTTTTTGTTTGTTATGTTGAACTTTGTTTTCGTTTCCTGGGGGTTGGGCCAACAGACGCACCAGCGTACGGGCTTCCGCCTTTCTGTTTCGCCTCGCACGCCCCCAGGAAAACACCTGTCTGTGCAAATAAAGATTATTATTATTATTATTATTATTAACAGGACAGAGTTGCAGGAATTAATGAGCATCTGTGGTAGGGAAGGAGAGGAATTAGGTTTAGAATTCAGTAGCGAAAAATCGGCAGTCATGATTTTTAACGAGGATGAAGTTGAGAGGCTGAAGATACAGAATATTACAGTTGAGAGAGCTAGTAAATACAAGTATCTAGGAGTATGGATATGTGATGGTGCAGAATATCTCGGAGACCATGAAAAGTATATAATAGGTAAGGGCAACAGAAATGCAGCTGTAATGAAAAATAGAGCACTTTGGAATTACAACAGGTATGAGGTGGTGAGAGAGATTTGGAAAGGGGTCATGGTGCCTGGCTTGACTTTTGGAAACGCAGTGCTATGCATGAAATCCGAAGTGCATGCGAGACTAGAAATAAAACAGCGCGGAGTAGGTAGACTGGCTTTGGGGGCACATTGCAAAACGCCAAACCAGGGAGTACAAGGAGACATGGGATGGGCATCATTTGAGAGCAGGGAAGCGGTGAGCAAGGTAGAATTTGAGGATAGGTTGAGGCAAATGGACGGGGAGCAATGGGCACGAAGGGTTTTCAGCTATTTATACATGAGGAGTGTAGACACAAAGTGGAGACAGCGCACTAGGAAATTAAGAGGAAAGTTTTTGGGCTATAGCGAAGATACGGAAGAGCAAGTCTCAGTTAAGAAGAAAGTTAAGGCCACAGAAAGAGATTGGTGGCTAGAGGGAATGCAGACAAAGACGGCTCTGGAAAGCTATAGATTAAACAAAAGAGTTATTGCCAAAGAAAGCATTTATGACAATTCTAGGGGAAGCTCATTGCTGTTTGAGGCAAGAACGGGTGTTCTGCGAACCAGAACATACAGGGTGAAGTACCAGGAAATTGATACAGTGTGCACTGCTTGTGGAGAGGAGGACGAGACGGCTGAGCACTTGATACTCTACTGTAAAGGGCTTCACCCTATGCCTACCGAAGACAACATAGATTTAATAAAGTCATTGGGTTTTAGAGACAGCGAAGGGAGAGTGGATTTCAAGACTGTAGAGATTACCAAGCAAAGATTAAGTGAATGGTGGCAGAAATCGAGAGAAAACTAGGTATTTTCTTATCCACTGATGGCAAGGGGGTTTCATAGCCTCACTTTCTTTGCACTGCGGAGTGAATATAGATTTCACATTTAAATATTCTAAGCTTAAATGGTAAAACAAAATGGCTAGGTGGCGTAAGCTACCGCCCGATCCAAAGGGCTCAGCCGTATTCATCCATCCAATTGTTTGTAAACATGAGTATCTTGACATTTTTCTTTGTTCAAACCAGTTTATGTTTTATGTGCGAAAGTGGATGGTCCTTGAATTACCTACTGTAAGGCGGGTTCTGTATAGTCTTTCAGTTTCTGTTATGTGTTTACATATTTTCATTGTGACAAGTATTTTAATGTTTGATATAGTGCTGTGTTTTAATTTTCTTTGTGTGCACCACATCATAGACTGTAAAGTTGTTTGTGGGCACGTAAAATAAAGATTTATTATTATTATTATTATTATAATAACAAAAAACAAAGATTAATAAGTAACTTTTAGAGCCCAAAGGAAACTCCTGAAAAAGCGCAAGCAGACGTGACCTGTGCGCCGGTCAGGTGACGACGGCGGCGCACCAAAGCAGATAAACTTGTGCGGCGGCGGCGACGGCGGCGTGGAGAAAAGCGTTGAAGCGGCTTTGAAGCGGCGTCGCACAACGCTCAGCGTGCGGCGGCGGTGACGCAGCGCGGCGGCGCGCAGGCCTACCACGTGACCAACGGTGGCTTCCGCGGCGCCAACTACAAATTGTTTTGCCCTGTAAAAATAGCTCTAAATTTCTTTTTTCTTCATCGTAAATTTGTTTTATAATATTCTCTTTTCATCCTAGCCTGTGTACAAAAAAAGTTTTTTTTTCCTTTGCATGTGTTTTCTGTTACACAAAGCAAAGTAAGCGACCAGCACGTCACGAGACACTGCGAGGATCACGGGGAGAGCTGTCTGGTTGTCTGGGAATGCTGAGGGGAGATACTTGAGATGGCGATGGCGAGAGCGTACGGTCGAAAGGGAAAGGCTTGGGAAGCATAGTGAGCACGGTGGTGAGGTCACTGATCTCTATGCAATTGTCATAGAGATCAGTGGGTGAGGTGGTGTTTACGCAGTTGGCGTTGCAGTCTTGCGGTGTGGAGACCTAGGGGCCCATCGGGGGCGCTCGTGGTCGCTCACAGGCTTATCTCTAGATGATTTCTGTATATTTTAAGTCTCGATTCAGTATCCCTTTAACTATCGCCGCATTGCTGCACTTGTCTCACATTTCAGTTGATGGCTGCCTATCCGATTCCGCCTGCAACCCAGGAGAGATCTGCGAAAGACGGAAATGCACCCGTAAGTCGGAATCAAGCATGTCTGATTGACCCAAATTTCGGAACATGCCTTTCCATTCCGTGGCAACACCCATGGTCCCAGCAAAAACGATGTGTGTCGGCTCGAGCATCTCCCCGGTCGGTGCGTGGTAACGAGCATCCCTTTTCGCAGCTGGATGTCGCAGCGACGCGGACTGCACCTTTGACAAGGCCTGCATCAACACCCAGTGCACCAACCCGTGCCACATCCAGAACTCGTGCGGGCAGAACGCTGACTGCCGGCCCGTGGTGCACCGACCGCTGTGCACCTGCCGGTCGGGCTACGAGGGGAACCCCTACGACTACTGCAGCAGAGGTGACTGAATGCGTGCTGCACTCTGTCGTGCCACCCTTCGATGTATCTCTGCAATGGGTGTGGCAAAGTGAGCCGGTGCGGTAAAATTGCCGTGCAGGTACACTGGGTGCATTAAAGGGACACTGACACCCCCCCCCCCCCCCCCCCCCCCAAAAAAAAAAAAAAAAAAATTTGTTTTTAATTTTTTGCCAGGCGATTCATTATGGTGTCTGAAGACTACCCAATCGACATTTTGCTACAGGGTCGCATATATTTTTAATAAAAGCTAAAAAACGCAACTGCTCAAAACGAAACCGAAACCTCCGCACGGAGGTCGGAGAAATGTAGAGGATGAGAGAGTGCCGGAAGTCGCGTAACTAACCCGACCACGCATTTTTTTTTTATTTGGCCGCGCGCAGCAGATAATAGACATTGCGGGAATTGATTGCCGTGCGATTCCTTTGCAGTTACGTTTGCTCCGCTCGCTGTTCTGCACTTCAAGAGGAGTTGTTTTGTAGATTGAAGAGTTGGAAATGAGTAGTGAGTGCCCGTGGTGAATTCCGGTGATCGGCTCCGAAAAGAATACCCCCAAGATGTTGCGTGAAGAGCTGCCTCACATGTCCTGCATTTGAGAGCGGCATTGTGCGGCAGAGTCTGCACAAGTTTCCGAAAGATCAACAGGATTGGGACCAATGGCTGGCTGCAATTTCTGTAGAACAGTTGCGGGCATCTAGGAAAGCGGACGCTACCCGATTCGTATGCTCCTTGCATTTTGTGGAAAGTGACTACATTGAGTTTGCAGGCGTAAAAGAGGGAATCCTATACCATTTAATTCTGCAAAATAACATCCGCAACTTTTTTTTTTTTTTTTTTCAGTGATAATTGTAAAAACAACTAATGTAAATATTGCAAGTTGTTTCACAAAAAACTTTCAACCTTTCCACTCTCGTGAAGAAGGAAGAGCAGCAAAGTTGTAGCTTCTGTTCTCGGTGGTTGCTCTCCAGGCGGGCGATCTGCTCTTCTTTTGCAAGGGAATCTAAGCGCCCGACGCAGTCGAACTTTAGGCGATGGCGGCCTCGCAACGATTGCGAAACCATTCGCGCTGCTGCGCACATTGCCGCTCGTTCCGTTCCCGCTCTTCTCTCCGAAGAAATGTTGCCGCGCTCTATGAGCGACAGCGGCAAGCAGACAATCGGCAAACACAACACTCTGGACAGCTACCGCCATTTATGAGCGATGGCAGCAACTAGAGTGTTGTATTGACCACGGGTGTCGACATTTGTTTGGTACCGGACACGATCCTGGGAAAACTAGGCCTTAACGGCTCCGCTGTAAAAATGGAAAAAACGGTACGCTTGCGCTGGGAATTGAACCTGGGTCCGCTGCGCGTGAAGCGGACATCTTTCCACTGAGCTACTGGGGTAACTCTTTGTAGTAATACAGCCGGTCGACTTTAGGTCGGCAAGTTTACTGTCGATTTCCCTCCAGCAAAGGCACTCCCGGCTTGAAGTCGGGCAGCACCACGCATTGGCCACATTTGCACCTAGTAAATAAATTGTATGCGTTCATATTCAACTCGAAGTACGCACTTCGTGCTTGACGTTTCCACGAGCGATGTCTTCAGCCATCAGAAGGGGCGACAGCTTGGCGACGTCTTCGTGCAAATCGGCTTAGTGGTCGGCAAATCGTACGGGATGAATACCAATTTTTTTGATCGGTCCAAAATTTCTCTTTCAAAGAGAGGCAGATTCGCCGGTACCACGAACGACGGTTCTGATGCAGAGGTCCCATGTCCGTCGTCCGCTGCCATTGCCGTCCAGCTAGCAAGTCCCATGATACGCGATACAACACCATGTTGAGAATTACCCAGTGGACGCACAGAATGCTTCCGGTTCTCTGTGCAACTTTTTTTTCAATCAACTAATTTGCAACTTTTTAGAAGCCACAAAAAATTGTTTTCATATTTTCTTTTCTATTTTTAACATTGAGTGTGTGCCTTCAATGTCCGGCGACTTTGATTAAATTTCGTGGTTGTGTTTAAACCATAGAAAGCGGCATATGACCACGGAGAAGAGAGTGAGCGCGACTCAAGCCGGCCAGTTCTTGATCGGCGGTTTTAGGCCGGAAAGAAACCGAATGTTGAGTTGTAAATTCTGCTCTTGGTAGTTGAGTTCTCATATGTCACATATGACTAAAAACCTCGCAAGCATAAATACCCTGTCAGTGTCCCTTTAAGCTGCCAAAAGAGAGGCTCGAACGGGCCATCACGTTCCTCGTCGTCGCAGTGTGGCAACAGGTTCCATGGCCTAGCATTCCAGAAAGTAGAACGCCACGGCACCCTCTTCAGCTAGCACTCAGCCGTCTCGGCTCGTATTGCCGCCTACTGTATTACCGGTTCTGCCATATGCAGTGTTTTCAGCGCCAACATCTCGTCCATAAATGTGCACGTTTTGGATGTGCGAACTTCATTCCACATTCGCAAACGTCACAATAAGTTGCTGAGCAATACTGGTGGACATGTATGAGGTACTCGACTGATGTATTTTGTGAGCTTTTAAGCAGCTGTTTATTTCGCAAGCACTTGTTTTTCTGGTGCGCCTCTTGATCGAGATCTTCAATATAAAGCTAAATAAAAGCTCCCATTTAATTTTTTTTTTTGTCTTGCATCTAGCAGTAGTATATTGTTTTTGTTTTGTTGTGCAGTTGAGGTGAAGCCCGCTCCTGAGTGCATCCATGACCGTGACTGCTATGTTGGCAAGATCTGTGAGTCTCACGTCTGTGTTGGTGAGTCTGTCTTGTATAAATTGCAGTTTTTGATAACGAGCCTTTACGGCATGTGGTGAAGCTACTCTTAACTTCTGCTTGGTAATTAGTAATGTAACAACACATCTCAGGAAGCATTGTCTTCTTTTTATTGTATTGGAATAAAATAGAGCTTATGCGTACAGAAAGCACAGTATGAAAGTTATATCAAAAGTGCTCCAATTACAGCGAGGGAGTTGAGGTGAGAGAAGGTGACCAGGTGAAGAAAGGACACTTGAAGCAAAATTATTAAAAAATTTCTTCAGCTACAACATATTTAAAGGGAATTATGTTTCATTTATCTTTAGAGAGAATACGGCAAAGAATCCAATCACAAGCTCGTGTTCCCGAAACAAGCTCCAGTTGCAAGAACGTTTGCACAGAGAAAACAGCATCTCTACCATGATGATATTGGCATCATCCACCAAATCAAACATTTATGTTCAGAGATCATAAGGTCCGTCTACCTCTGAGATATGGCGACACTGGTTTACACTGTAGAGGAAAAATTTATCCAATGCAGTAGGACGGCTAACCTGGGGTCTTTAATCTGCATCACTCAGCTGTGATAATTGACTGCATGCTGATATTACGCTGACTCAGATAAAAATGGGCAGAGATAGGGGATTGTGCACTGGAATGCTAAATTATTTATTTTTAATGTGCTGCATGCAGAGGGCTGTCGCAGCGATGGCAACTGCCCCTTCGACCAGGCCTGCATCAGTCGTCAGTGCCAGAATCCCTGCAACTACGGCCACTGCGGCAAGAATGCCAAGTGCCTTCCCATCAGCCACAAGCCCATCTGCACCTGTCCTTCGGGACTCAGCGGGGATCCCAACATCGAGTGCATCATCCGTGAGTGTCACCCAACTGTTGGGAGGGAGATTCCGAGTATACACTGGTTTATTTCGCCTTCCGTTAGCACTCTGTTTGCCTTTTTTCCTTTTTAGTAGGGGTGTGCGAATATTCGAAACTTCGAATACTTTGCGAATAATGCTTGCTATTCGATTCGATTCGCTTCGCCCTTTCGCTGTTCGAACTATTCGAGTTCTTCGAATACTTCGAAAACTACGAATAACGCGGAACTCATTGATTAGTGTCGACTTGCGGTCGAGTTCTCTGTTTTGTTTTTGGACTGCGCAGTAGGGTTTCAAGCTTGGCAAACCTGCACAACCAACCTAAGTGTCTTTTTTTTTTTTTTTTTTGTAGGAAGGATTGGAAAGTTATTTGCACGCGGTAGCGCGATCTGTCCTATGCTTGCCGTAATGTCCGGATTGCAGAGTTGGCTAAGTGGTCGTGGCGCAAACGCTGCGATAGATAGGATGAAGGACTACGATTTGCAACGGCACATGCATCGTCACAACGGACCGCACGACGTTTCAGGCGTCCGCCCGAGACGTCTTGTATACGTTCCTGTCCACATTCATTTTTAATGTAGCACAACCTTATATTCGTGATTTTGTATCTACAGTGACTACAGTAGCCAAGGTGCTATGGATTTGGATATGGATTTATGGCTCACCTCGGCTATCGGTGATATCTGGCTTGTGTTATTTTCCGCTTGATTTTCCGGTTCATCAGTTTGCCAGTATTTCTTTTGTTATTTATTTCCACCCGTTTTCACTGGTAAAAGTGAGACTCCCCCCCCCCCCCCCCCCCCCCCCCCACCAAAAAAACAAAACAAAAACATATTCCTAATTTATTGCATCTTTGTGGCGCCCTCTATGGAAAGAACTATTGCACACGGAAAGACTCGAGATGGGGGATAGCCAGTGCGGTTGCACAGCGCGATCCTGCAATCTGAAACTCTGCTGTGGCCTGTCGACCCGCCTCCGCTTGTGTACTTCCGTTTACGTTCACGTGGTTGTGTTCACGAGCGTAAAACGAGATCGCACAAAGTAGAGATGCAATCATCGACTTTGTATTGCGGCTTGCGGACCCGCCACCGCTTGTGTACTTGCGTTTACGCTCAAGTTTCTCCTTTCGTCCGCGATGCTATCTCAGACTGCGTTGTGGCTTGCCGACCCGCCTTCACTTTTACACTTTCATTTACGTTCTCTAACCTCACTCAAGGAATGGTGTTTTACTGACTGATCTTTTTTCATCTGTTTTTTTTTAACAGTCACATGTGTGACGTTTTTCTTATTGCAATAAAAGTAACCTTTTCATAAACGTTTGTTCAAAAAAAATTCCAGTTGTGTTTTTTATTAAGCATTCTTGTTTAATTCACATCAAATAGAAAATATTTGTTTTCAAATATCTCCTTATTTGAAACTACTATTCGTATTCGAAAATATTCGATTCGATTCGATTCGTAAGCTTTATTATTCGATTCGATTCGAAAGATTTTGATATTCGCACACCTCTACTTTTTAGTACTTGCTCGTCCTCTTTAGTCTTAGTCATATTTATGCATGGCTAAGCATAGGTAATCTGCAAATCTCCCATATAGTATGTACATTGCACAACACTCCTGGCATGTATGTGCGATTGTCGGATTTTTCTGTTTTTCTCATAAAATACTTAAAATCGAAAGGTTGGTGTCAAAACCATTAGAGCGATGAAAAGTGTCCATTTTGGGCACTTTTGGCCGCCGATACCTGTCCAAGTAAAATGCGAAAAAGTGCCACAATCTTTTTTGCGCTAGCAGGGTCACCCACAAAAAGCAGTAGACAGAAGTAGAGCAGAACTAAATGAAAGTGTGTATTAGAAAGCCAAACATCCATTACAGGCCGACCTATAAAATAATTTCTTTGCGGGCTGTAAAATTTCTTCCTTCTTTCCTTGGAATTTGTCAAAGAAAAATGGAAGAAGCCCTTTTTCTGCGAGCTTTTAGGAATAAGATAATTTACAGCAGGGCACATAAGCAACACTTGGGAGACTTGGTGGAGTGTGATTGGGTTCAGCTTACTTGCCTACGGCACTTGGAAGAGAGGGAGCTGTGGTGCGGTTTTAGTGGAAAATATTATTTTTAGTTACGTACATAAAAGCAAGGGCTTAAACTTTTCAGTTTGCACACGGGTGGACTTGCCCAAAAGTGGTGCTTTTCCCTTTGTGCGCAATCGCACCGCTGTATAGCGACACCACTGCCACGAGCGTTGCTTGACGACAGCTCACATGTGCCATTGGTGGAGCGCATGCAACAATGCTAAAACAAACTTATCATAACAAATTCTGAAAGTGCACAAAATTATCTTAAGATGCTTCATTAATTGTAGTGAATATTCCAACGTTATTAATACTTGCACGTGTCTCAAAAACGAATGCCAAAAGCTACTTTTTAGTGTTTTTGTACACAAAACTTTTTTTAATTTTTTTTTTTCTTCAAGAGTTTTCTTATAGGTAAAGGAGCAAACAAAAAGGGAAATTGTGAGAAAGCATTTTAGAGAGAATTGTGAGACTAAGTGAGAAACTGAGACAAGCTCTGTTTTCCAGCCCGCCAAGACTATTGCTACCACGACAGTGACTGCCCCATCGGGCGCATCTGCGAGAAGGGCTCCTGCGTGGATGCCTGCCGCACGGACGACGCCTGTCCCTTCGACAAGGCGTGCATCCGCAACCGCTGCCAGAACCCCTGCAGTTTTCCGGGCGTGTGCGGCATCAATGCGGATTGCCGCCCCGCGAACCACCGCCTTGTCTGCATATGTTTGCCCGGGCTAACTGGAAACCCCGACGTTCACTGTGCTGAAGGTGAGTGCACCCTGTCTCATTTGTGGTCTTCCTTCTCTGCTTCTGCTTTTGTCAGAACGAAGGGAAATCAGCAAAGCTATAAAGTCACAGGTGATTGTCAGGTTGATGTAATAAATGCCGTTTTCGAGAAGTGCCTCAGTGTCACTAGGCTGGTTACAGAGTGACGATTTGGCAGGCAAACGGGTCAAATACTCCATGACGTGGAGAAACAAATAAATGCTAAAAAAGTTCTTTAGAAAAAAAAAAAAAAGAATTGGAGGTTTTTTCGTGTTTTTTTTTTTGCAATTGACAATGTAGTTAGTATTGGCACATATCAACAATGCTTGTACGGATCTTTGAAATGCTTCTCTAATTCTTTTCTGTTGCCTCGTTTTTTTTTACCCTATTATCAGTAAGGGAAGAAGGATGCAAGAGGGACAGCGAATGCACCTTTGGCCAGATTTGCGAAAACCACCTCTGCATTGGTGAGTTGGTATTCTGCTCGTACATTCATGCCTTCACAACTAAACAAGATGCCGAGAGCAACATTCTTTTTATACGAGCCACCTTCCTTGTAATCAGCTGAAGCGGTATTCTACCTCTAGAGTAGACAGTAAAAGTTTCGCTAGAGCTTCTGCAAACATTTAAACTAGTTGGATTGTCCAGTCGAATGACACTGCATTTGCGTCGCATTGTTGTGCGTTCCAGATGGCTGTCGGACGGACGATCAGTGCCTGCCGAGCGAGTCTTGTCACCGCGGGAAGTGTCAGAACCTGTGCAAACTGCCTGGGACGTGCGGCATCAACGCTCTCTGCATCACTGCCGCTCACCGGCCTGTCTGCTCTTGCGAGCGAGGTTTCATCGGAGATCCCAGGATCGAGTGCAGACCAGGTTGGTGGCCATTCGTCTTCCCAGCAGCGGGCTTTGGCTAAGACAAGATCTACAAGAGCCAAAGGATGAGAGCGTAAACTCGGTCCGACTGAAAGTGTGACGTGTCGGCCGACAACCAGACAACGCACTAGACTATGAGTACCGCGAGCCCATGTTTCGGTCGCCAGAGCTGGCCACGTATCATCGTGGAGTAAAACTGACCGAGTCAGAAGCTTGCAAATGCTGTCTGGTTACTTGCCTGTCTCGGGCTAGTAACATGAAGTTTGGAAACGGGGTCGTTTAGATTGAAACTGTTCCTATTTCAATAAATGATGAACTGGTGTATGTAGATTACTAAAATTACATCACTTGTAAAGGCTGCAGGGTTTATTTGGTACCTTTCTTTTGTACTCGAATGTTCCTCGCCTCATTCACGAGAAATGGTATGTCGATGACAGAAGCTTTTCGGCGCCGTTTCAGTGCCACCCGAACCACCAAAGGAGTGCCAGATTGACACCGACTGTGCCCTGAGGCACGTCTGTGAGAGCTACAAGTGCATCTGTAAGTATTTCCTCCGGCCCATGCATAGTAGTTTATCCATTCGGCATTTCAAACCGAAGACTTCGGAAAGTCGTCGAGCAAAAAGCATAACGAGAGCAGCAATTTGCATGGGATGTCACGCAAAGAGGATTGCACTACATTACTCGGATCGGGTTTCCGACTGTTGCATTTAACATCGTATACCGCCCAATAAGCATCAAAAGTGGTCTCGAAGTGGCTACAAATGACATCACGGGAGCCGGCGCGTCACGTTGTCAGGCGTCGCGATCTTGGCGGTCGGTCGTACGAGTTCAGGCAAAAGGCCCGAGCGAATGCGAGTGTCGCCGTCGTCGCGGCATCCCGACTCCTGGCTGCCGAGGCTTCCGTGGACTGTCGAGCCGGAGAGCGACTCGCAGTGGAACAGGAGTCTGCCTCATCCATCTCCGATGCCACGCCACTGCCAGGATCGCGGAAGGAAACGGCGTAACGCTTCCATGACGTCATTGGTGAAAATCGAGAGACAACATTTGAGGATGCGGTGAATTTCGCACCAGTCGGAGATGCATTCCGGGCACCATAGATGGCATCAAGTAGCAGAAGGTCCCACATTGTGACTTGACCATGATTCGATGCATGCTCATGCCCCATTTTCGTTTTCTCACTTCACCAGTCGGCTGTAGGACGGACGAGCGGTGCACGTCGGACGAGGCGTGTGTCAACGGCATCTGCCAGAACCCGTGCGGCGTGTTCGGCGCCTGTGGCCGTAACGCCCTGTGCCGTCCCATCAACCACCACACGGACTGTTCTTGTCTGCCTGGACACCGTGGCAACCCCAACGTTGTGTGCGTCAAGGGTGAATAAATTGCTCTTCTCTCTACCTTTCTCGAGGATTTCTTGGCATTTATAAGCTCCGTTGTCTCGTGAAGCCCCGCAGCCTCCTTCGAATAACTTTCGACATATAGATAATTTTCACAAAATCAGCATTTAGCAATCAAATAGTCCAATGTACTGGAAATTTTATGTTGTATCTAATAACCATCAGCTAGATTGTGAGACAAAACCCAACTGCTCCCCTCGTTTAATCGTCGTTTTAAAAGAGAACAACTGCTATTTCTTTTCTATGGTGACTGACGTCTTGCGCTTTTTTTCGTCCTTTTTGCCCCAGATGAGCCGAAGCCCGAGTGTACGAGAGACAGCGAATGCCTGACCGGATTCATCTGTGACAACAACCGCTGCATAGGTATGGCTGCTTGCTTTCTTTGTCTCGCATACCCGTGTAATGCGTGTTTATGAACAGTGAGAACAGCGCACGCAAGAGACGACGACGGAAGAGCGGAGCACACTCTCCTTTTTTTTCGTGGTCGACTTTTTATGTGTGCTGTTCTCTCCGTTTAAACATATGTACCATTAACGAGCCCGAGCTTCAGTCTTAACATGTAAGCTAACCCAGTCTGCCTCCTTTGACTACAGAGGGCTGTCGCCATGACAACAACTGTCCCGACGAGAAGGCCTGCGTCAACGGCCAGTGCCAGTACGTCTGCAGCCTGCCCAACATCTGCGGCCTCAACGCCGAATGCCAGCCCCGGAACCACCGTGCCCTGTGTTCCTGCCCCTCAGGCTTCCAGGGTGATGCCCAGATTGAGTGCAAAGAGAGTGAGTTTTTTTTCTTGCCACATTCACAAAGTAATAGAGAATGCCAGTTGGGAAGTTGTCCTGCTGGTTTCTGGTACAACATTTGCTGATCTCTGCCTGATCATTCTTGTCTGATCTTCTGCTTCAGTACGGGAGCCAGGCCCCTGCTTCCATGACACCGATTGTGCAGTCGGGAACATTTGCAACCAAGGAAACTGCATACGTAAGTTAATAAGCCACGAGAACTTCACCTTATTAGTACAGGTCACTGTGCAAACGCTAGGTGATCATTTGCATCTTAGTCTATTTATCTGCATCATCCAACTTTCTGAAAGTAGTATACTTGTCATGCATTTATGAGTTGCTTTTTGGAAACTCTGTATTAGCAGCTTTTACTAAGCAAAGAGACTATCAAAAGTAGCTGGTGTGTGGCAGCTCGTACACACTCGTAGACTTGAGAAAAAGGCCATATCGTGTCTATCAAAGGTTCTAAACATGTCCTAATGATATTGAATATACTGCTACTGTGTTTTGCCTGTTACCCGAAACGATTGAAAATGATGCCTGGACAATACCTTCAAGATTTGAAACTTGGGAACTGTATTTGTGAAGTAAAAAAACAATTTCCTAAAGCCGAATTTGAAGTTCCTGCGAGATCTGCGCCAGTGCATTGACGTCAAAGATTGAGTCATCTTGCAATTTGAGTTTCTCTCATGCCTCCAAACTGTCCCGACCTGAAGTGTTATGTTGGTACGCGTCCCGCGATCAACCGCTGTTATCCATGCGTGCTGTCTGTCGCTGTGAATAGACGATGCTTCGCTTATAAATTTGAAGTTCTTTTAGGGCCTTTTCAGCGATCTCAAATTCTTTGCAATGGTGCGAGGTCGAAGAGAATGCGCAGTGGACTTTTGTGACCGACGTGAGGGGCCACGTCATGCCAGTTCCGCTTGAAAGGCTGCCCCAGCAGAGTCGCAACGGAAACTACGGGTCACAGACACCAAACCCAGTGTTTTTGACTGTTTGACGATTTCCTTTTCGAAATTTGAGAGGTCGTTGGGCACCTAAGAAAGATAACTTCGTCCGATTCCCCGACTCACCGATCGTCCTCAGTGCTACATGTGCCGAGCGCCAGCTTGTTTTCTGAGGGAAGATAAGAAGCCAGGAGGCGGCATTACTCCGGACTGCGATTTTCAGTATTTCAGAAAGGGCTGTAGTGCGTTTGCAATTGCATTAAGGAACATGTTTCACAAATGCCTTTATTAAATATTATGGAAATGTCGCTAACAAAGCTTCTAAATTTCATAACCGATTATGTCACAAATAAAAAGAAGCAAGGAGATGAGAAGAGGCAGAGAAGAACGGCAAAAATAAAAAGGTGCGTGTGCGCATGAGGAAAGGTTTTTTCGCGTTGTATTTTTTTGCATGTCTATGACTACAACTTGCATTGTTTTAGACAAGAACAAAAAATACGACCTTTGAGATGTTGGTGCCTCTTTAATAAGCTATATCTGATGTTCACACAGGATGTTGGGGACATGGGACAGTATTAATGCCATCTTCGTTAATTAATGAAATAAAAGGCGCAAAAAGCATGTCGCAGAGAGTTCCCTTTTTTTTTCGCAGCGGGCTGTCGTAACAACGAGAACTGTCCCTTCCTGGAGGTGTGCCTGCGCAACGTGTGTCAAGACCCCTGCAAGGTGTACGGCGCATGTGGCATCAACGCCGTGTGCAAGGCCATCAACCACGACCGGGTCTGTGCCTGCCTGCCAGACCACACCGGGGATCCCAAGCACCACTGTGTTAAGGGTGAGTGTCTCATGCACTCCTTTACCGAGCTTCTTAGAGTATTCTGTGGCAGTGCAAAGACAAACAGCTTGTGCTGGCTTATTTAGCTTGACAATCTTTTACAGCGGAGCTTTTAAGGGCTAGTTTCCCCAGTATTGTGTCCACAGACAAACAAATGTCGACACAAAACTCCAGACAGCTACCGCCATCTACGAGCGACGGCGGCAACCTTTCCAGCCTTTCCACTATGGTTTTCGCTAGAGTGGGAAGGCTGATTTTCTCTAAGCGTCATCCTAGAGGCGTTGTCCTCTAGGCGTCGTCTTCGAGGTCGTCCTAGAAGTCGTCCTTGAGGTCATCCTCTAGGCAGCATCCTTGAGGTCGTCCAAGTCGTCCTTGAGGTCGTCCTAGATATTGTCCTAGACGTCGTAAAAATAACAGCTTCGCTGGTTTTCCATCTTCACGTGAAGTGGAAGAGCTGTACATTTTTTATGAGTAGAGATGCTCATTGCTACGATTTCGGTTTCAGTTCAACCGCCACCCGAATGCAACAGGGACGACGAGTGTCCTTATGGCCGCATCTGCGAACAGCACAAGTGCATCGGTACGGCTCAACCTTTACATTTGAGATTCTCGTGAAGACGGATCCTCATGTATTTGCCGTGTGGCAATTAACTGTTGAATGCTTTTGTTTTAGTAAGAAATGTTTTTAACGCGATAGCGTTAAAGAATTCGTGCTGCAGAAAATCGGTGGCGTGGCGCCGAAAAGCTGGTGTCGGTGGTGTGCAGCGAAAATCTTGATTGGTCGATAGGGTCACGACGTCACAGCCACGTGACCTCGTGCGGGAACTTCAAACAACCCACAACGCTCACGTGAAACGTGACGTCACGCGTGGAATGAATGTGATTAAAAGACATGACATGACATGTAATGTGAATTAAAGGTCGCTGCATGTCTCAAATGACTTCGCTGTATTAAGTAATTCATTAAGAAAAAATTTTAAGAATTTTAGGTAGGATTCAAACCTACGACCCTTTGGTTGCAAGCCAGACACATTACTGACCAGGCCACGCAAGGCACACTTTCACGGCTTGGGAACAAACGGGAGTTTATACGTTTCGCTATCGCGTTCCACTCTTGAAGGCTAAGCTTAAGTCTTCTCCAAGTTTTATAAATGCTGAGATGCTGAAGTAGAACTGATCAATTGCTTGCAGAGAAATTTAGAAGTAATTTTCCTCACCTGCCCCCCTCATGTTTCCAGTTGGCTGCCGGTCAGACGCCAACTGTCCATCAGACCTGGCTTGTATTCAGAACTGGTGCCAGAACCCGTGTCACCGAAGTGGGATCTGTGGCCGCGACGCTTTCTGCTCTCCCGTTAACCACCGGGAGCTCTGTTCTTGTGAGCACGGCTTCACCGGAGACCCCAACATTGCCTGCGACAAAGGTGAGGTTTTCCTCGTGCCTCCCATCTGTCTGCGCCGGCGGGTGCTGGAGGTTGGCGGGCGTGTCTGACGAAAACGCTTTTCTGTCCAACAGTTCCCGATGGCTCCTGCAGGAGAGACGAGGAGTGTGGCTTCGGCGCAATCTGCATCTCATCCAGATGTGTTGGTGAGTTGTTGCCAGAAATGTTGTTTTTTCATAGACTACAATAGATCCCTGTCACTTCATGGTTCTATTTATTGTTACCTAGTTGGTCATAGGGTGACCACCCGTCCCGCGACTCGCGGGACTGTCCTGCATTGAGGGCTGGTGTCCCGCATCCAGCGAGAAATTCCCAAATCTTTAAAATGTCCCGCATTTCACACTGTCGTAAAATTCGCTCTGCAACTCGTGGTGCTGCCCAACAACGGGGCACGGGGAAGTGCGGGGGTCGCTGGGAATTGTATGAATCACAATGGTACGCCATTTTCTATCCAAGCATAGCGGAAAGTGACTGTCGTTATTGCAGGAGAACCGACGCGCATGTGCCGTTGTGCCTCTCCCCTTGGAGGCAGAATATTGTGAGAGAAAATTGCTCGGCAAATTTTTAAATATAAAGTGCTGTAATTTTTTTCATATCGTTGTGTCAACGATATGAAAATATTGTTGACGCAACAAAAATATCATTGACACAACAAAAAAAAAATATTTTTTTTTTAGCGAAGGCAAAAAGCCTGCAACTCACAGCGGTCGAAAAAGAAAATAATGTTAAAAATGTGCGTAGGACCATGCTGATTACCCGAAAAAGATTTACTGCTTCTTAATTTCATTTTATGCTCTGAGTTCTGCTGCAGTTGATTTTTATACTTTCAACTTCGACACATTTAATAACATGAAGATATATCCCTGAGAGTGAAAATAATTTTAGACTTATTGCAATGCACTTTGCGGGTGTATAAACAGCGCAATATATTAAATGTGTTAACAGAGCCTCGATTCGTGTTGTGTGTGTTCGTAAATTCCTCGCCCCACCTCCACCCCCCTTCCCCAGTCCCGTGTGTCCCGCATTTCGCTAGCAGAAAGGTGGTTACCCTAGTTGGTCAGCATACAGAATAATGCTGGAAGTCTTGAGAAAAATTGGCCCTGACACTTCCAGGTTTTTTCCAGCTTTTTACTTTGTAGTATTAGAGTATAAGAAAATTATGAAAATAGTGAAGCAAATTTGTAATACTATGCCTGTGCTGGTACAGGCATGGTGCTGACAGGGTGAATTTGTCGATGTATAATAAAATTAAAAACTAGAAAAGGCTGATTTCTTTATGCAAAGGTATGTTCTATCATCTAATGTATATTAGGTATGAGATGGCAGGGCATGTGCTTTAATATTTTGTCGTCTTCTATCTTCGACTTGAAGTTTTCAGTTTATTTATTTTTTTCCAAAGCATACACTCAATATGTTAGGTGTGCCTTTTACGTAATAGATGGCACGATACGCAACAGGCCGCAAGTATTTCGACAGCTGCCTTTCACCGTCTGTGTAACTGTTGCATCGAGGATGGTGCAGGGGAACGTACAGAACTGTTTATTATAGAATTACGGCGGAAGACTGACTGCATCGTGCTACAAGATGGTGGGGCACACAACAAAGCTGTAGCTCTTTTTGCACTGGAAAAGTTTCCGGAAATACTAGCCCCCTGGTGGCCAAATACAACAGCTTTCACCTACAACCACAGCAGCTCTTTAATGGCCCTGTCTACTCTGTGCATTAACTCTAAGGGCGACCTCACTTCCTCCTCCGCAGAGGGCTGCCGCAGTGACGACAACTGCTTCTTCGACAAGGTCTGCATCAACGGCCACTGCCAGGACCCTTGCAGCCTGGGCGGGGTGTGCGGCATCAACACCCAGTGCCGCGCACACCACCACCAGGCCTCCTGCGAGTGCCTCCCCGGCTACACTGGCAACCCCGCTGATCGCTGCAGCCTGGGTGAGTCGCAGAGGCCGCCGCTCAGTTTGAAGTCCCCGCGAAATCGACCCGCGGTTCGTGCTCACAAGTTTCCCGCCTCTTGTCCCATGCTCGCAGTTCCCTTGCCCGAGTGCACGGAAGACCGCCACTGCGGCACGGGATATGTGTGCGTCAACGAGAAGTGCAAAGGTGCGTGTCATTGGTCGGTTGCTCTTTGCAGGTTCGCCGCAGAGTGAATGTGTGTCGGCTCGTCCGTTTGAATCTGGCATATTGTCTTTCAGAACAACGCGCAGCAGTAGTATATCTGAAGGAAACTTTCAGGATCGCAGGAGGGGCTGCAGAATTACAGACATATTTTAAAGCGGTAGCTTTATGTGGGAACCCTGAACAAGGCTCGCTTGCTTGTGCCGGTGTTGGTCACACCAAAGCAAGGCCGTGGGAGTGTGTTGGCAATGAGGGACAGCTGTAGATTTGGCATCGTAGCGGTGCGCTATTACTGCCCTTTCCCTACCCCACCCCTTTCTCCACTGCATAGGAACGGGGGCTGCATAGTAGGGTAGGCACCGCATATTAATAAAACAATCAAATAGACATGGAAGCATTTCTGAGTGCTACTCGTTAAAAACACCATCAAGAGCTATCACACTTTCATTGCATGTGACGGATCGTCAAAGCCACTCTATTTTTTTTGTAGCAGCCACGATTAAAACGGTTCTTGCATACTATCTATTTGTCCGAGCGAGCGTCGCATCACTGTGACTCTGCTCGCTGTGCGCAGACATCAACGAGTGCCTGCATGGCCTGGGCCCGTGCGCCCACGGTGCCACCTGCAGCAACCTGCCGGGCAGCTACAAGTGCAGCTGCCCCAACAACCTGGTGGGCGACCCCTACCACGGGCGCTGCCGACAGCGCATCCAGGGCTGCACCCGGGACACCGACTGCAAGGACAGCGAGGCCTGCAACACCCTCACCGAGCAGTGCTACGGTAAGCACCGCCCGTCTCTCGTCTGCTCGCACACACCATGGAAGTTTTTCCAACAGAGCACCGGAAGTGTGACCAACAGTCGGTGACGGGTTTAGAACCCAGTAGCTGCTCCTGCCTTCGACAAAACTTTGTCGCACGAGCGGATGAAGCCCTGACAGTGAGCATGCGCTGGAGGCGGAGCGTCTGCCGGATTCTTAACCTGTCGCTGACTCTATAGCTGCCGAATGTCCAAAGAATGCTGCAACTCATAAACTTCTTCTCACCATTCTTCAGTGGTGCAAATGTAGAGCCTAGATGATGTGGTTACTTTATGAGGCCAGTGTTGCTTGGCCATTTTTGCAGCTTCTTTATGAAATCTGTTTATGCAGCCACCTCTTCTTACCTCGAGGGGGGGGGGGGGGGGGGGGGGGGGAACCATAGGGCCTGAGCCCCCCCCCAAAATCTTCCATTTTGCTGGGGCCTCCTCTCCCCCCTCCCCTTCATACAGCATTTTGTCATGTACGTGCCTGGTGCACGTTGACCTGCATTCGTACAACTTTAATGGTGGCAGTCTTGTGGTTGTTAAAGGTGCTTCACCCATTTTTTTTTCGAACATTTCTATAAAAATTTGGAATTATTTTGTGTCAATATGAATTCCCACTTAAAATGTTGCAGCACGCGCTATTCCCAGTTTGTTCTGTAGTTATCTTTCCACGAGAATTGATTTGAGCTAAAAAAATCCACCTGCCGAATTGTGCCTACTGTTTGTTGTCTGGCTTGTCTTGTATGTGTTGTTGTTAATGTTAAGTTGAGTTTTGCTGCTTTATGCTCAGAGTTCCTATTTTTCGACTGCCATCACAGACGCTTGCCTAAAGCCCGGTGTCTGCGGTCGTGGTGCCGAATGCCGTGGCGTGTATCACCGCCCAGAGTGCTACTGCCCCAGTGGACTTCGTGGAAATCCCAACGTGGAGTGCTCCATTGGTAGGCACGAGTTTTGCATGTTTACTATACTTACCCGGAAAGTAGGTGCTCTGTTTTGAGCACATATTTTAAATATTATGTTCAAGACATTTTTCTTGCGTGAGTATGTTTAGCACTTTGCCAATTCGTGGAATGTTGGGGCTGCAAAGATGTCATCTCAAGCCTTATTTTGAAAATGCTACAATTCATTGCACTTTTTTCTTTTATCACCAAATGTGTGCTGTGTTTGTTCAAGGCATCTTTTTGGCCTGTGAATGAAATTGATGTCATGCACTGCTTATCCTTCTTTCAACATGTTGAAGGAAAAATAGCAAAGAATCCTGAAAGTAAATTCAAATATTTGATTCATGAAATGTACTTGCTTGGCTTGATGCAGCAGTTCTTTTTCTTTATCTCATTTAAGCACATGCACCAGTGAGCTTGTCTCTTCAGTGCGAGTAAGAACCTAGAATGTTTTGGGTCTGTTAAAAAGCTTTGACTTCTTTTGGCAGATATATAAAAAGCGATGGCAGTATCGTGTTATTTAGCCTAGTCTCAGCTCGTAACTGAAAGAGCATAATCCTTTTGCTCGTCAGCTCGACCTTGCATCCATCACCACGAGTGTCCAGGAAACCTTCAGTGCCTTGGAGATCGCTGCGGCTGCCCGAAGCCTTTCCTGCAAAGGAACTATTTCTGCATTCGTACGTATATAAAAGTTTTTATTTAAGTTGTGGGTTACTCTAGTCACTTATCGTATGCTATACTTAAGGCACTTAGCCTATATTTCAGGGCACGGCCCTTACGTGAGCGTACGCAGTGTTATCACCGCGCGCATCAACATTAAATGGTGCGACACGTTTCATTTTTGCCATTACAGTGACGAGCATCAACTGCACCACGACCAATCCCTGCGCGGAGAACCAGGAGTGCGTCTACGAGGGCGGTCAAGTGGGCTTCTGCGTCTGCCCCAAGGGATTTGTTCTGATGCCAAATGGAATCTGCAGGGGTAGGTGCACTTCCCCATTAGGACCTTGATCGATGGTTTTGAGCGGAGAGAGTTGTCATGCCTCTCCCATTCTTCATTGTCCAGTTCAGTCTTGATCTTTTTTTTGTGTCTGGGATCTAACTCTGAGCAACGTCTCCTCCTTGCTAGATATCAACGAATGCGAGCAACACCCGTTCCCGTGCGCGCACGGTGCTCAGTGCTACAACAACATTGGCAGCTACCAGTGCACATGCCCGCCAGGCACGTCGGGAGAGCCGTTCCATCACGGATGTGAGTGCCATCCGAACCACCTCGGCTTTTGGCTTTGGGATGGTGTGATGATTTAGTCTTGCCTCTGCAACGATCAATTCGTGCATCACATTCCATGCAGGCGAACCTCCCAGAGGGGAATGTACCAGAGACACCGACTGTGCGACCAACAAGGCTTGCGACGTATATCTGCTGAAATGTTACGGTGAGCTTTTGTCTATGGTTTAGATTTTTTCTGCTTGTTATTGGGGCTGGGCGACGAAGCAATAATTGGTCGGGTTTTTTCCCTGGCATTATTCAGTGAAACACTACAGCAAGAAAAAGATCTCTTCGGAGTTTTCATGCATGTGTTTAGAAACGAGTTGTTAAGTATGAGAGGGATGCACGAGCTTAAGTCGTTTCCCCTTTTCCAACGATAGACCCGTGTCTCTCGGCCGACGCCTGCGGAGAGTATGCGAGGTGCCGCGTCATCAGCCACAGGCCGACGTGCGAGTGCCCGCCCGGATATTCGGGCAATCCTCAAGTCTACTGCCACAAATGTGAGAGAACCCTGCTCTTCATACACAGAACCAATTGCAGAATTTTTGCACCATTGTATTGACTGAATTTGTTAAGAACTGCACAAAACATTGAACGCAGTCATGATGCTGAGCAGACTTTTTTCCCATTGCCGAATTTCGCTTTGCAACATTTGTTTTTTTTCTATACGTAGTGGTTGGCTGTCCGCACGAGTTCCAGTGTCCAGGAAACCTTCTCTGCTTGGACAACGGCTACTGCGGATGCCCTTCGGTGTTCCACAGGAAATACGACTACTGCATTGGTAAGTGGCACCAACTACCGTTGTAATATCTTCTCGCCCTGTATTCCTTACATTTTCCTTGCATCTTCTCTTCTTTGCAATACTATTTACTGTGTCAATGTACTTAAAATGTTATAACATCCAGTTATCTGCTGGCTCGTTGCTTGGTCTTATCAAAACTTGGCCATGAAAGAGATCAATTTGATTTCTTTTGCGTTTGACAATTTCTTGATTACCATACAATGCCACGCAAGTGCCCACCCAAAATGTTTGAGGTAATCTTATACCGAGGAATGGGCACTTCTTAGGCCAGAGATAAAGAATGCAGAAGGGGTGCATTCTAGGATGGGCTTCACCGCTTTGCACCGACATGTTTGCGTCAATCTTCACCGCTTTGGACCGACGTGTGTGCGTCAATCTTCACCGCTTTGCACCGGCATGCACGGAGAAGCAGCTGATGCGGGGGAGCATCTCGGTTAGCTGGGTCGGCTCAAAAGCTGGGGGTGGGTGCTTCTTCGTTTAGCAGCTCGTGTCGCAGAAAATCCGGCGTCAACGTCGGATTCGGCATGAGAGGAAAATCCTGATTGGTCGAAACGGTCATGACGTCAGAATCACATGACTTTGTGCGGGAATTTCAAACAGCCCACAACGCTCACGTGTAACGTGACGTTACGCGTGGAATCAAAGTGATTAAAACATGACATGTAATGCGAATTAAAGGTTGCCGCATGTCTCATATAATTTCACTTTATAAAGTTGTATCTGGACTAGAAACTGATTGCTTCTAGTCTAGAAACTCTATAAACTGATCGTTATATCTGGTATCAATGAAAGTGGATTGCAGTGTAAATCATTTGCCTTAAAGAAAAAAATTTTAAGAATTTTAGGCGTAGGCGGAGGCAGAATTCAAACCCACGACCCTTCAGCTACGAGCCAGACATGCCACCGATTAGGCCACGCAGACACGCTTGCATGGCTTGGGAACGAGCGAGGGTTTATATGTTTAGTTATCGCATTCCGCTCTTAAAGATGAAGGTTAAGCTCCTCCTGTAAATTTTGTGACATGGCTGCATGCTCCGTGTTTTATGTAGTGGCTTATGTTCATACGTATACAGTAAAACCTCGTTATAACAAAATGGGATATAACAAACTAATGGATATAACAAAGCAATCATAATTCCCCTTGCTTGCTATAGTGGGAAGAAATGGACATCGGCTATAACAAACTAATGGTTATAACTAAATGATTAGGACCGCTCCTTCAACTTTGTTATAACGAGGTTTTACTGTACTTAGTGCTTTACGAAATTAAAGTGCGTTTGTGATAATCGGTCAGTTGTGCAAGCTCGAGAGTCTTTGGTGAATCCGTTCTGCACTCACTCTCCGACTGTAGCCACCAGCAGAAACTGTTCCACAACCAACCCGTGTGCCATCAACGAGGAGTGTGTCTACACGGGCAGACAGACCGGCTTCTGCGTCTGTCCACGGGGCTACAGGTTGCAGCCAAATGGCGTCTGCAGGGGTGAGAGGATCGCCCAGTTTCTGCCTCGGACACTTGAAAGGCCCAGTTCCTTTACTAGGGCTCTTTGACCCATTATTATTAGGGTGGAAGCCTTGTATGTCTCATCGTTCAGTCGACCTTCAAAGTCCTTGAGCGAAAACACGTCGGCGACACGAAAGGTGCCGTGACCACTCAGGCGAATTGGAGGCAATGAAAGTAAGGACAGCAAAGGCGAATTAAGAGGAATCAGAGTGAATTAAGAGGAATTAAAGGGAATTAAGAGTAATTTTGGAGAAGTAAAAGTAATCAATGGGAATTAAGCATACTCAAAGCTAATTAAGAAGGACCACACAGCTAATTAAGAGGAATTAAGGCGAATTAAGTGGATGACTAAGCGAATTAAGATGATGACTCGGCACATTGGGAAGGATGACTCAGCACATTAAGAAGGATGACTCAGCACATTAAGAGGGGTGTCTGTCTTTAATGCATCTGTGCTCCGGCTTTCCGCTTTCGCCCTCATGCATGTGTCTTGGGGATAGCATAACAGACACTGAATTTTGATGTCTTTTTTAGAGAAAATTGCTAGTTACAGTTTTGCCTTGGGCCAAGGACGAGGGTCGGAGGTTCAGTGTGCCTGCCACAGGTGACCGTAGCAATGTTTCCTTTATCTGGTCCTATTCGTTTACCATGTGAACTATACTACTCATTGTGGAAGCTATAGCAAACAGAACAAAACATGTAGGATACTGTATGATGCGTTGCAGTATTTTGTGCTGTTGCCACTTTCCATTGCTTAATTCAGCAGAATAATAACCATCTGTTGGGTGCTGCAGTCTCGGGCCTGAAACGGCGACCGACCTCATCAGTGTTGACCAGTTTAGGGTAGCAGGTTTGTGGTTGTAAAGTAATGCTCTTGAACTTAAAGTGACAGAAAAAATCCTCTACACACCATACTGAGAAAGTGGCTAGAAACTTCCAGTTCCACTGGTGTTGTCTGATACGGCGACATGGTTTTCATGGTTCCCTAAACCCCCTCCATTTCCTCGACCGTCCCTTCCGTTAAGTAAAACGTTTTTCCAGTTTATGCACTGATTTGGCAGATCTGAGTCGGTCACTGATGGGTAACTATGAACCAAACACTCTCTAGATGGGCATTACAGTTTACGAGGCCTGTAGACGTCTGCACCGCTTCATTGCATTCATTGCTGAGACTGGGAAGGGCTCCTTAACTTCCATTCAAGGCAGATTTCTTGAGATGAAAAAATTTAGGAACCCCTGTCTTAAGGTACAATATTTTCTGGTCTATGAGTTGCACCCCCTATAAAGAACCATTTCCACAAAAAAGTTGCTGCATAAGTCTCACTTATATGTTTGTACGTTCGGCGGGGCAAAACTGTTTTGATTAACCGGCATATTATGTATTGTGATCAAATGTGTACAAAAGCAGGAGCCGGTTTCGGTATTCTCTCCAACGAATCAAACAATTAGATACTGTATACAGATTTCCGCAGCTAAGGTTCATACTCATAGGAAAAAATGCCTATAACTTGCACTGTTGTATAAAATGCACAGGCAGAAATTTTTGAGAAACAAAAATGTCTCTTTATAAGTTTATACAATGCAAAATATGGTATCTGGAAATTGGTGGTTTCACTGCGTGCGCAGCTTGTTGATGTTCGGAGACTGGAAAACTGACTGTTTCCTTGTCCGCCCGCAGACATTGACGAGTGCGTAGAACTGACCCCTCGGCCGTGCTCGAGAGGTGCCACCTGCATCAACCTGCCCGGGACCTTTGAGTGCAAATGCCCTCCGACGACGGACGGGGACCCTTACCACGGGGACTGCCTGCCCAGGGAAGTGCCCCCCAAACCCAGGTGCACCACGGACGACGACTGCCCTCTCCACGAAGCCTGTGACCTCTCAAAGCAAGACTGCTATGGTGAGCTTGCTCTGGGGTCCCTCTTAAAGGCACGAAGCGTATGCTAGGGTAGCTTGGTGTACTCGGGACCGCAGATATTTTTACGTAGATTCTGCCTTGGTGCAAGCTAATTTCATGTATCGCTTTGTGCTGGTTTGTTTAGTTTGTGATCAAAGTACTCTCTACGTGACCCATCTACTGCCATCACCTTCATGTTTGGTGCTTTACTCGACTCAGATGACCGGTGAATTATGCACATTACACAAGGAAAGGCAGTGCTAAAAGTAATCACCCTCTCACTCGAGTGAGACCCATGTTAGTGGAAATTTTGACACAACAAAAAGCTTTTTTATGAGACATCTTGTGAGATGCTTTTCAGAAGTAGAGTTTTGCTAGTGGTCTCACTTGGATTTGATCGGTCTCGTTCAATCTCCTCATGTTCTCTTATATGTGTTGTGGTTGATAGAGCAGCACAGTATGTTTTCTTGGCATCAAAACCCTGATATTGAAGAGATTCGAGACCTAAACGTGATTTCTTCTTCAGATCTAGAGCTCTTTGTCTTCCTCAATTAGCAAAAGAAGACAATTATAAACTTTGGTAGGTCTGTTTCAGAACCTGCAAATATGTGTATAGCCCATGCAAACCTATCAAATATTTCAGAATATATCAATTTTGGAGAGACTTGCATCATACATTTAACCCATTTCTAACGAAGTGTTAGAGCCTCAATTATTACTGGTATTTTAGTGCTTTGACTATTTTGGTGCTCTCTCTACATACCAACATTTTAACTCCTTTGTAGTCATGTGCAAATATAGTAGATTTTGAGTTGGAAGCGAATGGTGTTTTTGGACGAATATTTTCTGATTGAATATTGAATACCATAATTATTTGAATATACATCGACCACAAATATATGTCAATGACTTTATATTAAACTCACCAAAAAAAAAATTCAATATAGGTCAATTGTTTTTTTGGTTTTTAATTTTTGAAGAACAAAGGAAAGTTTGGGCAAAAGAAAGGAACAAACCGTTATTTACGGTGCTCTCAGCTAAATCGCAGCGCAATGCTCTTAATCATTGTCATAACTTCTGGACATGTTATTCGTCGTCGGAAGCTTCGTCTGCTTCGTAGACATCCTCACAAATTTGCAACAATACCTCACTGGCATTCTTGAAAAATAACAACAAGAAACGAAAGAAGGTAGAGACGGGCGAAGCGATGAAAGACGAAATACAAAGATGTGAGCAACGCCGCGAGTCGCCGTGAGCAACACGCAAACCGCCATAAGCAACAAACAAAAATAACCTTTGTTGTTTTTGTTTCTTTTTGGTGCGTGTTGGTGAGGGAGAGAGGGATGGAGGGGAGGGGGCAAGGTGCGTGGCGCATTGCGTCCCTCCCCCTTCTCTTCCCCCCCCCCCCCCTTGCGTAGCGAGGGGCATGCGTGAACGGTGGTGGCAGCGGACAGGCACGAAACCCGACGCCCGAGGGATTCACGCGAGTGGCGGCCACGGTGGGCGGGCCTCCGGCAGCTGCTGTTTCGGTTGTTTTCATGCACCAAAAGCTTTCTAAAACAAGAAGCGGCGCAGCTCTACGGCGTCGCCAGCTCGGTAACTCGATAGCTCCATGCCCTAGGTAGGGTCTCAGAACTTGGTCACAAATGTAGGTAGAAATTCTTTAATTATGATTATAGGTTGACCCCTAATTTTTGACACCATTTCTGAAAAAAAAAAAAAAAAAGGTTGACTTATATTTGAATAAATACATAGTTTCTCCAAACCTTTCACTACTGACCCATTTAAGCTGAACTTGAAATGGTAGTTTTGAAGCTTCCATTTGTCTATATCTAGATAAAGTTAATTTTAATCTAGCTGTATTTATGGACTGTGACCTCAGAAAGTCCACTGTTGACACTGGAATGGAAAGTAAACAATGCATTTTACATACAATTAAACCTATAGAGGTGCAAGCTATACCTAATTGAGGGGATTTGTGAATCTTCTTGCTATATTCAAATATCCTCTCTTAAATCTCGACTTTGAGAAAAGAAAAAAAAAAGACAATAAATAATGATGACTGCAGGTTGTCAGGACATCTCTGCCTAATTAAACTTGTGGCATAATAGCCACAAGTTTAATTTTGAAAATTTCACTGTAGTGTAGATATTAGCATTCACAAAGTTTAGGTTTCTTTTTAATACACCGAGCCTGTGTGTGCACCATCCCATTTTTAAAGTGGCCTTTCCCTCTAAGCATGCGACTGCAATACTTGTACTTTTTGAAGTGTTGATTGCGGCAGGTGTAATGCGGAGGAGCAACACTTGCGGAAGCGAGCTCCACAGGTGTTACTTCTCTGCGGTGCATTGGTGCTCGGTAAGAAGAGCGCTCAACTTGGCCAGCCCACTGTGGATAACACTTCAAAAAATATGAATATCGGAGTTAATATTGAAACAAACATTGAATAGCATAATATTGTAGACTACACTTTGAATTTTAATATTCGCGCAACACTACTCTTTTCTTTAAAAGAAATTGAAATGTTCCTCATTGCACAATGATTCTGACATTCATATGCCTTTTCATCTGTTCTCTCCAGACCCCTGCGTCCACGACCCCTGTGGGTTCGAAGCGGTGTGCCGTGTGGAGAACCACAAGACAGTCTGCGTCTGTCCGCCGAGCTACACGGGCAACCCGCTGATCCGATGTTTGAGAGGTGTGCACAGCAACCTAACTTTCTGCTCGCTTGTCATGTTGCCTAGTACACCGTTTGTGCACGTGGTGACGTGCCTCCAGCTTGATGAAGAGATCTTTTCACGTATTCTCCTTCCGCTCGACCTTGTGGAAACGAATGACAGCGTATGATGACTATGCATATAAAGTCGCAGTCAAGTTTCGCTAAGAGACAGGTTCTTTGGGGCTGAAGAAGTTTGGCTAAATGTCAGCTATCATTCTGTGTCTTCCTGGAAGGTTTACTTTCAAGTTCTTTCTATCTTCGTGCTTTGCGTATTTCTATCAGCCATCTTCGTGCTTTGCGTGGACATTGCACACATGCTTTTCTTCAACGTTGCAGTGGAAGTTTGCGGTGTGGACTACAACTGCCCGGGCAACCTCATCTGCCTGTCGAGCAGCACCTGTGGCTGTCCTCCCAACTACGACCGTGTCGGAGAGTTCTGCATCTGTAAGTTTCTAGTCTCGGCTCACCCTGACACGAGTCTTTGGTAGAGTATATTCGAATTAAGATAGTTTTTCAAAGCACTCCAAGGTTCCCACTATTAAGGGCACAGGCCCCAGGAATTCTAATATCAAAGTTGCAATGAAAACATATTTTATTGTTCCTGTCAGGAAACTAGTGTACTTTTCAGTGTTCAATGTAGACAAGACCTAGCACTTGACAAATGTATCATTTGATAAGGTACCACCTCATCTTACCAAAACATTCCAGTGACTGATCATGTTCGTGACACCAGAAGAGTAACAATCTGAAGATTCTCGACATTGAGCATACAAACTGTCAAACAGATTCAAGTTCACTAATAAATTTGTAGATATATCGAAGGAAAAAGAGATTGATATCAGTAAACAAAAATAAATGGTTTCATACAATTCGGCTGAAAGACCACTCGAAAGAAAGTTGTTCTGTGTCGTGGTGGTAACCAACAAGTGAGAGGCAATTGAGTGCTATGTCATCAGAGGCAGCCAAGCCGGCAATGTGGGCGAGTTGGTTTATCGTCAAAAAGAATAAGGAACTAAATACGCTTGTCTTGTTTAGTTCCTTACTCTGTCTTCATTCCTTGTGCGCTCTTTTGCCTTTTTGAGAAAACCAGTCGAGATGAAAATAGGGAATTCTAAAGACGGAGTCTTAGATCGTGAAGTGAAGTGGACGCTGTATGAAACTGAGGAACTCCTGGAAAGGTGTTAAGGCCATTTGACTCACTTTATTTAAACTGCATTAAGTTGAGGAATGCTGTTTTTATGTCCCTCACACTGAACTATACTTTCCCAGTGACCAGCAGAAACTGCACAACGACCAACCCCTGCTCTCAGAACGAGGACTGCATCTACGTCGGGCACCAGCAAGGCTTCTGCGTCTGTCCCCGAGGCTTTGAGCTGCAGCCTAACGGGGTGTGCAGAGGTGTGTGTTCGGTCATTCCTCCGGTCAAGACCTGTCCAAACAGGATACTCCAAAAATCGCGCGACGCTCCGCTTTCGTTCGTTTTTGTTTTTTTTGCTAGAAGGGGAAGTTTCCTCTGTCAAGGGTCGCCCATGGCTTTTGTTGGGGTCGTTGAACGTGCTCCTCACGTGGCTCCGAACAGCTACTAACAAGCTCTGTTGGCTGTCGGTCAATCCCTCAAGGCCTTCAGGTCCCGAAAACGGTAAAGGGAAGGGCTGTGTTCAAAACCTTACCCAAATAGATCCGAGCTACTCTGGCGGGTCGTGTCACGTGATAACACAGATAGGACAATTGCTGGACGCGGGTAGGTTTTCGAACGCAAAGGTACGAAACCCTTACTCTGAAGTAAATTTTGGAACACAGCCAAGGATTCGAGGGCCCGGAAGATCAGATGGACAGTATTGGCAGGTGGCATGTGACGTCAAGTCTCACGAGAACGGGTCTGTGAAAAGTGGAGGAAGCGAGGAGCGAAATTGTGATGTTCGCTTGGCCAGTGTCCAAACAGACATCGGACTGCCGGACACCTCAATTTCCACGATTTTTGACGGAGTCGCTTCGCCCCATGATTTTTGTAGTATCCTGTTTGGACAGGCCTTAACAGTGTCTCCAGCCACAGTTTCCTCATACGAAAATTAATGAGGATTCTTTGTAGGAAGGAGCAGTGTTTATCGTGTACAGAATAGGTCAAACTTTTTAGTGTATGCTTGACATAGTGACAGTGGCAGGCTAGCTAAAGAAACTTCTTCAGTATGCGCATTGTTGTAGGGACCTCAAATCCTACATGACTTCAAACTCCTTTTACCTTATCTGGCATTGCTGCTACATTGAAAAGACAGCTGCTGCATGCATAACTGTTCATTGGGTTTCTAAATGGCATTAGTTTTCACTACATTACTCTTATAGCATACAAAATTAAATTTTATGTTTTCTCAGCTCTTACTGATTATAAATCATGACATTGCAAAATACTCACAGAAAAGAAGGAACAGGAAGCACAATAATATGTGAAGGGTACATACTAGAGAGCTCCATGGCAATTTTGAGTGCTGCTTTTGATGCTTGTCTGCCTCTGTGTTTCTGTCATAGTTACTTACTGAACGTGCTGATTTCTTAGGCCTATGTTCGTATGTACCCTGCTCATCTCTAGGCATGGGCGAATAAAGGATTGGGTGCAAATCGAATTCGAAGCGAATAGTGATATTGGCCGAATAATTTTGAATCGATTAGTTCGAGTAGTACAAGCAACAAATACCACAAGACATGTTTAAACTATAGTTCTATATTTGTCCTTATTTGGTATTAGAAGTGCTGTAATTGTTAATTTCAAATGTACTGAGTTCGGGAGCACGAAATGGTCGGAATGGTCGGAACCTTGCACCACCTGGCCAGAGATCCAAGCCAGAGTGTTCGGAAATGTCGAATAATTTCCTATCATCGAATGCTTAAATTCGATTCAAAGCATATGCTGAATAGAACAGAATTCGATGGGCTATTCGTAATAACCGAATATTCGCCCATCCCTGCTCGTCTCGTATATATTTGAAGAGCGTTACTTCAACCAGCAACGTCAGCAAGTTGTCAGAAGACAGGAATAAGTGAACGGCAATTGATTTCCTTTCCATTCCAGACATCAATGAGTGCGTCACGATCCATAATCCGTGCGCTCCGCACGCCAACTGCGTCAACCTGCCCGGCAGCTACGACTGTGTCTGCCCCCCCGGCACCGTGGGAGATCCTTTCATTCATGGATGTGAGTTTTCATTTGCTTTGGCTCCTGCATCTGGAGGTACTTGTCTCCGGTAAAGGCCGATTCCCATGTTTGTGTCTGAGATCGACTGAGTGCGTCATGCCACTCGATAACTGCTGACATCCCAAGAACGCTTCCGGTCTCTGCATATATCTTCTAACTTTTCACACATCATTATTTTTGCAGTGGGCTTCAAATAATTTTGACAATGTTATAATTGCGACAACTTCTCATAGATGGTGCATAGCTTCGATCTCGCAAATACTGCTAAATCTTCAGTCTAGTTATACACGGTCACAAGCCGTCATAATGATCACACAATAGGTAGCACAAATATGAACGTCCTTTATTTAGAATATGTTGTCACGCTTGGAAGTCGAAACTGCCTACACACTCTGAGCACAGTCTTGTTTTTGCGCTTTCCTTAGAAACGTCTGGTAAAGACAGCCTATATTGTTTTGCGCACAACCTGTTTGCACAAAGGACTATGTTAATTATTTTTCTTTTCAGGCGAACACATCGAGGAGAGCTGCAGAACGAACGACGACTGTGCTTTGGACAAGGAGTGCAACAGGCGTACACACCAGTGTGTTCGTAAGTTTCAAACTCCCCCTCTCTCTCTTTTTCCTTCAAGAATTATCGTATTTGCACGAATATAATGCGAGTTTTTTTTATTCTAAATTACGTGTTCCAAAGCGCATCTCGCTTTATATTCGGAATCGAGTTCAGCCACGAGGTGCACGAGTCTGGAGAAAGCCATCCCTCTGGCTCAATGCAGGAGATCGGGTGGGAAGAGAAGTGGGGGTGTGGGAGGGAATTCATTAGCTATTGGGCCACGTGAAGGGGCGAATAGCAAACTTAAAAAACATTTTTATCGCTTTTGCATTTGTACAACGCACGCCGAAGAGCGCGTCATGCGTCCACTGACCCATTCAAGTCAAGCCAAGCCAAGTCAAGTCAACATAAGTTAAGCCAAGACCACCGACTCTGTTTACTGTTTACGCGATCGTGCAACGCGAGGCGTTTGTTTATGCTGAGGTACGAGAACAAGGAAGATTGTGATTGTGTATCAGGTCCAGTAGTCTTCTTTTCTGCCTGCGCATTTTTTAGTTTCTGCTCCAGAGTGGTCAAGGGTTTGTGTGTTGGTGCTTCTGCTTCATACTTTGCTTTGCTTGTGGGTTACCGAGGAGCTCACGCCCAAAAAAAAGAAACTACCAGACAAGTGGTGCCATGCTCCTGCATATCTGCAAAGAACTCGCCAAGTGGATTGCGAGCAAAAGGACCTGAGCAGTGAGGATCAGTGCAGTCAAAACATAAACTGATATTTCCTCGATTTCCATTGCCTTTTCACTTCTGCTATGCTTCCAGGCGTGGTAAATTTACGTGGCCTCGGCGCGCATTATAATAGTAATAGTATTTTTAATGTAAAAGCATTAACTGTCCCATGGAGCGAACCGACGTCATCAGCTTTGAAGCTGTGCCAAACGGCACCTGAATGCCCCTTTCCCAATGCCACCAGAGAAGCCCTCTCCATGGCGGCGCAGCGCACGGAGCGACCCGGCCGTCGGTAAGAGAAAGCGGCTGGCGCAGAGCCCGCTCGGGCAAACTTCAAAGAGGCTGCATGGCCGATCTCGGCGCGGTGCGGCCACTTCACGAGAGTGCGCGCTCGTCCGTCGGCAGCAACCTCCTCAGTAGGGAAACGTGGCCGACCACGCCACTATGCTGCAGACGAACTAAGGGAGCGGAAGAACGGCATTCATGCTTTCGCATTCACAACTCGTAAGGAGTGCTTAGGTGTCCACTTTTTCTCCTTATTTTTAGGGCATCAAGACATGCCCTCACACTATATTCGTGGTTGCGTTATATTCGTTCAAATACGGTATGTGTGTTTTTCTTTTGTTTGAATCGCGATAGTCCAGGATGTCTTGGCAGAGCTTTGAAATGATATAAATCACCTCTGTCTCCTTTTGCAGCACCTTGCCACATCTGTGGTCCCAGCTCCACGTGCACAGTCACCAACCATGTTGCCATTTGCGTGTGTCCCCCGGATCTGATTGGAGATGCCTACGACAAGATTCACGGATGCTACCATGGTGCGGAGAGAAGCACTTCCTTCGCCTTCTTCGGATGAGTGACGAGAAAACAGCAGTCGACCACCACCTTGTCCACTGCAGTCCAGTTGCGATGTTAAAAAAAAGTATTAACAAGGGCTAGAAAGAGATCCCCTGGGAAATGAACCCCGCACAGGCATGCATTGTATACTGTAAACGACTTAACTTTCGCGAGGACCTAATTTTCGCGAATTTTGCGAATCACTCACAATTCGCGAAAAATAGGTCCTGCGAACAATTTCGGTAAAAGGTAAACACATAGGAATCTATATTGAGATTCCACCGCGTCTCGAAAATTACAACCCGCGAATTATTCCAAAATTTCAGCTTTGACCTAAATTGTAAAATATTGAACCCATGAAAAAAAAAATGAAAGCCGTTTACAACTCCCTGTAACGCCGAATTAGAGCGCAGCTCTTGAGGAGGAGGAGGGAAGGGTACTGGGGGTGGGTCAAGTGACCTGGGGGGGCGGGGGGTCACGTGACCTTGGGGGTCACGTGACCTTGTGGGTCACGTGACCTTGTGGGTCACGTGACCTTGTGGGAGTCACGTGACCTTGGGGCGTCACGTGACGTCGGGGGGTCACGTGACCTGGGGCCACGTGACGATACCGATGACGTCATCAGTAGCGTCACTGATGACGCCATCAGTGATGATGATGACGATGCGGATGCCGGTGACGTCATCAGTGACGTCACTAATGACGTCATCAGTGATGATGCGGATGCCGGTGACGTCATCAGTGACGTCACTGACGACGTCATCAGTGCCTATGACGTCAACGGGGGGTCACGTGACCTCGGGGGGTATCCCCAGGTCACGTGACCCCAGGGGGGTCACGACCTGGGTAACCATCGTGACCCTCGTGAGGGTAACCCTAGTAACCCTTGTGAGGGCAACTCTCGTGACCCTCGTGAGGGTAACTCTCGTGACCCTCGTAAGGGTAACTCTCATAACCCTCGTGACCCTCGTGAGGGTAACTAACCCTCGTAACCCTCGTGAGGGTTACGAGGGTGAGTAACCCTCGTGAGGGTAACTCTCATAACCCTCGTGACCCTCGTGAGGGTAACCCTCGTGAAGGTTACCCTCACGAGGGTTACTAACCCTCGAAACCCTCAAAAGGGTTACCTTCACGAGGGTTACCCTCACGAGGGTTACTAACCCTCGTAACCCTCGTGAGGGTTACAAGGGTAAGTAACCCTTGCGAGGGTTAGTTACCCTTGTAACCCTCACGAGGGTTACAAGGGTAACTAACCCTTGTAACCCTCGTAACCCTCGTGAGGGTTACGAGGGTTACCCTCGTAACCCTCACGAGGGTTACGAGGGTTAGTTACCCTCGTGGCCCTCGTGATCCTCGTGAGGGTAACCCTCATGAGATTAACCCTCGTAACCCTCACGAGGGTTACGAGGGTTGCGGTTACGCCGACGCCGACGGCGACGCCGCTCAAGCCGGGAACGGGCCCCTAAGAGCTGCGCTCTAAAAGTTGTTTACAGTATTCATTTCATACTAATGAGCTCATTAAGAGAGACCAAGGAGTATGCACAATGCAGATGCTTTTACTAAAGACTGATGTGGATTATGACTGGAGTCTGTTCTAACCAGAATGGGTATTAGGAAAGAACAAGCTTATTGAAACCTCCGAAATTTAAAAGGTAGTGATTTTTTATTGAGCTGTATCGACAATTATCAACAGCCTGTTCTTTGGGTCATACGAGGCTCGCTAGGCACCGAGCATGATGACAGCAATTAGCAAAATGGATGCCACCACTACCGAACCAAAGCCGCATAATGCCCGAAATAATGACTGCTGTCGAAGGGTTCGCTGTAATGGAATGGTGAACTACTTACAAACTTCCTAATATAGTTGGTTATATCCAAATGTATGTAATAACAGAATCTGTAAGAAGCAAAGTTGGCTCAGTGGCATAGATAGGAAGACCAACCAAACTTAACAAATCGGCATGTTATAACTGAATGTCTGCTGTTACCAGATCTGTTGGTAACGAGGTTAAACTGAGCTGATCTAGGCAGGAGGGATGCATTGTAATCAGGGGTGTGTGAATACTTGAATTCGAATCGAATAGCAAGTTCCCAAATAATTCAATTTGCGAGTCAAATTCCTAGTATATTTGGTAACTCGAATATTCAATATATTCGACCAGAGACACACGGTCGGCGTGGAACTGACAAAAGAGCTGTTTTTTTCTCCCGATGTTAGCACAGGGATGTTAGACAGACCATGCAAGAAACACCTTTTGGTCCTACCATTCCACAAAAATCTAACGTACAGGTTAGGGAGAAGAGAAGTAACGAACGCCACAAATTTCATAGCACGCAGATTTAATCATGATTGTGACACAATTTAACCTTGAATCACAACCAAAACATCCCGTTTGCGCCGCTTCCATAGAGGAATTGTTGGGAGGCCGGAATTCCACGCCATGCCTAATTATTTTCACGAGTAAAGCCTCTCGTTTCAATTTGAGGCGTCGATCTAGAACACAGTTGCCACACTCACAGAAATCGGCGACTGCGATATCACAAAAAGAAAACCACGTTAACCACGCCGATAAAACCAGCCGAGTTGTCGTCGTCGTTTTGCAACCGCAAGCCGCATGTTTAGATTTGGAACAAAATGCAATGGAAAAATAGTGTGCCTAGATTTGAGAGGGTTTCCGACCGTTCGATAGCCGCGTTTCAAATATGAGCTGCAAGAAGGTGACGAAAAGACGAAAGCGTCGATCGGGCAGGCGTCGTCACTTTTCTGTTTGCTCGCCTTTTTTCCACGCGACAACGCAACACTTGCACACTTACGACCAGTCTGCGCAGGAGCCGTCTCCGTGGTTTCGGTTTCGCTTGCTCCATCTTTTAAATCTAGGCTCTCTAAAATAGGATAGATAGACGGAGGAATCGATGCATATCGGCTGTTGCGCCACTGCGCCACCTTACCACATGTTTCTTTTTACTTCAGATTATATTGTTTATTACTGAGATTTAACACATATCTGTTTATTTGTAGAAAATAAAATCCTGGGTGCCCTTTTTTGCCTCTACAATTGAGACCAAACATCGCAAAATGCCTCTTTTTGTGAGATATAGAAATACAAAGAAAAGGACATGTCGCGGTGTTAGGTCGTGCTTTTAACAAGAGAAAAAGACAGGTGTGGCTGTAACTTTGGTTTTTTTTTGTGATGCTTAGGGCAAATAGATTATGTGTGCGCCATAAAATTGGATCTTTAGTGCCCCACGTCTGTCAGCAGCTGCTTTTCTTTTTTTTCACCAGAACTTCTATACATTTGAGCTTTTGTTCTGTACGAGATGCATATTCTTCATTAAGTGCATACTCTGCAGATATAATATTCTCATTCACAGCACATTTTGAAAAATTCCTACAAATAAAATCACTATTCAATATTCGGCTTTTTTTTTCTTAATTCGATTCTGCATTCGATTCGACAACTACTATTCGGTATTCGCACACCCCTATTTGTAATGCTTCTTCCAATTGTCCTTTTTCAAGCGGTCTTTCAATGCAGAACGGCACGTCATGCGACTTGGTATTGAGTTTTGGTGTCGTCTGACGTCACGGTGTTGCGTGACGTCATGATATCCTGTGACATTGTGCAATATCTTGTGTTTCCAGGAGTTCCTCCACCTCCCAGGACGGTACCTCCAGTGCCAGACGTTCCTCCCGGCGGCCTTGATGGTACGTAAGCAACTAGAACAAACTTGCCAAGTGCCACCTGGCTAGTACACTATTATAGTTTTGAGAAAGGTACACTTCTTGCCTAGTATATTGTGATCCTGAAAAATTGGAATGGCCTCTTTGAGCTAGGGTAATTATGAATGAAAGAACAACCAAGGTGGCCAGAAGGGGAAGGAATACCTACAATGTTTGAATAACTGCCTGCGCACTAAAAGTATATTTTTGAGTTGAGTCTGTGAAAAGTATTGTGGATACACATACTGGTAATCTCTCCTTTTTTCTTTTTTAAGGCAAAAGCCTTACTTATCCCATTGCGTGAAAAAGCGACGTCATTGTGCTCGAAAGGTGGCCATAAAATTGTCATCAAGCACACACCGCTCAACCGTATGCTCAAGGATGATGCCGTCCTTGGCGTCGTCCTTGAGGTCATCCTAGACGTTGTCCTCTAGGCGTCATTCTCGACATCGTCCTAAACGTCCTCTAGGCATCGTTCTTGACATCGTCCTTGAGGTTGTCCTAGGAGCTGTCCTAGAAGCCCTAGACATCGTTCCTGATGTCATCCTAGGGGTCGTCCTAGGCATCGTTCTCGACGTCGTCCTAGAGGTCGTCCTAGAAGTCGTCCTCGACATTGTCTGAGAGGTCGTCCTAGATGCTGTACTACTTGGCGTCAATCTCTAGGACGTCATCCTATACGTCCTAAACTTTAATACGTGCAGAAACATTACTCGAAGACATTTCACCCGTGGGACTATAATGCTTTTGCCTTCCTATGCATAAGCAGTCTTAAGTGTCCTCCTGTAATTTCTCTTATGTTTTCAAAACTCAGGTAGTAAAAAGTTAGTGCTACACTTCAAGCTAAGGTTTTTTTCTAGGACTCAAATTGCCATTCAAATATGTTTTATGAAGTTGCATCGTTTCAAACAGAAGTATGGATGAACTTTGACATTGCAAGATTTTAATACAGTCGCCGACCGATTTCTCGAATGACACTAATTCGGACTAGCTTGATATTTCGGACCTGAACCATGACGTACCCAATAGAAATAGTGCATATTCACGGCCGGTGTTTCGGACAGCTCGAAGTCTGAAAGTTTCATTTTTCGGACAAAATCGTCACGAGCAATCAGCGGGAAACACCACCGAGTAGCCACCATTTTAGATTCTATGTTGGCTGCACATGGTTTGCCTTGGTTTGGCAGCACTACTCAAGTACTGCTAAGTCGTACCAGTAAATGACGCTATGCTACAAATTTTTTTTTCTAGTTGCGCGTCATTATTATAATTACTGTTGCCATTTTGCTTTGTTCATTCGCCCTTCTGCAGTCGTGGACTTGCGCCTCTCATTTCGTCTCTACGAATTGTGTTTTCGGACTACGCTGTTTTGAATGTCATGGCCCCACCTATTCTTCCACCACTGCAAAGTGTCGCTAAGAAGCACGGAAAGTACTCGACCATAAGGCTAGAAAAGAAGGTAGCAATTCTAAAGCTAATGGAAAGTGGCCGAACGCAAGCAGAGGCGTAAATGGAAGCAAGGCACTATCAATGGGTTTTGATGCCCGCTTAGCCGTAATAAAGGCAACTTTTTTAATCTGCTGATTTTTTGGACTGCTCTATTAAAAATCGGTCGGCGACTATGTACAAAATTAAATATAGTGTATGATATCAAAACTCCTGCAGCTTTTTGCCACAGTGTGCGAAGAAGTACCAGCGATAGCTGTTACTGCGCGTAGTGATATCCACTTTTGTGCACATCCACTCTTTATTCTCTCCATCACACACAATGCAGCCTTATGGTCACTGAAGTATCTAGGAAAGGGAACACACTGCACACGCAAGCCAGCGTCCCTGCCTAAGGCTAAATTGGGATAGGTACAGTTATGAGTGATGGGTTGCTTTACATCCGACAGTGCATGCGCACCGCAGTGAGGAATGAGTGGCGGCATCCCCTGCCAACCGCAGAAGTAGAAGACACCACTGCCTGGCAAGAGCCAAGTTCGCGCGCTCTGCCTGGCATCACAGGGTAGTGCACATGCGAGTGCATGGGAGACGTTTCCTGCCTGGCACGACGCTGATTCCGCGAGTGCAATTGAAAAGTTTCTATAACGGCTATCGCCGTAGAAAGCTTGCCAAGATTAGGAAAAGTTGCACACTTGATCCGGGAGCAGAGAACCCTACTATAGACGTGACCTCTATCGTGTGCAGTGATGTGCCTGGCGGACGGGGTGCAAGTGCTGGTACAGCTGGACAGCTTCAACGGGGTGATCTACGTGAAAGGCCACAGCCAGGACCCCCAGTGCCGGCGCATCGTGTCGAGCAGCGAGCGGGAAACGGTGGACTTCAAGGTGCTCTTCAACACGTGCGGCCTAGTGCACATCAATGGGGAGGCCTCCTTCATTCTGGTCATCCAGAAGCACCCCAAGCTGGTCACCTACCGGGCCCGAGCCTACCACATCAAGTGCGTCTACAACACCGGCGAGAAGACTGTCACCCTCGGCTTCAACGTCAGGTACGTGCCTCTTCTTGTCGTCTGCCCGGCCGATCTACTGTAGAATACCGAGCATGCGCCCGTGTCAGTGCAAGTGCCCACCGGCTACTCTATAAATGTTTGAAAAATAAGCAAAGGACATATCAATCATCCACCCCAAACTTCTGAATCTACCTGGCTGACCAAGATACTTCTCCGCGTTGGCCACCTCTACAAGCATGCCAGTGCGGAGCAGTGAGGCCCATTCCACCTTGTGGCCCATGTGCATTTTTGTTCTCAAACCTAACAAGCACCCAGCCCATAGCTTCTAAAGATATAATTCCATATTCTGGGTCGGCGCTTGCTCAGTATCTTACATAGTGCCATCTCTCGGCCCTACTATGAACAGGTGGTTTCTCTTTGCTTTCGTTCTGCTTGTTGGTGCACCGTTTTGTCCAGCAAAAAAAAAATAAAAATAGAAACAGCTTGGTTTGCTGTGGCATTTGCACCCAGTCTTGCTGATTTGGTTCTCCTGATACTCCCAGGTGAAGATGAGTCCACTTGTGGACAGGGGTCGATTTATTGGTCAGGTCAGGGAGGGGCGGTAGGTATTTGGCTGGCGGAGGGTGGGGAGCCTGTTGAGATATGACGTTACGGTCGAAACATTGCCCAGATCTATTTTTTTGACCCAATATTTGCTATGTCACGAAAATCTAAACTTTTGGCTAATGCATATAAGTGATTTTATTAAAACAAAGTTGACCTTAAGAAACTTGGGGGGGGGGGGGGGGGGATGGATTGTTGCACCATTTGTGCCAAAGTGCGCCAGAACGAATAAATTGCTACATGCTGCTACAAGGGCTGTATTTGTGCACAATTTGCGCCATGTCTGCACCAAAAGGGAGCTGTTCTTTAAAGGGAAACTGAAAGTGTCTCTCACATGGCATTGTTGGCAATGCTACTAAATATAAAAAAGTACATTTTTTTAATGCTTTTTTTATGTTTAAGCTTTATGTGTAAAGAGTAGGGTTGCGCAAATATTTGAATTTTCAAATAGTAGTTTCAAATAATATGTTATTTGATATTCACTTCAAAATTAACTGCGTTCATACTTTTTGAAGTGTTGATAGCGGCGGGCTAGCCCCCTTAAGTGTGCTTCTCCTCAAGCAATGGTGCACTGCGGAGAAGCAATACCCGCGAAGCTAACACCGCAATCTTTCGACTCGCTTCGCCGCAGAGCAGCAGCGCGCTTAGGTGAAAAACACACCTTCAAAGCGGTATGGTGCACGCGCACGCGTGGTGTATAAAAATTTAAAAAAAGGAAACATTGTGATTGATAATATATGTAAAACAGTGCACAAGCAGGGGAGGAAGAAAATAGGACACAGGAAAGAGCAGTGCTCTTTTCTGTGTCTTATTTTCTTCCCCTGTGCTTGTGCACTGTTTTAGGTATGACTTCGAAGTACCAGCTAGCTCAACTCTCTACGTTACCACAGTTATTGTTGATATTTATATTGCTCTAAAACCTTCAAAATTTAACTGTGGCTGTTATGCAAGGGTATATGTTAGGCAGCGATGTTCTAGCAACCTGTGATCATTATTTTTTTTTTTTAATTCAGATTTGAAGAAAATATTTGCATATAGCAAGAATATTTATAAATCCCTTTAATTAGGTATGGCTGGGCTCCTTTATAGGTTTATTTTTATGTCAAATCTGTCGTTTACTTGCCATCCTTATGTTGGTGTTGGACTTTCTGAGGCCACAATCTATACATATAGCTAGATTAAATTTAACAGAGCTCATAAGTGGTGCATTTAGAAGCTTGGGAACAACCTCTGCCAGTTCAGCTGAATTTTCGTTTAAGTGTGGTGTAACAGTAGTGAAAGGTGTGGAGAAAGGTACAGCAACTATTCAATATTCTATTAAAAATGTTTGGCCAAAACCACTATATACACTAATTCGCTTCCAACTCAAAATCCATTATTTGCACATGCCTAACTACCACTACCACATTCAACATGAAAGTGTCCGTTTGATGGCGAACTCATGACGATTACGTCACCGTGACACAAACCCTAAAAAGTGCCAAAAACATATTTACGTCAAACACAGACCGAAGACGCCGTTGGTAGTCCTAATATGTTAATTGAGACATCTGCAAAATTACCTATGTATGAATGTTCAATAAATAAATAAATGTCTGTAGTGTCCAGGCCCCCGGTAGGTATGACACTTTAAATAGTCACTCAACACTCCAACAACTGCATTTCTTTTCCTCAGGCTAACTTTCACAGAGATTGTATAAAAGTTTCTGATATGAAAGCTCAAGATTATTGGCTCGAAGAATGGGAATCTCTGCTCCAAAACCTGTTGTTCTCTTCTACAAAAGCTGCTCCAACTCGCCACTTGTCAGTTCCACCACTCCAGTTCCATAATCCAGCTATAAGTGCACTGGTGTTTGTGCATTTTGGATAAAACATTTAGATAGCTTGGAGTGCCTTTGTGGACATTTGTTTTTTCCTAAAAAAATGATAAGATCTTCTTGCATCATTCTTAGTTTTTTTCTTGTGCACCTTAAAAAAAAAAAAAATCTGTGTACACAAGTTGAAGGAAAGAAAGCTTTCATGAAGCAGCATTATTCACACAGCCTCTGATATCCTTGATGGACTACATTTTGCTTTCAATTTCAAAATCATTTTGTAAAAACAATATTTTCTAGAGGGAAACGAGGTAGAACCAAACATCATATGGGAAGGAACCATAGACAGTTTAGCTCTTTGGGGAAATGTCTTGTAGGGAATGTGCTGCAGCAGATATTTGTCGGGTATCACTCTAGGTACTATCATGAACGTTGTCTGTGCAACTGTTGTGGGAGCATAATTTCTCACTGAGTTTTTCAAATTTTACTAGTTGATATACAGTTTAAATATGCATTGCTTATGAATGATGAGCTTGATGTGCTGCACCATGTGCTGCAATATGCATGCTTTGATTTTTAGCAGAAAACTGTTCATAAGGCAGTAGTCATGAAAGAATTACCCATTCAACCCCAGACCAAACTAGGACTGGCAGAGCCAAGTGTCAGATGACAATGTCTTTTAAATGTGCATGCATGAGACCTTCCCTGTTTGCTTCCCTGCAGCATGATCACGACATCTGGCACCATTGCCAATACGGGTCCCCCGCCCACCTGCCAGATGCAGATCTGCACTGTGGATGGCAAGGAGGTCAGCAGCGCCGAGATCGGTGACGACCTCCTGCTGAAGGTCACGGTGCAGCCCCACGGTACGGCACCCACATCATCCGGCACCTCCGGTGCCACTTTTCAGCTCTTGTCACCGATTGCACTCGTTCGATGTCACTTTATGCCTGAAACTGTGCAATATAGTAATAATAATAATAATCTTTAAATGACCAAAAATAACCACAATGGACTTTTGATTGGTTTACTTTCATAAGGACGTATGGTAAGTAAGAAAAAAAAAAAATATATATGTATATATATATATACAATCACACTCAAGACAGGCTCAGTTAAAATTACTGTCATAATTCTCGCATTCAGGGCCAACAAACAGTTTGCCATAGTGCTGAAATATTGTAAATATACATTAGGAAGTTTGCAATTAAGGGGGAACACTGGTCTTGGAGCTTTTTTTCTTATTTTATGACCGAACCCAATGAAACTGCACAAGCTCGTTCAGCTTTTTGGGTTGATTTCATATATCTGGTCCTTAGTCAGTACAGTTGTCCTCAAGAGAATTAAAACTTGCCTGCCTTTGTTTGGAGCAACGATAGGGAAAAAAGTGCTCAACAAAATATCCTTTTTAACACATGGCTATATACTATGAAGTGTAGATAATACAATGTTGGAAGTACTTTTAAGATAAACCCATTATTAGTGATTTTACCACACATTGAAGTTCAGTGCTCAGTGTAGGGCTAACAAGTAATAATACAAAAGATCAAATAAAAATTTTTCTAGGCTTACATTAAAAAATCTACTCTCAACATTGTATGCATCACACATTTAGCTACACATTGCAGGAAAAGTTATATTTCTATCTGCACTAATGCTGAGATATCCCTCCTGCAAATTTTCAATGAGTCCAAAAATTGTGTTTTGTGAAAATAATGTTTTACAGTCAACTTCAATACAGATTCAGCCCATATAGACATTATGAATTGATATATGGCTCAAATATTCATCCACGGAATTAGAAGCCTGGTAGATTCGGAAGAACAACAGCTATCGCCATTTTCGAAAGAATGCAGTTTTAGAAAGTTTTTGGCTCCAAAGACCCATGTCCCCCCTTAAGATGAGGAAACATGCTAAAGAAAAACAAACCACATCCAGGCCTAAAACGTGATGATGGAGAGATTGCTATTTGTTGTACTGTCTGTATCATGCTGAAGAAGTGGCTGCACACCTCGATGTCCATACCAACAAAAAGACTGTTCATTGGTGGCACACGCGTGAACCGGGCGTTAAAGAGAGAACATTTTCAGCTGCCACTTCGTGAGGAAACTGAGGGCAAGCTAGCGTGTACGAAGTATTTCAGCCGCCTTGACGCAAACGATGGCTTTCATCAGATCCCACTCGATAAACAGTCCGATACACCTTCACTCTCTACCCCCGATTTGTATTTATTTTTTGTGCTTTTTCTTTGTTTTAATCTGCTAGTAGTATGTCTTAACTGCTTGCATCAACTGCACAAAGAAATAGCGCAGCTCTGTGTTGCAATCCTTTCAGTTATATCAACCCTCATTCTCAACTCACTAAACTACCCTATTTGTCTGAACTTTTCTCGTACCAAGTGCGCAAAAAGATAGCTTAGCTCCCGGTTCGTCGAACTTCTTTCTCAGCTTCAGACCATAACGCTCGTTTAATCGCGCCATTCACTCCAGAAATCTACGGTGGTTTCGCCCGCGGCTGCATTGCCAAGACGATGGACAACGAGGAAGAGACGCAGTACGAGGTGACCGATGCCAACGGCTGCGCAACGGACCGCACCATCTTCGACAACTGGGAGTACGACCCGGAGAACAAGGTGCTGATGGCACGCTTCAACGCCTTCAAGTTCCCCAGCAGCAACAACCTGCGCTTCCAATGCAACATCCGCGTCTGCTTCGGCTCCTGCCCACCGGTGAGACCGGGGCTCCCGTACCGTTTTTTGGGAAGGGGGGGGGGGGGGGGGGGGGGCACACAATTGCACCAAAACAGTAAAAGGGTCACCCCCCCTTTCCCCCTTTTAGGAATTTTCGGACACTCTAGTATGTGCAGCATTGTTTACAAGGACTGTCGGCTTCTGTACTGCTTTACCGTCTCAATGCCTAGACCTGTGGGGAGGGGGGGCGAATTCCTCGGCCATCAATAGAGGTAAACGTTCCTCAAGATTAAAAAATATAAAAACTGCTATAAAAAAAAAACATTATGTGAAGGGGATGGAAATTTTTTTTTTTTCCCGTACCTGGCCCCGCTTTATCTCCCAAACAGTTCTGATGCCTCTGGGGACACATTCCCAGGGGACATCCCAGAGCCTCACTGCAGCGGAACAGCTGCTCAGCCGCAAAATGGGGCAAGTTCTCAAAAGGGAGGGAGCAAAGATGGTTGTACAGTCGAACCTCGATATAACGAACTTCAATGTAACGAAATCCTCGATTTAACGAAGTATTTTATTTTTCATAATTTCTTGCCCATAGACCCCATGTATTTTTAGCCCCTATATAACGAAGTCTATTTTGCTGCTATTTCAATATAACGAAGCGCCATTGCCATAGAAGGCAATAAATAAATCAACTCTAAAAAACAACTTCGCAAAAAAATTGTGGTTAAAAAAAAAAAAAAATTATGCGCAAACGCGAGCGCTTGATAGGTTACTTCACGGGGACAGGCCTTCCATTGTTCCTAGGCTGCCCGAGGATGCGGCGCCGGTAGCGCCGGCGAGGCATGCGGCAAAGCGGATTCCGCGAGGCTGGCCAGAAAATGCCGAGCAAAAAGTTAACACGGCATAACAGCATCACCACTGACATTCACTGATCATCATAGTCCACTGTACCGCGGGTAGCGCGGGAGCCAACTTCAGCGGGGGAGCGACGTGGCAACGTGATGGCGCGACCGCGCGATTCGCGCGACGGCACGGGCAGTGCCATCTAGGAGAAGACCGAAAAGACCGATTAAAAGCAAAGGCGCAAGCACACTGTGGGCGCAAGGGGGCAAGTAAACTGTGCGGTCAAGAGTGCTGTGTAGGTTGGAAACATTGGCACCGCCTGAACGCCTAAACTAAACAGCTTTATTTTTTAACCGGGTGGTTCACTTACGTGCTTGCTGCCATAAGGAAACGTAAAGTTCTTTCTTTGGATTAAGGCCCGTTCACACTCTTGCAACCGAGTGCGACCGAGAGAGACCAAACCGGTTTTTAAGCCTCTTGCGATCTCTTAAGACCAGCTCCGCTCAGTGCATCCGGTCCCAAGAAGTCTTTCTCGGTCGTACTCGGTTGCAAGAGTGTGAACGCGCCTTGAGAAAGCAAACGTTTTGGACGCCATCCTGAAGAAACTGCCGAGATCACGAGCACTCGGGAAGTGCTCGACGCAATGGACGTACTGAGGAGATACACGGCGTCGCATGGGCAGCAAGATGCCGTGCAAGCGCTCTGGGCGCTCGAACGCCGTATGACGCCGCCGACGCCGCTGCTACTGTCGGACAAGGCGCAAGCAAAACTCGCGGACTACTTTGCCCCTAAATAAATGTCATTTTCGGTGAGTTTTCATACCCGTAAAATGTTTCGGAATTTTTTTTTTTTCGCATGCTATAGCCAAATTTCGATTTAGCGAAATTTCGATGTAACGAAGTAAATTGCGAATTTTACCGACTTCGTTACATCGAGGTTCAACTGTATACAACAACGGGAGGAAATCAGTAGTTTGTCTCAAAGGACAGTCTGCTGAAAACTTTGACATACTATATTCTCGATTAAACGCAGTAAAGACAGATGACATATATAAAATATTTTGTCCTCGCGATTCTAACGCCCAGTTTTTTCGTCAAAATCAGTGCCCAAAACTACATGCGCTCTACAATATAAACCAAAAACCGAAACTCGAGAAGAAAAACGCATTACTTGGTATAAGGTGGCTAGCCCCATTGCCATTGCAACTGTTGGTTTACATTCGCCTTTTTGGTATCTGTATCACGCACATTCTCTCGCATATATGGACTTGTATCTGCCATTTTAAGACTGAAAAACAAAATAGGTTCCACTAGGAGGCTTTATTTAAACGAAAGGCCATCATGCTGGCAGGAAAAGATAAACAATGAAGCAGCACTGCGTGGCCTCGCAATCCCAGCGACCCGACGAGCTCGCAAAAGTTTTTGGAAGACAATCCTCCCAGGGGTGGGGAGGCAATGGCTGTGCACTCGTACAAACGCTAGAAGCACGGCACTTAAAACGCATTAGACGAAAGCAATGATTACCTTTGTGGAAAACGAAGAACCATCATCAGACTCTGACGACGGCGACTAGTGCACGGTATTTATTTTTGTGTTGGCGTGCATTTCATAAAATCTGTTCTTTGAGGTGTGTTCAGTTTTCATTATTTTACCTGCACGGTAGAATCGGCAGCAATTTATTACTTTTTGAATATCTAAGAGCTAAATCTGCCTGCGCGTTAAAATTGGGGTCGCGTTAGAATCGTGCAAACAGAGTAGAGTGTTTTCTAAGTTTCTATTTTTTTAAATATTATTTGACAGTTTGGGGCATTTTTCGTAGCCAAAGGACTCGTCTCTTTTTCCTCCGCCGTAAAATAAAATTCCAACATTGTTTTGTTTGTTCTGCATGTAAATTCCGGGATACGTAAAGCTTTCGGTGCAGAGTTTGGCTTCGGATGCCAGCTGGGTTTCTCGCGCCCCACCAGTTATGAGGCAACCTTTCCGCCAAATATGCAGGTTCGGCACAGGTGTAACGACAAATGAAGTGCATGCTTTTGCTGTCAGAATGACTTCGAAATATCCTTGCAATTACGTAAACATTCGGAAAAAAGGTAGAAACAATAAGAAATGGCATCCTCTAGATTTCTGAGCGTTTGGTACAAACTTGATTCCCCAAAGCAATTCATAATATGTTGTTATTTTTGTTTTTATCACCAGGAAATACTTTTGCAATCATATACACAACCTTGTACTATTAGTATGCAGTGACAGAAGCAAACTTTTGTGCATGATCGTACCATCCACCGTATTACCGCATAGTTTTCTAGCTGTAGTTTCTAGCTGTAGTCACGGACAGAATGAAAATGGCGTGGAGGCCTTTCAGTTGTCTCGCCTTTAGCTGTTTCACAGTTGTCAACCTTAGATACCTCGCTAAAGAACAGTTTCTCTCGTGCCTTTGTGCAGGTCCACTGCGACGGCGTGGACGCGTTTGGGCGGAGAAGGCGTCGCCAGGCGCCAGGCACCAACCTCCAGCTGGGCAACTCGTTCCAAGAGGGTCAGCTCAGGGAGGAGATAATGGTGCAGTCCAACGCCATCCTCACTTTTGAGAGGAAGGAAAACCAGGCCGCCCCCACCACCGAAGGTGAGCTCGGCTCGCACATTGCACAAGCGTCGTCTGTACAAACCTCGATTGTCATTAGGACCAGCAAGTGCATCTGTTTTGCGGAGATTGGGTCAAGCGCTTTGGACCTCCAACCGCCATGCTCCAAGGATACAGTTGTGCCACGTTTAACGGGGGTTTTGTCTCCCGTACATATTCTCGGACAATTAATTATTCGGTTAGTCAAGTCGAAATAAAAATGTATTTTGTTCCGCGATCGAAATGTGTGTGGCTAAGTAGGAATTTGGTTTACCGAATGCCAGATCAACGGGTCATAGCGATATTTGCAAATGGCATCACAAAATGTAGCTATCCCGCGTGAAAATCGGTGCACCTGCAGCTGGGCTATGGAACTGGTCCTAGTTGGATCCAGCTAAGACCAGTTCCATAATCGAGCAGTAGGTGGACAAATTTTCATGTGATTATTGACTAAAATTAGCTTATTAACAAAAAAAAACACAATCCAGAAAAAAATAATTCTGCAGAGAAAGTTGATTTTGAAAAATGCCATAGCCACCAACATCTACAGGTTATTCCCAGAATGTCTCATTCATTTACACTGCATAGTTTTTTTTTTATAACTTATTTTTGGTCAACCAATGCTAAAGAAAAGGTAGAGGTTGGAGCATTTCGAACACTTTTTTCTCCGTTCCACTTTTTGGCATAAATTTCACTTTAGAAAAACTGTTGTTTGATTACGGAGCAAAAGGAAAGGCTCATTCATTGTTTTTTCTAATTGGAATTTAAAAGGCAATGCAACTGTGGCATTGTTTTTTTTACTTTGTGGATGTTTTTTTATAGAAGATGTTAAGATTTTGTCGACAACATAAAAGGCAAAAAGTTTATTTGGGTTTCAGTACGATGCTAGCATAAAAAAATTACTTTTGGGAAATTTTGTTTTCATAATTGCACTCTCCAACCATTCTGCTACGTATCTAGTGAAAAAAAAAAAAAAAAATGTTGGGTATTACATCAGTTTTGTGACAATAGTTTTTATAAACAATGTCTATGTGTTCCTGATAAAAACAACTATAATTTGTTTTACAATTAATGTACATCGATGAAACCTTGCATTGCTTTCTGCCTAACAACTGCCAGTATGTATTGTAAATTTAACTCATATTAAGCAAAAGGTATAAAAGTTGACCTTTTTGGGTAGTGTCCTCTGGACTTACTCAAAGAGCTTTTTCACCCAGTCCCCTAATTCACTCCCTGGATGAATTTCAAATTTTTACGAAATAACACGACTCTTAGAACACCCAAAATCTGCAGAAAATCGACACCGCGTCGTCCTCTTCCCACCCCGTCTAACACGACCGCTCCTTCCATTGTAGTGGGGCCGTCGATCGAAGAAATTGACAGCGTGTGCCTGCCCAAGCTGGGGCTCATCATCTCGCTGGTGATCACCACGCTGCTGGCGCTGGTCGCGGTGGCCGTCGCCATCTCGTGCTGGCTGATGGCGTACCGGCGGCGCGCCAAGGCGGAGGGGCCGCTGCCCCACCCGCCCGACTTCCCTAACCCGCTGTACACGACGCCCGAACCGGTGGCCGAACCCTCACCGGACTACTACCAGTCGTCGGTGCCCCCCAGTCTACGGTAGGGCACGGCACGCCGACGGGAAACCCACCCTCTCCCCCCGCCTGGACGGAGAAACGTGCCTGCGGAAGAGAAAGAAGCAAGCCGAGTCATTCTTCGCAACACTACCCTCACCCCGCCCTGCCCCCTCGAGTTGTTCGAGTCCCCCATCCTCGCCCCCCCCCCCCCCACCCTACAACCGCCCCCGTGAGGAACTCTATTCTTGTCGAGATGGCAGCTACAAGAAGACCTGTGTGCAGGGACAAACTCCAGTTCACTTGGACGTCTTTTTCCTTTATTTTTTTTGTATGTCGTGTGGTCACGACGATGGAGCTGAAGACGGACCCCGCGGCCACGGACGCCGCGCGCCCGTGCGACCGCCGCGTCGTCTGCTGGGGACGCCCGGATTCTGCAGTAACTCAGTTTCACGGGGTGTCTGTGTGTTGCCTTTCTCTCTCTTTCTTTCCCCTTTCTCATTGTCCCCCCCTAACAGCGGGTGCACCTTAACGCAGGAGAGGAGGATCGTGGCGCCATCCGTGTCAGGTTACTGATGTGCCAAACGTCCTTTTCCGTCGTGTCGGTTCGTGTTGTTCATTTTTTTTTTTTTGTCAGATGACAATGATGGGCAGTTTCGCTTTGCTTTTAATTTTTTTTTTATCATTTTTTTTAGTGGTTTTTAATATAAGGTGCTGGACATCTTGTACGAACTGTAATATCTCAGAATATGCCTCGTAACTATATGTGCCCGTCCGAGCGGTCCGACGAAACCCACTACTGTATGTTGCGCATTAATTTCCGGGCCCACGCCTCTTCCTTCGTGTGCGTTTCCCTTAGTTTTTCTTCTCTAGGTCTAGTATGCATGTTTCTTTTTGTCAAATTCCACGAGTTGGTCGCAGCCGTGCGTCTGCGGCGCGACGTTTCGGCCTTCTTCCGTCTTCCCGAGACTCGCCTCGTCGTTTCGTCTTTGTGTCTGGGGTGAAACCGAGTTACTCAGGAGTCGCTGTCGTCATGTGGGGAAAAAAGGGAAATGGTGCTTCCTCGTTTCGAAGTGTATTGTGGGGACAGGGTGACACACTTTGGTTCGCTTCTCTGGCGGCGCTGGCGCTTCGAATGTCGTTTGCCTCCCCGCTCCCGAGCAAGACCGGCCAGTCGGGAAACGCCAGCAGAGAGAGTCGGTCCCTCTTTCCCTTCCCCATTAGCCACTGGTCGGCCATGCACTGCCAGGGGAGGCTGAAACCACATTTGACGGCCTCACTGTTTGTTGCCACGCGTTTTTTTTTTTTTTTCGTGTCGTACGTTTTGAAGCGTATTTTGTGTGTTTTATTTAAATATTAAGGATATTAACAACTGCTGTTTCTTCTTAGGAGAAGAAAAACAAACACTGCTTTCTACCAAGATTTTTTTTTTTTAATGTAAAGAGAAAAACAAAAGGAAGAAGCATTATAGAGTAAATGCTATTTTGCTGTGATAATGGAGCCTGTACTTGTTTTTTTTTTTTTCTTCTTTCACTGTTTTCTGGATAGTTTTTTGTTGCGGTACAGACTCTCCACTACTGCCAGCCTAGCAGAAGCCAACGGTAACTGTGCCACGTGTGATGGACAAGGAAAAAAGGGGACCGGTCTCGGTGCCTCAAGGTCCCCTCGGCAGCTATTTTTTGTGCATTCAGTGGTGTCAGTTACCGTTTTTTTTTTTTTTTTTTCAGTTTATTTGAGCGTGTCATTTTTGAGGAAACGAATGTTGGAGCGCCAAGATCCGAAACGTTCACTTCCCACTTCGTCTGCTCTCGCCAAAAATTTTAAACTCTGTTGCAAAATTTTTTAGCTTTTGTAGCCTCCTTGCACAATTTCAAATTTTCCTAATCATAAATGCAACATATGATGATTATTCTCATAACTTTAACGAGCAAAACTATGCTAGAACCTTAGAGAGCTGGAACGTTTGTGGGCTGAACACTTCGCCTCTTGGTGTTCACGCTAAAAATGTCTAGCTGGTCGATTTTGACATACCCGCCTAGTTTTTATGCTGAGATGCCTGCGCTTTGCAAAGCGGTGTCTCGATGCTATTATTAACAACCTAAAACAGGTGTCATGTTTTTTTCTCCGCAATTCGCTTGACCAAGATTAAAATCGCTGTTTTCAACGTGCCCTAGGCAGTTGCTTTTCGACCTCGGTCTTGTATGTATTTCACTTCTCAACAATAAAGCACATAAGTGTTTCTTTTTTTTTTTTTATGATGCTTGTAGCAGTATTGTTTGTGTTCGACTATTTTCATCCTCCTCGATGCAGTCCACATGCTACAAGAGACACCAATATTTGGTATCTAAAAATTGTTCAGCATGATTTATTTTTTGGGGAATAATACTATTGGTCCCAAGGGATTATAGCAGGAATGAATGCAGGTATACATCGTCGCTTTCTCATAGTTATGCACAAGTCAACATGTTAATAAATACTAGTGTTTTGTGAATATTCAAAATTTTAAATAATACACTTCAATATTGGCTTTGAGATGAACTGGGATATCTATATTTTCAAAGTTTCGATTGCATTGGCTCGGCCCCGTTGAGTGTGCTTCTTACCAAGCTTAGCGCACTGCGGTGAAGCAACACCCGCGGAGCTTGCTTCTGCAGGTGTTGCCCCCCCCCCCCCCCCCAAGAAACAAAAACCAATTGTATAGTGTTAAGTTAACAAATTTTGACCCAAAAATGTTGAGTTAAAATGTTGGCTGGCTAAAATATTGAGGCTCTTCCAGAGACCCTCTTCCCCTTCTTCCTGTGCTATAAAACGAGCCAGAAAGGTCAGAGGACACCTAAGCACTCCTTACGAGAGTTGTGAATGCGAAAGCATGATTATCGTTCTTCCGCTTCTTTAGTTCGTCTGCGGCGTAGTGGCGCTCTCGTTAAGTGGCCGCGCCACGCTGAGCTCAGCCGTGCAGCCTCCCCGAAGTTTGCCCGGGCGGGCTGTGCGGCCTGGCCCGCACAGGCCACTGCGTGCGCTGCATCGCCATGGAGAGGGCTTCTCGGATGGCGTCCCTTGGAACTACGCCACACGAGAGCCAATGGGAGCCTCGCTCTTTGATGGCGTGCGCCATCTAGTGGGAGCCTATTCATCAGATTTCTGCTACTGACGACAGGCTTCGCTCTATTGGGACAGGGGAAGGTGCTGTTTGGCGAGGCTTCAAAAGCTGATGACGTCGGTTCGCTCTGTGGGACAGTTAATGCTTTCCCATTAAAATTACAGCAGTATTTCGATCCATCGATCAAACAAGCATTCCTGTGGACGCTGGCGTCTGGATCAGTCTCGGCTTCCTGGCACATGCCATAGCTTTCGAAAGTATCATAATGTCCCTCTTTTATAGAGCTTTCTTTTTTTATGCCGCAAAACACGTGCACGGATGCACGCATTGAGGCGAGGGGCAAGGGAGCGTAATGCAAGTAACTGATATGCGCGTTGACATATATGCTACACGTACTTAGATGCGCATTTGATTCACGGCGCAGGTGATGGGCAGCTGGCCAGCCACAAGTATGATTTCGAAATCTATTATATATATTTATAAGTAAAAGAATTTTTCTGCTAAAAAACTACTACAACGAAGTTTATTACGACATTTCGAGCGGGGACTGCTCTTCATCCCCGCTCAATACATTGTAATAAACTTTGTCGTAGTTTCTCAGCAGAATGCTTCTTTTACTTATCACTCCTCCCGGCCCATTCCTTTTGAGTTGCTTCACTCAACCTATATATAGATATCTGTTTATACATATACAGGGTGTCTCAAACAGCAGCCAGGTCCTTTAAATCGACCACAAAAACCGATTTCTTGACCTATCGCGCTACCAATTTGTGCAGCGTTGCCCAGAGGTGGTGCATTTTTTCTATAAAATTTTCAAAGAGAGAACTTACCTGAGGAAAAGTAAGAAAAGAAAAAGGCTTAACTCCTATAGAAATGCAGTGAAGCCACCGGTCTTCAAGCAATAGGGCGCCGTTTAGCACAGGGGACAACAGATGGCGCAAGCGGTTACGACGCCAACTGCCGCCAATGAATGAGCATACGGTGCCGAGAGCCGGCTTCAAAGAGCAAACAAGATTTTTTAATCAAAAGCGGCGCGAGCTTTTTTGATGTCGGTTGCCAGTGCATGATTTTATCATCCTTACTAGTAAGACACATTGAATGGACACATAATCGATTAAAAAAATGGTTTGCCGGGTTATATATATATATTTTTTTTTTCGGTGTATTTATGTTGTCAGTTTTGCAGTTTCTAGCAGTTCCTTGCTACCGCGCCTGTTTTTCGTTCTGCGACTGTCGCCGGCCTACGGAACGTGCGCTGCTTTTGAGTTGAAAAGATTGACTGCTAATAACACCTAATAACGCCGGCTCTCGGCGCCATATGCTCATTCATTGCAGCAGTTGGCATCGCGACCGCTTGCGCCATCTGTTGTCTCCCGTGTCAAACGGCGCCGTATTGCTTCGCTGCGTTAAGTTAAGCCTTTTTCTTTTTACAGCGGAGCTGTAGTTTCCCCAGTATCGTGTCCGTCAGCAAACAAATGATGACATGAAACTCTGGAGAGCTACCACCATCTATGAACGACGGTGGCAACCAGACAACCGGCTTGCTGGTTGTCGTTCATAGATTGCAGTAGCTGTTCAGCCTTTTCACTCTGGTTTGCCGACTTGCGGCCGGTCATTACTTCATTCCCACCATATAGTACAGCTTCGCTAATCTTCATTCTTCACCAGAGTGGAAAGGCTGAAAGTTTTTTTTTTTTTTTTTTACTTTCTCCTCAAGGTCGCTCCTTGCAAATTTACAGAAAAAAATGCACCACCTGTGTGCAGCGCTGTACAAAATCGTAGCACAATCGGTTAAGAAACCAATTTTTGGCGGTCGATTTAAAGAACCTGGTCGCTATTTGAGACACTCTGTATGTATATATATTGCAACGCTTCTACGAGTCATCGGCATCCAGTAGGAGAACGTTGTTTCAGTTCTTTTTACTTGCAATCAGTTGATCGATTACTACATCAACACTGGACAAGTTTCACACAGTTCTTTTGCTGGCATTTTGCCAGACTCGTGAGACATTCCCGAAGCTGCTGATATGTTTGTTGGCAATCATAACTTAGTAGTTCTGTGAATGTCCTTAGGATGTCCTTACGTTCTAAGGATGTCCTGCAAACGTCCATAGGACATGTGTGTTGCTTGGGGTTGTATAACACGATCTCATTGGACAATATTTGCGCGGACATTACGAACTCCTGAATGACAATGGGATTGGGTTCTCTACCTCCGAGTCAGATGTTCAAAAACTTAACCTAAATTTAAACTTTACAATTACGCGAACCTTCGGTGCTACCCGAGTAGAGCATAACCTCCGTTGAGTGCGCATTTCCTGCAGCACCCGTGTATTGAGGAGGAGCAACAGCCCGAAACGCCGGTGCACTGCGGGGAAGTGATAGCTGCGCAGTTTTATACGTTAGAGTGCAGCATGAAACACGCAAAGATGCAGATGTTGTAAGTTTGTTCCGCGTTTAGGGGGTTGCTAAGTAGCATCGATGTTCCGTAAGCGCCAGAAGTGCCGCAACTTTTGATATCCAGAAAAGATTGAAGATCACACGTGATCGAGATCGAATCCCAACAGCCAAGACACCAAATAAAACGTATTTAGAATGAAAACAAATCAGGCATTAAAAAAAAAAAAAGCAGCACAAAACGTCCAAATCACCGTGGTTTAAAAGAACAAACTACGAAGAATGTATCTTGTAGTGATCATTATGCAAATTAAGTCAAGACCATCGATCACGCCCCCACCGCCAACCCTTTCCTAACAGACAAGCTCGTTAGCTAACCGTCGTTGCAGTTAGTTTTTCGCTTTGCCGTTATTTGTCTCCGTTCTAGAGAGGAAATCGCGAACGCAAAGGCGTTTTCAACATAAGGCGAAGCATCTATCCTAAACTCCTTTAAACACGGAAATCATCCACGAACATCCACAAATTGCATAACCTGCCCCATTTGTGACGCGACTACGACGTCGTGAACATTTACCGCCGTCTGCAGTATCGCATTCGCAGTATTCTACGTAGGTAATTTATTTTCCTTCCCAAAAGACGTCATACGTGCGACGCCGTGCGACGGGTGCTGGGGGTTACCAGATTCTGCGTACTGCTGCGTACGTAAACATATACGTCACATTGACGTCATCGTACACGCGCAAGCTCTGACCATTTGGTTCTGAATGGATAGTTGGGCGAGTTGGTGGGAATTCGCTCCAACAGGATAGTTGGGCGAGTTGATGGGAATCCGACAGCGCTCGTCCCGTGTGTTTCTCCTCCGTCCACGTCTGTCGGTCGCGCTGTGTCCCAAGATGGTAATATGATTTTTCTCAGTTAAGTGCTGCGCCCGTTGGTTTTCAGGTATTGCACAACATACGGGAATCAATAAAGCAAAGTCGAACTACGCACTAAACTCGTGCAAACAAGAGAACTAGTTCTAAACGAAACAAGCCAAAGATCACGTGATTGGAAGGGCTCGCGCCAGGCTCGCTACGAGCAATGACGTCACAAAGCTGTTTCGTTTGCTCCCCGAGTGACTCTAAAAGCAAATAAAGGTCAGCCAGAGTAGTTCTTGATGACGTCGAGACTTTGTCACCCTGGAAGCCACGATGGTGCAAGGTCGCACGTGGCGAGAGCAGAATGAACCCATAAACGAACGCAGCGTCAAAAAGAGGAAACGATGAACAAAAAACAAAGTTTCATACCACACGGTGGCGCTTGCGTTCCTCAGCTTTCGACGTTTTTTTTTTTGCTTCTTATCGTGGTGGCTGTGATAGTACAGCTGACGAAGCCGTGGCGGTGTGGGAAGGCGCTTCTTAATGAAAGTTACAGCGTCGGACTCTGGAAAGGACTAACTGACTTTGTCGCCACTCAAGGTGCGTACCACATGCCTCTCTTTCGCCGCGAATCTCCAACTTGTGCGGCATTTCGTAGGCCTAACCCGCATATTTTTGCCTCGGGGGTACTGCACTGTCGCGGGGGGTTACCGTACATTCGCTGGCTCTCGCTGGATCTTCACCGCGGCGCTTGGCTTTCTGCGGCACGCGCTCCGACGACGGCGTCGTAGATTGAAATGCCACTTGCTTTGCATAGATCCCGAAGCTGACGTGCCACTCGCGAACGGGCAGATATTTCAAGGTCAATATGTTGCAATTCCACGTATTTTTTACCTGTATGGGGAGGTCGCGATTTTGCTGCTGCTTCGGCCTGGATTTCGTGTTTGGCTGAAATGCCGCCCCTAGACGTAAAACAAAACAGCAGGGTCGCGCTGTGAGGCATCGCCTAGAGCCGTGTAGCGCGACTACGGGTACCGAGATAACGCTGCGATCGTGTGTTTGGGAATACGGCGCCCGAAGTCGGTGAGTTACGTGAAAGTGAAATGACGCAAATACGTTCGGTTCTGACGTGTAACGCAACATCCCGATCGCTTTTTTTCTCTGTCTTTTTTGCCGATTAGAGTAAAGTTGAGGAATGCTTGAAAACAAAATCATCCATTCATTTGGCTAGTGCTCTTGTTGGGATGATCAAGAGGTGACTCGTTACCTTATTTTCACGTGCTTTTTTACGTTTTTATTTGTTCGTTTCATCCGTCCTCTGATCCAATCTGTCTCGCTTGCATCAAGGTCGTGCCAGTCGCGTCTGACTGCACTCCAACTCGCAGCTAGGAGACGGCGAGGCGAGCAAAAACTAAGAAGACGTTTACGTTTTTTTTTATTTTTTTTTATTCTTTTTCAACAGCGGTTTTTTCCTTCCTCGTAGGCACCTACCATCAGTGATCCGTCGCAAATATACATGCGTACGTAGTTTGTGTGGAAACTTCTAACATGTTTTGTTCTTGTTATTCCTGTACAGTTTCACAGTTTCCACGCGACGATTGCTGCTGCGAGTTTGTCTTTTAATGTGTATAATAACACTCGCACGCAACTTCCTCTGAGGTTTCTCTTGGTCGGAGGAAGTCTGCGAGGTTTTGAGCAAAAAGAATAACCCTTGCTGTGTATTAACTTAGTGATCTACTTTTGATTCTGTCCTTCACTCTGATAACCGACGAGGATTTCTGCGACGGCGATTGAACGGATCCCGGAAAATTTAGACGAGAACCTTCAGAGATAAGTGCGCAATTGCAAGGCAAACTGGCTCCCCGCCGGGGAGCTTGTATCACTCGCGCCTGCCCGTGTCGTGGTTCGTTGCCGGGGCAGAAGACAAAGGATAGTTGGCCAATTGTGACGTCGTCGGTGGTATCTTCAAGGCAATCTCCGGCTAGTGGGGTAGAAACACTCGTGAGGCTGGCTGCGGGGTGCGATTCCGGCCGTGTCTTGATGGTAGTTACCGGAATGTTCATTCGCCGGAATTCCGTGGCGCAGGGAGGAGAGCATAGAATGTTCTCACCCTGTCTTCGGCTTCGAACAACAGGAAAGTCGTGGTTTCGAACGTGAAAGTTTTTTTTTTTTTTCTTCTTCTTTCTTAGCTGCCTTGCGTCGAGGCCAATAGCCTGGAATTTTCCACGTAGGGTGCGAGGAGAATTAGAAACAATACGAAGACCCCGCTTTTTTTTTCCTTCGTTTTATCGGGCAGTTTTAAAGCTCATTTCAGGCAGTGCTGCGTGCCTGATCGTTTATGACCACAGTGGGGTTTCACAGGAAGAGCCTAATTAATTTGAAGTGTGGGGAGAATTGTGCTCAATTCAAATTTGCGGTATGTCATATAAATCTTAAAAATGGTTCATCCCCGTATCTGCAAAACCACGAAGGGAGTAAAGTTGGTAGGAAGAACTTGAAAGGAAGTTTTCTTCAATATCCTATCTATCTGTGTAGACATAACCTCTCTACTGCAATAAAAGCTGTGAGCTTAAAGGCAAACCAGCTTTAGACATTTGACGCTGCTCATGAAGCGAATGAAACCTGTGGGCACCACTCGATAACCTTTAGAGTTCTTGCGTTGAAGACACATGAGAAACATCTGCTTGTGGGGTTTAAACCCCACAGTCGTTCATGATGGTAGCTTCTGGAAATACCTTTATTATCTGTTCACCTGTGAACCGCCACATCTGTGCTCAGAGCTTAGAAATTCAGATTTAACGCCTCATCCCTCCACAAAGCAGAGGGTTAAATGACGAAAAGGAAACTTCTTGCACCTGACTGCTTTTTGTCCCTGTGGTATCTATACTTGTAGTGAACAGGGGAAGGTCATTGGGTTAATGATCTGAATGTAAGTGCACAAACGAGCTGGTGTAAATTGAACATGACACAAACCCCGAGACTGCAAGTAAAATATGACGCATACACATTTGAGACTTTTCACTGTATGTCATTTTTGATCTGCAGTCTCGGGGTTTATGTCATGTTCATGACGAAGGGGTCCTTGCCCCTTCCATAAGGACAGAAAGCAAAAGGACTTAATATATCAAGTTCTATAAAAAGAATATATATATATCAAGTTGTAAAAAAAAAAAAATGGAGCATCTGTAGGAAATTGACCATCAAGGACATGGCATCGTTAAGCTTCGGCGTACACTTGTTTTCTGCGAAGCGTCGTTACTCTCGCATTTGCTGCTACTCAACCCTTCGTGGAGGCTTTTCTGCCATGCTTGAAAGTAGCCTGCTTGGTTAGAACTGATATGTCTGCTTCGTCAACTTGTATTCCAGCGCAGTGATTTGTCATAGCAAATTCTCTGTTTATTGAAGTCATTTATCTTAGTTTAATTTATTACATTCCCAATTCTCCAACCTTTTGAAGGAAAAACAATAATCACGCACGTAAAGGGAATAAAAGACTCAGAAAGCCACTTTAGCTGGGAGAAATATTTACAAGAAATCTGTGGGATATTGTTTCAACTGTTTAAAAGGCACTGCCACCTCCTCATTGTAAAAGGTCCAAAGGATATAATATAAACTTAAAGAACACTGGCTAGCACAGTTATGCACTTAGGTTGACTTTTGTCATAACTGAAAAATACAGCTTAACAGTAAGCCCCCCTTGTTAATTGACCAAGGTTAGAAAAGAAGCTGGAGTATATTGTTCTCAAGAGCTCTGACCTATACTTCGTTTCAGCTTAAGTCCAGATGCAGCCGATGCTACAAGCGGGAGCGTGTGGCCCTGAACAGTGCTTGCACTGCACTAGCGCACATGCTTGGCCGGGATGCTGAAAGCCCGAAGCTCGCTCTTGTAGCTTCTGCTATGCTCACACTTAAAGTGAGACGGAGTATAGTGCTGTATTGAGTCTATAATCGGTGGCAGATTAAAGGACTCTTTGGAAGCTCTGCCTCTATTGCGAGCTATCTACCTTTGATAACATTTCAGTAACGCTTCTCATTGGCACACGCACCTGAAGCATGATGGAATGCTTGCTAGAGGCAGAGCTTCTGCTGCATTCTTAACCTGTCGCCAACTATAATATGAAGTGCCTACTTTCTTTTTTACTTTTTTTTTTAATTGTCGAAATTTTTACTGACAAATGTTTTTCAAATTTTTTTTGGTGATAGCGTTAGGGCTTTTCTGAGTATCGTGCAGTCTGTGGAGCCAGGGAATGCCCACTGATATTGCACATGCTGATTGTACTGATGCACATGCTTTTGCAAATATGTTACACACTTTACTGTTCTCGCTGATGTTTCACGCTGCTCCCTTGCAAAACTTTGTCTCAGACTTTCTTGCTGTAGCCATTGAGCATGTTTTCCTCGGTTGTGATGTGGTAGCAGAGGCATGACTTTTTTTTTTTCTGTTCCTTTATTTTTTTTCTATATCTCGCAGATTTGAATTGAAGCCCATGTTCAAATTGTTTTATCCAGTATTTCCGCTGGTCCTTTAAAACTTGGCACACCCTTGAATGCAAAATTTCCATTTTCAATGCTTTTGAAACACTTGGATTCTTGGAGTTCTTAAAAAACCCATGGGAATCGATAATGATGGCCAAGTATGAGGTTTCTTTTTGAACATCAGTATGAGGCTGTGAACGAAATGAGGAATGATGAACATTTCCATAGTGAAAGAATCAAAAACCACACAGCTTAAGGAAGACTGACGTGCTGATAGTTGGGAGTGCAAGAAACTGTTCAAAAGTCCATGTGGGAACATTGGCTCCTCCATTCATTGTTGTTATCTAATAAAATGTCACTACTGTTCTTAAAATGACAGTATGGTTCTGGACCTTGGAAAAGTTCTTGGCATATCATCAAAAATTCTTGAAAGTCCTTGAATATTTTCTTTTAAAATATGTGAGAACCTTTTTTTGGGGGGTCATTAACTTATGGTGTAACATTAACATTTCGGAAGTGAATGTCCAGACAGTACCTACTAATCAGCCCTCAGGGAGAGAGAAACTAGTTTATTTGTTACTTTGTGCTGAAGAAAAGGGGGAAAAAAGGGGGGGGGGGGGAATAAAGAATGAACAGAAATATACAGAGAAAATATAGAAAAAAAAATGATGCCCAAATTAATGCAATCAGAAGCAAATAAATATTTAAAATTAAATGAAAGTTGTGCATAAAATGAGTCCTAAACCAATTACTAGTCAAATCATATGCATCCTAAGAGAAAGTAAAGATGGCAAAGACAAATGGTACTTAAGTTATGTCCCAATGAATTAGGGCATGCTTGTAATGCTGCAAGAATCAACAATAAAAAAAAAAACTGAGGACTGGACAAAACTTTTTTTCAACTTGCAGCATGAACATTTATTGATGTTCTACTGCAGTGGCAGCATGACTAAAGAGGGAGAGGAAATGTGAGGGGGAAAAAAGGAGGTGTCCTTTACGGCACAATAACGGGCATAGAGATTTAAGTCTAGACCACCTAAGTGGGCTCCAGTTGTAGACAGAGATGCGCGATTTTGGTGTCAGACAAGCTGGGAGAAGGGAATCAAATGTACCTTGGAGAATGATGTGTTTCGTAAGCTTTGATTATCTTGCAGCCATACCAAGACCTACGATTCCCTTTTTTTTTTTTGTCTTCACTTTAAGTGTTTTGTTTGATCTTGTTTCTTTTAGAAATCTGGTCAGTGTACAAGCGACCACTTCAGGTTCTTGTCTGGTTTCTGTGTTCCAAAGGGCTGTTGGAGGGATATTGGTTGTCTGGAAAGGTTTACTGCCTTGACCATGGTGGCTCGTTGTTTCTTATGTGTATACTGTGCACACACATTGGAGAGCATGTTTGACAGTATGTTGTTGATTTTCTCCCACTCACATGAACAAACTTCTTGGTGTAAGGAACATGAGGGCATATTCGGTGAGGTGTGATTTGGCTAGGTGTCTTGAGAGTAACCTGTGTTACATATGTTGCGAGGTGAAAGGCATTCAACAGGTACCCTTAATTCGGTTTCTCGGTGACGTTTCATTGCGGCAAAGACTAAGGGGCGAACAATGCAAGGCTGGGAAACATCCCAAGCAGATTTCACATAATTTCATCCTCTGTAATTACTGTATTTTCTAGTGTACAGGTCACAGTTTTTTTCCTCAACTTTCTGTCAGTGTGTCTTGCACAATGGAGCTAATTGTGTGTTATATTTTTTATAAGTATGGTCCTTAACTGTGCAGGATGTAGGTCATATCGACATTTACGACAAATGAGGAATGAAAGAGCACCCACCGATGACCTTCTCTTGCGACGGCTTGAAGACACATTTTTAATGGGTAAAGCAGCCACAGATGATTGTAATTTTGGGTTTTCTGGGATGCTTAGGGCTTGTACATTGAGTTTGTACCACAAAAAGGCTTTCTCAAGAACTACTTTTAGGCTCATTCTGTATAAATGAACAATTTGATCCACCAAAATTGCGTGACATTTTATTTCGGACAACTGTCTAAGGGGCTAAGATGAAGGAATGCTCAGGAAACTGAAAACAAATGCTCAGACTTTGCAATGAACGCCTTTTCATGCATCATACTTACCAGAAAGGACATTTAGGGGAGCAATAAGCAATAAGTGAAAAGAATTTCAGAAGCATGTTTAATATTAAAGTATAATGTTTGGATAACACTTTGTTTTGGTATTGGAAAATAGTTTTTAGACTCTTCATGGTTTTATCGCAATCAATTTCAAGCTACTTTATTGTAATTTCTTGGGGAGCAAGGGTCATGTGTTCATGTTCCCAACAGCATTAGCTTTGGTCTTTTATATTTCTCTAGTCCTTTTCAGTTTTGTACTTTGATTCTAAGCCATCTCGGGTGTTTCTGCTGGTCAATAAGCTTCATAGCTTTATGAGCCACATTTTTCTCTATATCCCTCTGTTTATGCAAGTTAGCGAACATTACATGCATAATGTTGTCATTGGAAGAGCTGAACAGCTCTAGAATTAACGTGCCGAAAAAGGGAATTTCATCCTATCCTCGATTAAATCTGCTGCGCCTCTTGAACACTTGCCGGTTCCCGTAGGCCTGCCGTGGATGTTTCACAAATAAAAAGAGTGAAATTCTAATTTTAGTTCATAAGCAACATTGATGGCTGCCATATTTTGGCCGTCGCTTCCTGCGCAAAGCTTGGACGGTGGGCATGAGCACTGATGCAGTGCTCATGTCCAGTGCATGCTCAAGGTATGTGCCCATAATACAGCGGTCTCAGATAATCGATGTAGCAGCTGCTGGAGGGTGCACACATTTAAAAAATGTCTTTTGCAACCTCTTGGTCTAGAACATTCTGCAGATGCCTCTTCTGAGGGAGGAAGAACAGTCATCATTGCCATTGAGGCTTGCCAAGGCTGTGAAAGTTTGCAGAGCTGCCCGTTGCCGTTTTCCTGGTTAGACGTCACAAAGCCCTTGAGGTAGAAACAAGCAGGCGGCTGTCCGAATGTGTCCGTCGAGTCCTGTCTCTAGTCTTGATATGAATTTAAGGATAAATTGTTTTCATACATATTTTTTTTTTATTTATTTAGGAGTACCATTATGAAGAGTGACTGAAATTGTACATAGATTTAGTGCATCTGAGAAGGTGCTGGTTTCCACGGGGCTTTCCACACCCCTCAATGTGCCAAATGCAGAATTTTTGGTAAGCATGCAGGCCATTCAGAGTTGCTTCGAGCAGAGCAGCTACAACTACATTTGGGAGTCCTTTAACCCTTTTACGGTCGAGCTTTTTCCCCCACACAATGCTTCCCAGTGGCTGGGCTTCGTTTCCAATGGAATAGTATAATGAAAGGGTCAATGCGCAGGTTTTTTCTTAACCATCTAGCGGGAAAATGTACAGTGTTGGCTAGCTGTAAAGGTTTACTAGCATGAAATGGAAATATTGAAGGCAAAAAGTTGTCACCTTTCTTCCATTCGGTTTCATTTTGGCACGCCCCCATTTTGGCGCTTTCGCTTCCCTGACATTTTGGCGGCTTCAAATTCTGAAGCAGTGGTACTTTACAGACCTTATCCATCGGATGGTAAGCTCTCATCCTCTAAATTCAATTTTGAGAAGGGTTAAAAGTCTGAATCGGGAGAGCCAGCGCTCCAATTGCCCCTACCGCTAGAGCAGCCGACATACGAATCTACCTCGCATATTACGGGCCCGAAGCATCTAACTTCAAAATTATAAGTAGCCCCAGCAAAGCGAAACAATGTGTGGATAATGTCTATATTTCTCCAACATTATAAATAGCAACACTTTCAAATCTGTAAGCGTTGCCATGCATGAACGGCGACGACCGTCGAAGGGTTAATCGGCAAGAAGACATTTTGGGGATATCGTAAAGGGCATGGTATTTGCAACTTGAAAAATATAGTGAAAAAATTTATCGTGTGAATGCATTGCCCCACGGTAACGATTTTGTAGCATACCACACCCAGTCGCACACTTTGGTGCCCAGGAAATATTCCCAAAAGCCGCACTTGGCGAAATTTGTGAAATGTTGAGCTCGTAAAAAGGAAGTCGTTTACAGTGCCCACGATGCTGGATCTGTACTGATTCTGAGAATGCTTCAATCACACCAAGAACACAGAAACATTGGGTACTTGTAGTAAGCCTTAAAACTAAAACCTGATGCCCGGAGAGAGCATTCAGCAAATGACGCGTTTCCTGTATCTGTTTCCTGTGGCGTCACCGGAATAACGTTGAACTACTCCAGGTCTACTCTGCCGCCGGGTGCAGGCAGGTCCGTACAAAATTAAAACGAGTTTTTTTGTCAAATTGTGTCTTTTTTTTATATTTGTGGGGAGAAGAAAACATTTAGTAACTTTGCCTCTTTTAAATGTTGTAAAGCATTTCACCCTTGATGCTTTCGATACAGGATATTAATAGGGAGACTGGATGGGAGAGTATTTTTAATTAAAGTTGTAGTACCTAAATCTCTATTGGCAGGAAGTGGTGCTTGCTCTCCCATAGTGTAAGCCATCTGTCAGTTGAAGCAGCTGCCGTGGACTCTTTCTGCCGAAGCACATTTTTTTCTGTGGGACAAACATCCTCTCGTCCAGGTGTGCGACGCTAGCAGTGACGCGTGTCGCTATCCGAGTAGTGTAGCTGCACTATTTTCCTATTGGTTTAGGCATCCGTTTCACCTCCACGTTTGCTGCTGCAGGTATCTTGCTACTTTGTGGGTCGAGACAGCACCACTTTAAGGTCTCTGGGAATTTGGATTTTTAGATGTTGGGGTGCCTGAACACATACTCTCAGCATTGGGCACTTGTTTCATAGTGGTGCTTGTGCTAAAGTGGTATGAATTCTTTTGGGAAGGTTGTCACTGAAGTGAGAAAGATGGCAGTATGATCGAAGTTGAGTGGGATGCCTGTATGAGGTACTGTGTTTGTTCACGCCCTTCAGGTAGGCCAAATTAACTCTGTCTTTTGGGAGCATACCGTAAAATCCTGCAGAAATGCCCCATTTCCCAAACTTGGGAATTCTAGAAATTATGTGTTTAACGCCCGATTTGACCGGACAAGCGCCCATCTCTAGGTTAACCCAGTTTTCAATGAAAGTAGGGGTGGCGTTCCCCCAGTATTTTGCGGTGGGGTTCTTCTTGGTTTCTTGGTTCCACTTCTCAGATATGCATCGAGGCAAGATGGCACGCCGATTAAGGTTGGAATGTCTGCATGTTGCTGCGCAGAGAGAGAGCGAGAGACTGTGCTTAAAATGCTGCTTAGTGTAAGAGAGAGAAAATGATTGGAGCAGTGTTCAGTCTAAGCTGTTGGTAAAAGGGTAAAAGAAATAATTAATCTATAATTACCAAATTTCATGGATCGGTCAAATTAACACACTTGGAAGAAATGTTATGATGTGGCGATTTTGACAATGCAGCTTTTTTCCATCTTGGTATCTATGAACTGAAATTGTGTAGAGATATAAATACACTAGGGGTATTTTTGGATTTTATTTAGCAGCATCCTCTTTTAAAGGGGCCGTGAAACATTTTTCGGGAATTGAGCCATATGTCTATCTGGAGTCCTTGCCCTTTATTATTTAACCCACGTTCATTCGCTTGATTGTCCGAATCAATTTACTGGCGTAAAAAATGAATTTTGGTTTCCCTGGCAGCCTCCCCGTCAGTTTTACAAATATGTTGCTTTAGGTAATTGATGGGAAGTTTTAGTTGTGTGTGCAAGATGGCGACGTAGACAGGACTCGATGGTCCAAGCCAGAGTGTGAGATATTGCTTCACCAGTGGTGCCTTAATGACATCACACATGCAAGCCAATGGATGACATCTGATGTGTGAAATTACGGCCAGATAATTGTAAGATGGCTATCCTCATTTGAGCTCTAGCGTTGCCTATTGCACTGTGAACGGCTTTCAGGTTTTGAGCCGTACACCGTCACCGTGTGTTATTTGTGTTACCATATGTAGCGCTACAGAAGCGAGTTTGAGGGAATTGTTTGCAACTCCGATCGGTCGAGCCCGTCCCGATAGGATCGTCAAATGACGAGCAGAGCATATGTTCTTGCTCCTACCAGAAAGTTGTTATTCTGCTTGCACAAGGACGAGAAGACTGGAAATATAACTGAAATGAATTGCCTTTGCATACTTGAGGAACAGTGTCTCGCGTTACCACCTAGAAAGATTGTGGTAGAGGAAAAGAGTTGAGAAACTCACAATATAAAGGCAGTTGTGCGAAAACTTCAATGTCCTAGGACTACACCCGCAAAAATGAACGGCCGAAAACGGATGTCTTGATGGTCGAAAGTTCACACACTCGTGTCCCTCCCTGCTACTGATTTCGCTAAGTTCCAGGTTCAAATCCGCTTGGGATTATAGGTCTTCATTGCTTAACTTTGTTTTATTATAATTCTAATCCACAATTGGGTTCTACAACTGCACTCTATGAGGCTTGCATGCTGCGGCGGGACAAGCAGCACGCTTACAATGGTTACTAATAAGCTAGAGAAGACTCTGATGTGCTTGCAACCAAAACCATATCGCGGACACGTGATGTTTTTATCACTCTGAATTTATTATTTGAAGGTTAAATGAAGTTAATTGTTTGTTCAGCCTTTTTACATATAGCTACCATGACGTTTTTTTGCTCCTGCTATCCAAGGGTGTCACATTGCTATTTCAGACAATCCAAGAAACGCAATATTATTCATGGTTTATAAAATGCAGACTCAATATTATGCCACAATGCTTGAGAATCAATTTTTTTGTGGTTTATTAAATATAAGAAAATTAAGGTTCGGCGGGTAAATTTTCTTTTTATATGACCCCTTTAAATAATTCAGTGACTGAATCTTTTTTTTTTTTTTTTAGTTTGTTACATTTTGGTTTAGGCACGTTGTCATTAACATTCCGAGTTCATCAAACGCGTGGCTGGCTTGAACTGCATTATCCCGATTGACCCGATACGTTCCTTATCGGCTCTTGAACTCTGGATGGTTTGGTATCACTACAGTTTGTTGCACGATGCAGTTTATCCACTATGTAGCACCTAGGCAGGGCTGTGTGCCGTTATCTCCATTGTCGACTGCATATTTATAGTCATTGTCACCTGAATATCCGACTGTGCATGTAGGCGGAGATTTTCGGTTCTTTCAGTCGAGAGTTGGAGACGTGCACGTAAGCTGTCTTTGCTTTGCTTTCTTTCTGCCTTTTAGTAGCTAGGGGATGCAGGTTTTTCAGCCACCTGTAGGTAAAACCTGACACTATACTTCTGCCTTCATTTGTTTTGAAAAGCAAGTAATCATTGGTCGCCGGTGAAATATTTTTGATCAGGAGCTTGAAGGTAAAAGGAAATGAGGAGCTCACCTTTTATTCACGGGATGGAACAGTTTTTCCTGCAGGTATACGTCCTGGAACTCGCATTGGTTATTATGATAGTAATAAAAATAGAGAAACCTGTGCAATGCTATTTGTTGTTAAAACTGAGAAGTCATTTATTCCCTTGAGACTTCAAGCAGCGAGTGACGAAGAACTGGTGCTGTTTTGAATTAGATTTTGTATTTTTTGTTATCGGCAGATGTTTATCCATGTTTTGCAGAAGTGGGCATTACTTGTTCCATTGAAGAATGTAAACAGTCCTTGTCACTGCATTTTCAAGTTGTATACTCTGGCATATTCTGTACCTAAAAAAACATTTGCCTAAATGTTTTGTTTCTTTTTCTTTTTTTTTTTAACACTAAACATTCTAGGTGGGGTTACCGCACAAGGCCCATGGAATCGAACAGTGCACATCCATTTCAGCAGAGAGGTGAAGTGATGTAGAAGTACATCCATGTCGGCTTCATTGGTTTTGTTTTGTAGGGGAATTACACATGTATGCACTCACTGGGAACAATTGGGGAACAAGCTTTTTGACATTACACGGTGAAGTTTAGCCAAAAATGGGATCACACTAACTTTCATCGCGTTAAGATGAGTTTTTATTGTGCGACTGTGGGGAAATTATCGAGAGTATTTTCTTCTAGAGCACGCTTGTGTAGTCTTGCCCTGCAAACATCTCAAGTGCCTTCAATCGTGAGTAAAATGACCAGTAGCTTTATTATCATACTAGCCAGAATTAACGGATAAAGAGAAAGGCCTAGTAGCTTTTTGAAAAGGCATACTCCACGGAAGAATTTTTGAAAATTCTACAATATATAATGCTTGAACTCCTTTTTTTTTTTTTAATTTGGTGTTTCAACATACACTTTGTTTGTAAGTCTTTTTCTCTGATAACTAGAAAAGAAATACATAAAAAGGAGACATTGGCTCTTGCTATAGTGCCACTGGCTGCTGCTTTTTGTTTGTCTCGTAAGTGTTCTAACAAAAATCTTTTGCACATGCAAAAAAAAAAAAAAAGTCCTGCGGCAGCACTACAGCTGCAGTGTGCGACGAAGCGAGTGCAAACATGTGGCTGCCAATTTTTATCTCTAGCTTTGTGCCGTAAAGCTCGTAATCAACAGCAAATTTTATCTAGTTTTTCTTATTAGTTAAAGAGCAGTACTTGAAACTGCCAGCATGGTGGAATGCATTTATCTGCAGCACTATGCTGGGTGCTAGTTTTCCATTTAATGATGACTTGTATGAAGTGATTTTGACGTAAGGGTTAGGCTAGTGGTGTCAGGCAGTGGACATGCTTCTAGTCTTGGATGTGCCACTTCTGCATGAACACTTGTGCGGCTAGACATCTTAAAAAACTGCCAAAGCTTATGGTGGTAGCATTCGCTTCAGTGTCAGTCTAGGAAATAAATGAGAAATTTAGGGTCTGAAACAGACTAGAGCAATAAGAAATTTAACCCCTTAAGTGCAACTTTAAAAATAAAAAAAAAAACGCCTAAAAATGCTATATATTTTTATTAAGGAGCTTTAGTCCAGTAGTATAACAAATAAAATTTCAAAAGTTTATTACGCAAAAATTGGCGGCAGCGAAAAAAAAAAAAGGTGCCAACTAAAATGAGTGCTGCCATCTATGATCAGTGCTGCAAACTACTTGGAGCCTAGCTCGTCTGTGGTATTGAGGGCTACTGAAAAAAAAAAACCACTGGACGAGCTGAGCTTGTCCATGGCATTTTTATCCAGAAAGCGGCCGACGAGCTCAGCTTGTCCAAGGCACCTAAAGGGTTAATAACCTAATGATTTGTGATAACTACTCTCTCATACTTAGTGTGCAACGTTGTCAAAAGTACTGGTGCGGATGCGTGGCTTCATCCAGGGTCTCATTTGCGCGAGAGTGTGAGCAAGTGAACCGCTAGTTCAAACGCCATGCTTGCACCAGCAGTTTCAAACAGCATTATGAAGCGGAATACACTTTTGACCTCTGTTGGAACTTGTTGGTGAGGAAGATTTCCCCGAGTATGGACTATTTGTGCTTCTCATGACATAATTATATCCCCAAAAGAGGGAGGGTGACCACCTCATCAAGAGCAATAATGGAGCAATTTGGTTAAAAAAAGAAAAGCAGAGGATTTCTTTCCTTGGGTGCCACGGAGAAATGTTTGATTTCTATGAAGTATCGCCCAACAGAGAAAGCCTGGAAATTGACAGGGAACACTATGAGTATGGTTTGGCATTTTTGGTTTAAATCAATAAACCTGTTCACACCCTATTAGAGGTAATAAGTTCTTCCTCTGCATTTTTAAAGCAATAGCTTTAAGGAGCTCGTGTTGCAGAAAAGCCGGTGTCGGCATCGGTGGCGTGGGATGGGAAAATTTTGATTGGTCGATAGGGTCATGACGTCACTGCCACATGACCTTGCACAGGAATTTCAAACTACCCACAGCGCTCACGTGAAACGTGACGTCAGGCATGGGTTGAAAGTGATTAAAACATGGCATGTAATATGAATTAAAGGTCGCCGTATGCCTCAACTGATTTCACTTCATAAAGTAATTCATTTGTCTTAAAGAAAAATAAGAATTTTAGGTGGAGGTGGGATGAACCCACGATCCTCCGGTTGCGAGCCAGACACGCGACCGACTAGGCCATGCAGACACGCTTGCACAGCTTGGGAACGAGCAGGGGTTCATATGTTTAGCTATTACATTCCACCCTTAAAGGGGAAGCTTAAGCGTTCTCCTGTAAATTTTCTTAGAGAAAAAAGAAAATCCTTGCTGCAGCCTGAACAGTTTTCATTGTAGTAGAGTTGCTTGGTGGCAGCTTTCTTCTGGGAGATTGGGTAGAGGTTTCTGCAAATGTCAGATGTTTGTTCTTATCTGTTGCTGAGAAAGTTGCATGTTGAAAAAGCAAGGCTTGTCCTGCATTCACAAAGCATCAACATTCCCCTTGAAGCGTTACTTAGCTAAACCCCTAAACCAGTCCCCGGGATGAATTGTCTATTCCAGTGTGCGCCCTATTTTATCGATTTCCTTGTTTCTTGCCATCTAGGAAAGGAACTGTCTGTGCGATGTACATTGTGTGCCCTGGCAGCCTCCCAAACATTATTATTCACTTTCCCATTGCAAGCAAACATTGGCTCAGTCTCTGACGCAGGCAACAACCTTGAGTCTGTCCAGAGCAAGGTTGGCCATGCTGACCCGGCCTATGAGCCTCAAACAAAACCACGAAACTTCCAAGAGTTGCAAACTTATATCCAGAGCAATAAACGAAACTGGAACTACTTTCAATCTATCTGAGTCAGAAGCAGTCCAACTGTAGGTAAGGTAGCTGTAGCACAAGACTACCAAACTGCAATCTGTCTTTCGATTTGAAACATGTTCCATTTATTTTTTGGGGGAAGTGCTCGTGTGACCAGGAGGGAGGTGGGGTAGGGGGGAGGGAAGGAAGGGAAGGGAGCTGCGAGCCGCACTTTAACACGCGAAGAGCCGCATGCGGCTCGCGAGTTGCAGCTTGGCCACCCCTGGTCTAGACCGTTTCCTATTGAAAATTCTTGATCAATGGTGTAACTCCTGAAGCAAAAGATGTCTTTCTTCCATGAAGGTTGCCGAGAGGCTTGAATGAATTGAATGCAGCTTCGCTTCATTCTTTGTTACTTTATGTTGTATCGGTGTTGTCTGTTGCAATGTAAAAAGAGTTTATGGCTGGCAAGTTACTGCAAGTGAATGATGTCTTTGGTAACTCTCCCTAAATGCAAGATACCATTTACATTCTCTGTGCAAATGATTTTTTTTTTTTTATCCTTAAAGGGGAGGTGCCACGGTGTTCAATTGGAATGTTTTCACTTTGCACGAGCTTACTGGCACTAGTGGGACCTAGAGTCGCTGAATGTTTCCAGAGTATTGCATTCGATAGCGTCCGCTGTGACTGTTCTATTTTAGCTCTGATCAGCCATCTTGGCTCTGAAACGTATACAGTAGAATGGAATTCAAGAATGCCGACCCATGTCTCCAAAGCGGATGCGCCGTGAATTACCACCGAAGTTGGCATTCAGGTAGTGATTCGTGTCCAGGTGCTGCAATGACAACAATAGCAGAACCCTAGTAACTCGTACCGTGTGCTGTGCTTTGCCAACCCCAGTCCAGGAGCAAGTCTGTCATCATTGTTTTCTGTTCGTTGTATGCTGCAAGATCGCACTTGGAATCTACTCTAGGTCTTGCATTAGAGCAGACAACACCATACCAAACATACTGTCCATGGCTACACATTCAGGTTGTTTGTGGTGCCCTCTATATATAACCCATTTTTGTAAACCACCGTTTTCACCAAAGGTGTGCCAAAGAGCACATCAAGGTTGTGTTTCCAAATTTACTCTGTCTCACTCTCGAGTAAAAGTTTTGAATTCGGTAAACAAACCCCATCCAGCATTGCTTTATCTGTGTTGATATATAGGGTCACCTGGTCATACATAAGGTCACCTGATCATCTGATCTACTCGATTAAGGTTTGGAACGCGACTTAGATAAGCATCTATTGTGCCCTACTAATTCTCCTGGTACGACACAAGTAGCAAACATTGTTCCTTCTTTGCCAGCAGTGATGGAGGGACCAGCCAGCCAAGAGGGGCTGCTCGGCCCGGAAGCGGCCACAAGGGCAGCCATTGCAGAGGAGGCCCCCATGTTTGGCCTGCTGGACGTGCTCATACTGCTGGCGCTCTTGGGGTTTGCCATCTACTGGCTGTTCCTGAGACGCAAGAAGGCACCCTCCTTTGATCCAGCAGCCATCAAGACGTTCTCCATAGAGTGAGTGACTGCTTGTTTGTCTGCTTAACCTGCTTTTAAGCCGTTCGTCTCGTCTGTCTGGCTTGATGCCCTTGTTTGGGGCAAAATGGTGGAGAGCTACTTATATGCTGCTTAACTTAAAGCATCACTGCTGATTTCATGCCCGAGTAATTCTCAAAACCTGTGCTCTCCCATTTTTAATTTTTTTCTGCTTGTCCTATTCATTATTTGTCAAAAAGAGTGCTTGTACCCTTTACATCCGCAATCCTCATTCTACTGTAGCTAGCATAAATGATGTAGTTGTTTTAAGTTTTCCTTTTTGTGTTGTGTTGCAGGACAAATATCCAGAAAACTGACAACTCCAGCTTCATAGGAAAGATGAAGTCTACGGTATGTCAGCCCCTTTCTTTCTGTGTTGTTTGCGTTCCACAGCTGTATTCTTGGAGGTCTAACTTGAGAGCAGGAAACCCACTGACATCTCTATCCATTTGTTTCTTTGGCGGCTTCCATTTCGGTCTACAGAACACCCCATTTGTAAGGAAATGCATGACTTGGGCAGGCAGCAGAAGTCGTTTTACTTGACAAAAGAGTGTTGATTTGTCCGTTGGCAGTCAGTGTTACTAGTTTCAACAGGGTTCTGCAATGTAAACCATTGGCTGGAAGTTAGTAACAAATAAAGAAAAATTTAATGCACTAAACCTACAAAAAACTCCTGTTTTTCTTTTGCTTTTGTTTTCATTACTATTAATGCTTTTTATCTTCTCGAATGAAAATAATTTTTGATTCCCTATATTGTTTACCACAACATTGCTGATGAGCTTACAGCATATTATATCGGTCTAGCGAAGTCCATTGGGAGTAGTAGCATTCCACTTGTTAATTAGCATCATAGTATTTCTTTTTGTGTCGTCCTAGTGCCATAGTCGTCATGATCTATACTCAGATATATATATTTTTATTTGTTATTCCTTTTGGGCTGAGAGCCTAGATCTATGTGTACGTGTCCATAAAATGTACCTTTGAATTTGCTTTAGTTTTTTCAGTTAAAAGTCTTTTGATGCTCACCGCAATGTTCAGGCTTTTCCAAATAGGGAATCCTGGGTGAATTCCAGAATAAGTCTCACTTTGAAGGGTTTACCCTTGTTTTAGTTTAGCACGGTGTATAGGATAGAGGAAAGGCACAAAACTTGTTTAAACATTTCTGCTAACTATTCACAAACACAGCCAATTAGAATTCAAGTCTAGTAGTTTGGCAAAATCTGGCTCAGCAGAGATAGTGCGTCTTCCGTTCCTCCAGTGTCTTTAATTGGAATAAGACACCTCTGGCGTGACGAAGGCAAAAGCGGGACGCTGAATGTATTGTCCAGACATGACTTCATTGCTTTGTTAAGGGTGGTTATGGCCATTAGTTCCAAGGAGGCACACTTTGTTAGGGTTGCATGTGGCAAGGTTTCCGAAACTTGTTTCTGTCTGCTTGGCTATCTTTTCTGCTTGGTAGTTGACATCAAAGCCCATTAAAATGCAAGGAATGATTTGAATTCATTTTAAGAAATCAGTGCCTTACCTCTTGCATCTACAGAGGAAACACTAGTTACTTTTTTTATGTTTGAATTTTAGGGAAGTTTGCATTCCTTTTACCTGATAGCTCTATAAAGCTGTGTTTGTTTTATACCAACTCTTCAAGCTTTGGTTTTCAAAGGGAAGTCGAATATATGTATGCAAGGTTTATTGCAGCATGTTGTAGACGGGGCCTTTCATCTGGGATGCTCATGGAAGGGGTGGGCAGAAGGCGGTGACCAAATGTGTTTAAATCCTGCAGCTTGAAGTATGTGGAGCAAAAATTGCTGCACTCAACTTGTACTTTTGCCCATTTTGATAAGAACAGGCATCGTACTGGCGTGTGGTGTACTGCGCTGTCTAAATTGCTCCTCTACCATTTTGAACCTGCAATATTAATTGCAATGCTCTATTTTGCTTTTAGAATTACAGTCGACTCTCATTAATTCAAACTTGCGGATAATTCAAACTAACATGCAGGTCCCATCCTATGCATCTCTATGGGAGGGAACTCCTGGTAATTCAAACTTTCCTTTATTCAAACAAATTTTCGGTCCCCCTCGAGTTTGAATTAACGAGATTCGACTGTACATCTTTTTTAATGATTTATTTGTTTCTCACTTTTTTATTACAGACAACTTTCTTTGACGTCTCTCGTCTCACATTCCTTCTTTTTGTCATCCAGGGCCGAAACATAGTCGTTTTTTACGGCTCTCAGACTGGCACAGCTGAAGAGTTTGCAGCGCGTTTGGCCAAGGAAGCCAATCGGTTCGGGCTGAAGGCCATGGTGGCTGACCCAGAAGAGTGCGAGATGGTGAGCTTCTTCTTTTCACTTCCAGCATTAATGATGCCTCGGAGAGCTGAATGTCTGGGCATTCTCTTTTTGGAGACAAAATCCACACGTCGTCCTTCTGCGTTTATTTATTTTGATGAGGTATTTTTACTTTTATAGGTTTCGTAGCTTTAATGTCATAACTGCCGGTTATAGAAGAAAAATACGAGCCGAACAACCTAAGAGTGGAACTCGTGCGAAGGGAGGGAGCATTCAGCCGTTATTTGTGAGCCCGTAATTATTCTCATCTCGGAACATGCGAGAGAAATTAAATGCAGCCATACTTCCCAAAACAAAAAACAAAAAAAAAAAAACGCAAAATTGGCAATTTTATTTTAAACCAGTGTCATACTTTCATTGTCAGTACACTTTAATGAGCCCTTTTTTTTCATGCTTTTAGTTTCTTTTTTTGTCATCTCTAAACTGGACAGTCTGCGACTTGAACAAACCTGTCGAGAGGACCTAAAAGCCGGAGTGTTTGGAAACTTCTACTCCCTTCGAGGATATGCAAGATCTAGATTGACGGCCGTGGCGCCATATCCTTATTTCTTTCACGGCATTTCTCCATGTGTTTGTACAAAGGGATGACACAGGTCTGTGCCAACAGGAAGGTTCAAGTGGGGCTTTGGCATCCTGGTCGCACGCCGGTCGCCGTCGGAGGGGAAATGTCTGGCATGTGTCCAGTTGTCTCTTTCCTCTTCTAATGGCATAATTGTCGAGTCCTCTTTCCTGACGTCAAAGTTCGGGGGGAGCAGCTTTCATGCGAGCGCGAAATGGCCGCTTGAGAGGCCCTTGGCCCTTGTTAATAACTTTCTTTCTTTTTTTTCTTTTTAAATTTGTATTTTTGGAGTTCTTTTTTATTCCGTTCTGCGCGTGTCAATTCTTTTTTTAGTTTCCCATTCCGTTCTTCCCGGTTAGCAAAAAATGTTGGTGTAGCTTTAGAAATTTATTTTAAAAATAATGAAGTTGTAATTGTAGCTACTTGACCTTGAGCGTAGCTTAATAACATATACAAATTATGTTACTCCGATTGCGATGAATTACAAACAAAAAATTTAGGGGGGAAATTTTGCCGCAAAATTTAGTGGGGAATTTTTTTGCTAGACTTCGTGTGGAACTTTTTTCACTAAATTTAGCGGGGAAATTTTTCCGCTAAATATAGCGGGGAAATTTTTCCGCTAATTTAGCGGGAAATTTTTTTTTGTTATATTTAGCGGGGAAATTTCTTCGCCAAATTTCCCCACCAAATTTAGCGGGGAAATATTCCCGCTAAATTTAGGCGCCGTGTGACGTCGTGAGGGGGACGCCACGTGTGACGTCATTATGGTCTTTCTTTTTCTCTTCGCTCTTTTACCTATTTTCACATACTTCCTTTGCTTTGTTTTCTTTTGTGCACCACGCTGAAGGCGTCATGCTGTTTGTGGGCATGTATCAAATAAGTAAATAAATAAATAAATCTTGGTTTCTACTGATTTGACCGGACAGGCACCGATGTCTACATAGATTAACCCAGTTTTCAGTGAAAGTGGGGTAGGCACGCTTCCCCCATATTTTATGGTATATTTGTATTCCTCTTGCATTACCCTTATTGTATTAAAATGTCTAGACAGCTTCTTTTTCTCCAATATTTTTAGTTTACGTCTTTATAAAACCAAATGAGGTGTTTTACCACATTTTTTAATTAATTGTCCGTACCAAAGAAATGTGATAGATTCTAACCATTTTTATAGTCATGACTCCCTAAACTACACCAGTTACCTTCACTTGGTGAAGGTAATTTGTAAAGGTTACTGAAATAAAAAGTGTAGCATATAAGACACTAACTAAACCTATGCTGGAGTATGCTACTATAGTCGGTGACAGGTCAAGAACGAAGTGGAAGCTCCTCCTACTCCTTTCCACTTCAGCGGAGCGAACAGTGGAGAGGAGGTCGCCTCTTCTCCAGTGTTCGCACTATTAAAGTGGAAAGAGGTGGGAGGGGCCTCCACTTCGTTCTTGACCTGTCACCGACTATAGTACCATTTAGTTTCACCACAAAGACTAAAGGAGCACAACACCATAAAGGTCTATTATTTTTTTTAAACAATGCAAGTTTTAGTTAAACACAAAAAAATACCACAACTAAAAAAAAAAATTCACTTCGCTTGCATTTTTTGTTTTTGCCGCTTTTCTTTCTTTTTTTTAACGTCCTCGCTTTCTATTTGTGACAATCGATTATGAAAGTTAGAAAATTTGTAAGTGACATTTTATAATGTTTAATAACGGCATTCGTAAAGCGTGTTCAACGCAATTGCGAATGCACTATGGCCCTTTTTAAATATTGAAAGCCACGAGGTTATGTCACCTCCTGGCTTTTTATCATTCCTTGCAACACATGACAACGCTCGGCACCCGTAGCAGTGAGGATGATCGGTGAGTCGGGGAACCGGACGAAGTTTCCTATGTTTGGTAGACTTAACTCTAGCCTCGGACGTTTTACTTCGTGTGATGTGACCTGCTGCAGCAAGTTCGTCAGAATGACACCACGTTTCAACTAAGGTACCATTTCAACCCTCGATGCTCTAGAGACGCTTGGGGCTGACCACATAACCCTCGTCGACAAAGTGTCAAGAACAAATAAAGGACTACAATTCGAAACCCTCCAGTAGTCCTCCAGGAATTGCAGCTAGCCAGGCCACCGCCTCTGACGCATTCTTTGGGAACCTGTGCAGCATACTTTCGGTTGTGACCCCGCCGCGGGGCAGCCTTTCACGCTGCCCCAACGCGACATGGCCCATCATGTCACTCACAGTAGTCCATTGTGCATCCTCTCCGACCTCAACCGTTCCAAAGAATTTGAGATCGCTGAAAGGGCCCTAAAAGAACTTCAGATTGGAAAGTGAAGCGTCGTCTGCACATAGTGATAGGCGGCGCGCACGGAGAAGTGAGTTTGATCGTGGACACTTCCGGTTGGGACGGTTCGGTGGCGTGAGAGAAAGGCAGTTTGATACTTTAGACCCATCTTACGGATAAAGAAAACAGGAAGCGGGATGGCCAAAAAAACATGCTTTTCGTTTAAGGCTCGTCAAATTATGAGGCGCTGGAGAAATGCAGCCTTCTGCGTCAAGTCCTTATTTCAAACTCTTTTTGTTCGCCTCCCACCGATTGAAAAGCATGCGGGAAGGGCCTTAGAACGGACCTGGTATCGCTGCGCCGCAGCATAAAATTAGTGTGCTTTCCTCGCCTTCACCATGGCAACGAACGCCGAATGAATGGAAGCACGCGCGGTACCGCCGCGTGAAGCCAGCAACAGCTGACGCCATTTTACAAACGCTGTCAGCCGTTCGTAAAATGGCGTCGGCTGTTGCTGGCTTTACGCGGTGGTACCGTGTGTGCTTCCATTCATTCGGCGTTCGTTGCCATGGTGAAGGCGAGGAAAGCACACTAATTTTATGCTGCAGAAGAATGCTACGGCGCAGCGATACCAGGCCCGTTCTAAGGCCCTTCCCGCATGCTTTTCAATCGGTGGGAGGCGAACAAAAAGTGTTTGAAATAAAGACTTGACGCAGAAGGGTGCATTTCTCCAGCGCCTCATAATTTGACGAGCCTTAAACGAAAAGCATGTTTTTTTGGCCATCCTTTTCTTTATCCGTAACATGGGTCTAAAGTATCAAACTGCCGAGAGAAACTTGAGTTGCAACATGACTCAATCTTCATTGTCACTGCACTGGCACGGATCGTGCAGGAACTTCAAATACGGTTTCTGGAAATTGTTTTTTTACTTCACAAATAGTGAGTTCCCAAGCTTCGAATTTTGAGGGTAATGTCCAGCATCGTTTTCAATCGTTTCGGATAAAAAAAATTATGATTTTGTCCTCTCAGTGCCTCTTTAAGCCAATTGCAAGGCATCCGAAAGAAGGGTGTTACGATTCATACTCAATGCATTCTGAAACCATACTTCCATGTCGCTCTTGCTTAAATCGGCCAATGTTGAAACAACAGAAGCTACAGCAAAAATAGGCAGATTAAAATACTCCTATTCCTTTCTTCATGGCACATTTAACATTAGTTTTGACAAATATATCACGCTCCCCTCCACCGAATTGTCCAGAATCAATCGTACCAAATCTATCCAGCAGTACAGATTTAAACACAATGTTTTCAAATATTAAAATTTTTCTTGGGCCATACAAGAATGGAGTTGGCTAGATAATGAAGTGGTAACACTTTCTTCCATGGAGAAATTTACTGATGCTATTAACAGCTCTTTTCTAATTGGATCATTTCTGTGCATGTTCCTTTTTCTAATATTTGTATAGACTGCACTTGCGTCACTCCTGCAATGGCTCTCAATGGAGAGCCACAGTATTCCTATATACACAATTTTATATAGTATCTCAAGCCACATTGTCTCTCCACTTCAGGAGTTAAAGCAATAGGATGCTTGTGAATTGAACAGTCGCTTATTTGCTATGTGTTTTAGAGTGCAATATGTTGCGTCGTACGGGACATCTTCCCAGTGAACTTTGGTACGGGGTACGTTTCATGCCGTGAGGTCACACGATAAGATTAGCCTGGGTGCATGCTATGCACGTGGGGTCGTTATCTTCGTAAGGGGCGAGAGAGGCTTTGTATCGGGTCGCCATTTGCCATTATTTTTGTTTGTGTGATTCGTCAGGCGAGCGGGAAAGGGGATGATTTTGATTAAGGTCCTTGATGGGACGGTAATGTGGACAGACGTCATATTTTGTTTTTTTCTGCACCGTTCTATCGCATCCGTTCTTGCCACAATCAACTGGAAAGGTACCCAGTTGATTATCAGGACACTTGAAATGAAACGTGTGGTGTAGTTTGAGCTTGGAGGGTACAACAGATCTCTGACAAAGCCATTTAACCCAGTTAGCATTAGGCTTCTATGAGAAATTCATCGCGAATCAGCATTATGGACAAACTTCTGGAACGACCGACATAAAAGCAACACGCTGGGAGTGTTAAAATCAACAAAGACGCCCCAGGGGGGCTCAGACATGGGTCGGAGTGGTGGCAACTTGATACCACCGAGCTGTGAGCACAGCTGCAGTGAATGATTTCATTTGCATAAAAATGTTTTAATGGATATAATAAAATAAAGCAAGAAATAAATACATAAAAATAAAATAAGAAATTAATAAAAATATGTATAAAAAAATATAAAAGGAATAATAAATTTAGCATAAACGACGCTCGGTGTGTGGTTTGTGTGGGATGAGTTCTGTGCTCCCTGGTCTTTGTCAGCGTAATCAAGCTAGGATTTTTTTTTTTTTTTTTGTAAAATGTATTACAAAATGTTATTACATTGTGGCTTATGCACAAAAATAAACGTGTACTTGGTCTCCGGATGTTGTTAGTTGCATTCCCTATTAGTAATTTCTGGCCATGTGATGCATTCATCAAGTAGCTCTTCACTGTGCAATACTGTTGGAAACATTCGGGGAGGTGGAAAGCAACCCACTATATATCTGGAGGCCAAGTAAATCTCAATTTTCTTGCAAATTTCCAATTTTAAACAAAGCTTCCTAGCCATTAGAAACGTGGTACTATACTTGCCATTCAAAATGGCAGAGCTCTCAGTACTTTAAGATAAGAGCATCGAGGCCCCCCCCCATACCACATTTCCTCTCACTTGCAGACATTGAATGCTGTTTCCTTGGGCAATAGAGCCCTCTAAGTGAGAATTCAAAACAATTGAGAAAATAACCCAAAGTGGGTGGATCAGTAGCAACAGTGCCACCATCTGCCGGAGAGCAAACTGAACAAACTCCAAAGTTGAAACACGAGACAGACTCGTGGAAGGGCTTTCTGCTCGGTAACGGATGACACGAACCGCACTCGTGGTTGGTGGCCACAGTTGGGCTTTTCAGATGTTAGCATCCTCACTTGTGTAGGAGCTTCCTCGTGCGAAGGTGCGATGCCCTTACAGCCAATTGGAGAATGCTGCCGAGCCTTAAAAGCTGCCATGGGAAATGACATCTTGTTTGGAGCAATCGAAGCCCGACGATTCTCTTGGCCAGTAAAACCGAATAAGTTTGGGAAGGCTCTGGTTCCTTGCGATTTTGTCCACAGCGAACAGTGTCTTCGACTTTGCTAGGTGGTAGGCTGTTATTCCAAAAATAAACTGTGCCTATGGTGCGGACAAAAAAATGAAGGTAAACGCCACAATGTGGCGCCTTTTTTTTTTTCTATGTGATAATTTTTGGGAGTACAGTGTAATTGGAAATTTTGTGGACCAGTATGAAAAGGAACAAACTGGTGCTTTAAGTTATAAGTCTGAGACAAGTTTTGCAGTTTCGATTCCTCTAGAACAGGGGTGGCCAAGCTGCGTCTCGCGAGCCGCATGCGGCTCTTCGCGTGTTAAAGTGCGGCTCGCGGCTCCCTCCCCTAGCACCCCTGCCACCCCCCCCCCCCGCCAAACACACACACACACACCCTCGTCTCCCTCCCGGTCACACGAGCACTTCCCCAAAAGGAGAAATGGAACGCGTTTTAAATTGAGAGAGGTTGCGGTTTGGGTAGTCGTATGCTACTGCTACTTTACGTACCGTGGGACTGCTTTTGACTCGGATAGATTGCAAGTAGTTCGAGTTTCGTTTATTGCTCTGAGCAAAAGTTTCTTTTTTTATATAGACAAAAGCTTGCCCCCCCCCCCCCCCCCCCCCCCTCCCCCCTCGCGGCTCTTGGGAGTTTCGGGGGTTTGTTTCCGGCTCTTAGGCCGGGACAGCCTGGCCACCCCTGCTCTAGAACAATGATGGTCACAAGAATAAATGTTTTCTGTGTTACTCTCTATAGTCCGTTGCCACTCCAGAAGGTAGGGCAAGGGGAAGGAAGGTCTGGGAGGGGGAAGCAGACAGAATGCTGGAGAATGGAGGAGGTTTCCCCCTCTCCAGCGGTGCATCTGCTTCCTCCTCCCCAGCCTTTCTTTCCCTTGCCCTACCTTCTGGAGCTGCAACTTACTGTAGCAGTGGCAAAATTTCTATTTACATATGTTTTATCGTGCTACACTTCTTTTTTCTTCTGGAGAGGAAAAGGGGGGGGGGGGGGGTGTTGGTGTGTTGGTGGGTTGGTGGGTGGGTTGTAATAGGTGGGTGTTGGTTGGTTGTGGTTAGTTGTGTTGTGGTTAGACTGAGAAATCGTAGTTTGTTTTCTGATGGTGAGTGGCTGATCTGAGAAATGTGCTTGTGCCTCCCGCCTTTGAACTCCCAGGAGGACCTGACCAAGCTGCCCGAGATCAACAACTCAATGGCCATCTTCTGCATGGCGACGTACGGGGAGGGAGACCCCACGGACAACGCCCAGGACTTTTACCAGTGGCTGCAGGACGGCAGCGTGGAACTTCCAGGCGTCCACTACGCTGTGAGTAGGCATTCTCAAGTTTGACGCCGTGGCCTCGCTGGCCTTGCCCACCTTCTTTCCGTGCGTGTTGGCATAAGCCCTCGGCACATGCCTCCGGCACAATAGAAATAGTTTGGCATGCATTGTGCCATGCTGGGGCTGCGACGGCTCTTACAAAAGAGTCTTTGGGTCATTTAAAATGTTAAAGGGGGACACTGCCCAGAAAAAAAAAATTTCTGCAAAAAATGTTGATTTTGAAAAATGACATATTTACATCCACAAACATCTAGAGAGTATTCCCAGAAATTTTCATTTGTTTACACTGCATAGTTAATTTTTTATAAATTATTTCCTGTTCCCCGAAGCTAAAGAAAAGGTAGGGTTTGGAGCACTTTGAATGCATTTTTCTCCATTCCACTTGTTGGTATAAATTCCATTTTATTAAATCTATCGTTTGATAGTGGCAATGCAGGGAAGGCTCGTTCTTCACTTTTCCTGACTGAAATGTAATAAGGAGTGTGGCTATGGAACTTTCTTGTCGCTTTGCGGATGTCTTTTATAAAAAAAAAAACATTATTGTGTCGAAGACACAGAAGACCAAAAAGTTGACCAATTTTGCAGAAGAGAAAATTGATAGAAATAGATGATTTTTTGCAAAAAAATTTCGATAGCCGGAAAACTATCACGATATTTAAGATTTTGATTTGCTAGATATGTAGCAGAATGCCTAGGAGGTGCTCCTAGGCATTCTGCGACATATCTAGCAAATCAAAATCTTAAATATCGTGATAGTTTTCCGATGATAGATTAACTAAACAATGTAGGCATGTTGCTGATAGACGCTGCCCTAATTTCCTTTCCACTTAACCGACAGACCTGAAATTTTGTTATGCACCCTCTGGTATGACCACCAGCCTACCCTGTAAATTTCATTAATTTTAAAACAAGGGTTCAAAAGTTGACCCTCCCTGGGGGTGTACCCCTTAAAAAGCGCAAACTGGAACACTGACAAAATAAGAGAATAACCTAATAAATATAATATAGTAGGTAGATGATATGAACCAACCAAGGTTTTCTTGCACGCTTTAGCCAGTCGGTCTGACGTTGCGGGAGTGTGGGTACTCGTAGTTGTTTTCGGTAGAGGCGCATAAGGTGCAACACTCAACTTCCTTCTCCGAGAAGTCCAGGGCGGGCTCAGCAGGGTTGTAAAAGTTTTGTTTCCTCAAGGCTAAACCGTGTGCTGTGTGCAGGTGTTTGCCCTGGGAAACAAGACGTACGAGCACTTCAATGCCATGGGGAAATATGTGGACAAAAGGATGGAAGAACTTGGAGCAACACGCGTCTTTGAACTCGGGCAGGGCGACGACGATGCCAAGTAAGTGAGGTTTGCAGTGTTCCATGGCCACCTGTCTTGTTGCCGTTTACACTTTGTTTTTGTTTTCTGGCCAAGGGTGCACGGGTCTGGGGGGGGGGGGGGGGGGGGGGGTGAAAAGTTTGAAGTGCTACTGTAATGCAGACAATATTCAAACCTCAAAGCCAAGAAAAACACTGGTAATAACTAATTTTTATAGTTTCAGTAATTTTGGAGCATCCTGTTTCCAACGTGACACAACAAATTGCTGAATGGTTTTAATAAACTCTCAGTTGTTTAATATTGTAATTTCTGTTGGAAAGAATGAAACAATTGGGAGGACAGACAGAGAAACTGGTTAGTTGTCTTTCGTCTTAGTATTAAGGGAAGATGCGAGTCACTTTATTTTTTACATTTGCCCTAGGATAATGAAACTTGAGCTAATTATGGGGTGTTGTCTTCTCTTTTCAAGACAATTATTAGTTTTAATGGAGCTTCTATGGTTTTGTGTTCAGAGGCTGAAATAAGTAGAGATGCCGCAAACTTTTTGCGACCCTGAGGTTCGAAAATTGAACCAAGGGGTTCAAAAGGTTTCAAAACGTCGACCTAAAAAAAAAAAAAAAAAAAAAATCCTACGATTTTCTAACTTTCCAATTTTCGGTGTTGAGAAATTTGATTGTTTTCAAATTTTGGCACTAGAAATGTGAATTTTTTGAACTTATCATGCTAAGAAATTAGATGATATTTAAGCTTTTGAACCTCTTAAGCTCAAAAGTTTGACAACCTTCGACCTTCTGAACAAAAGTTAGACGAAGTTTGAACCAAGTTCACCCCCATGGGCTCAAGCGGTTCAAAGCAACAGATATAAATAACACAAGATATCATTGTGTAAAGTGGAGTTGAAATTGTACTAGAGTCTTACTTAGCTTATCGCACCACAAACGACTCGCTTGTAAAGCGCTGAATGGCTACTATGGTGTGGCCTCAGCCTCACACCTTTTTCTTTCGAATTTCGCTCAGTGCCTCTTTCGCGTACAATTCGTCGAGGTAACCTGTGGGCCAACAGATTCTTGATCTGCAGGCTTGAAATCCAACTGAGGCACTTTGCTGAGAGCATCCCTCATATCATTTGTTGTTTTTGAACGCAAGTCAAGGAAAGGCAGGATGTCCATGACTTAAGGTGCAGAGGGGGGAAGGGGAGGTTTCAGGGGGGTGAGGGGGGCTGAAGCCTCATAAGCTTCTCCCCTGGCTCTGCCACTGACACCGGATGCCTATTGGCTCGCTTCCCGTTGCGTGTAAATTGTTGCTTGTGGATTGATGCTTCTCTCTGGGAACGATTAGTGAATGGTTTTGTAGCACTCTCGATGACCTTGTGTCCCCTCCGGCCGCAGCATTGAGGAGGACTTTGTGACGTGGAAGGAGCGCTTCTGGAACACGGTGTGCGAGAACTTCCACCTGGAGATGTCCGGGGAGGACATCAACTTGCGCCAGTACCAGCTCATAGTGCACGAGGACCTGCCGGATGAGAAGGTCTTCCACGGCGAGATCTCGCGCCTCAACTCCTACTCCACCCAGAAGATGTGAGCACAAACGCGTCCACATACCCATGTTGTCATTGTTCCCTCCTTTTGGGTCTGACTAGACTGCGTTCGCCCTTAAGATGACAGCACGGTGGAAGCTACATGTTCCTCGGACTAGTCATGCGTCAGACTTTCGCCACATGGTCACGCTCTTACCGATTCCCGCTTGCAGAGAGAGAGTTCGGTTGAGTAGTAGTAGTTAGTGGTGAGGGTAGCGGAAAGCCGGAACATGTTGGCCACTCCTTTAGTGGGGGCGAGTTAGTTCCGGGGAAGGGAGGGGAATGAAAGGGGAGATGAGAAAAAGTTAAAGCAATAAGAGAGGTAAAGAAAAGAAACAGATTGAAAAGAGAAGAGAGGTAAAATGGGATGAAAAGGGATCAGAAAGGAAGATAAAGAAAGAATTTAAAAAAAAAAAAGAACAATTGGTCAGCAGTTTTTGTGGCTCGGTTGTTGAAGTGTTGCCATCGCCCAGTGTATGTCAGACACCGGGGTTAGAGGCGGTCAAATAAACTGGTGTCCTCCAAGAACTTGAGAACTGCGGCGAATGTTCTCGAGACATCGCGTGCAGAACCTGGGGGAAAAAGAATGTCCTGTGTTGTAGCACTTGCTACGCCTGCTTGCCGCAGGCCGTCGAGAAGCGATTTTCTTTTGTCCGCTAGAGTTGATGAAAGGCAAGCGGCCGATTGGTCCAGCGAGCAAGTAGCTTGCCCCACACTGTCAGCTTAGGGGTGAACATGGTATTCCACTGACCATTTGTTCATTATGATAATTTCGAATATAAACCGAACTCCATTTGGTACTTGTTGAATTGGGCAGTGCAAAAGCTTTGTGTTTGCGAGTTTTCTTGTGGACAGCTTGCATGGTTCAAAAATGCGACCTTGTGGGTCCCGCCCCCCAGCCGTTTGGTCGACGAAAAGTCAGTGTGCGAGTGACGGCAAGTGTTTCCGTTCTCGTTGCAGGCCCTTCGACGCAAAGAACCCATTCCTGGCTCCCGTCCGTGCACACAGGGAGCTGTACAAGGGTTCCCGGTCGTGCATGCACATTGAGATCAGCATTGCAGGCTCTAAAATCAGGTGAGCACTCTCCAAAAAGACACTGAACAAAGCTGAGCACCTACAGTGTGTTCCAATTACAACAGTTCCATCCACGGCACGTTGTTGCGGTCGAGGCGTTGGCTTCAATGAACCATTTGCGGTCTCCCTCCCTCCAGATACGATTCTGGCGACCACGTGGCCGTCTACCCGATGAACGACATTGCCATTGTGGAGAACCTGGGCCGGATGCTCAAGGTGGACCTGGACACCGTCATCACTCTCAAGAACCTGGATGGTACGTCCACGTGGGTGTTTCAGGCCGCCAGACTTCCAAGCTAGAACTCCCTTTTTGAGACGGAATGTGTTTTACAAGCCGTTTTCTACGACGAAGTTGTCAAGAATGAGCGTCGTAACGGGCGCCATTAACGAGTGATACGTTGGGAGTGTTGAAGTCTCTTAAGGTTATATACAGGGTGGTCCTCGAAACGCAGGCCAAATCGTTCCTGCGAAAAGTATGTATTGCGCTGAAAAAAGGTTAAGGTTGTGTTGGCTTTCTGCCAGACGGCTCATTTAGGAGAATTGATAATGTTCGAAATAATTAGTTTAATTCCTTTAGAAAAATTTAGTTTTGAATTAGTGAATTTATAGGTATGGTTTCCATTAGAAATTTGCTGAGGGTCATCAAAATCCACTATATCGGATCATTTTAGAAATATGGAAGGCACGTACAACCATCCACAGCTTTAAAAAAAAAAAAAAAAAAACGCTTAATTTGGACGAGTTTTTAGGTTTCGGCTTTCTATCTGAGCGCATTTTCTTACTTCCAGTCCTGCCCTTCGTAGTTTAGGCATGCAACGTCACTCCCACAAGGGAGGCAGAGCGGTATCTGCGCGCCTCGGCCACAGGGGGCAGGACCACTGGCGCAAAGATGGGCTCCGATAAGAAACAAAAACCTGAAAAATGCATGTAATGCAGACATGTACAAGTTTCTAAAATAACGTAATTAAGTTAAGTTACTGAGTATTGGCCGCAAAAGTACTTTGGGTAGAGTAGAATTTACTCAAATGGAAAGTAACTGGGTAAATTACTAACTAGCGTAACAAAGTAGCAAATTACTTTTGAAGTTACTTTTATATCTTTTGTAGTAACAAGAAAGTACTTAAATGTTTTGATTCGTTCGCGAAATTCTGCTAGCCAAATATAAAGCGGCTTGTGTTTTCACATAAATGCTTTAATAGCTTTTTCTACTTCTGTGTGATTAATTGCTTTGTACTTTTTGTTTTCTGGTCAATGATGCACTGCGGATGTATCATTCCTACTTTGAGGTTTAGCAGTGCCTGAGCTTCATTTTGCAGACAGTGTTTGCTTGTTTACAGTGTTTTGTAAGGTACATCTAAAAATTACTTTAACTACAAAGTCATTTAGAGGTTATGTACTTCAAGTATCGTAAGCAACGGCATAGCACGGGACGGCGACGACGGCGAGGTAGGGGGACAGGTGTGTTGAGTCGAAAGGAGGTATAAACTGTTAGTGATAAATAAGGTGCTCTTCTCTTCCAGCTCGGAAGAGTTGTTCAAAGGCTTTAGTGACAATGATTCATAATCAATCATTTTAATATTTACTTTTTTTTTACATAGTGTTAACCACATTTACTCACATAATAATGCATAATGAAAACAACAGTTGTGGATATTGAATTTCTTTTCGTGCATCCACAAAGTTAATTAGCCGCCAGGACAGATAAAGCATGGCAGCACACACGCACCAGTTATAGCTACAAGGAAATTGCAGAAGCGATCAACAATGTAACCGCCCAATGCATCCGGTCAACAAAACTGGGGTCGATCCCTCCTAGATGCTTCGTCTGTCGGATATATTGACTTTGACGATTACGCCGGGGTTTGTGGTTTGTTTTCGGACGTTTGGATGGTGAAAGTGGTTAGGCCTAGGAATGGTGGCATTGTTTTGTGCTGAGTGTCACTGATGCAAAAACAGCATTGAGCGTCGTGCAGCGCTGCTTCTTCAGCGAAAATAACGACGTTTTGTATTTACGCGTTGGCACGCTTGACTAGTTTGGCAAATGGCGGCCGTTCCGAATTCAGTAACGAACCGAGCAAGGGCCCCACCAGATCGTGCACTGCTCCTGCATTTTCGCTCTTGGACCTAGTAGCACCCATTCCCCGGTTTTCCACAATCATCTCCCAATTTTGAGTGGGCACCTGCTTGGTATTATATGGCATTACACAAGTAGTTCCGTGGCACATTCTCGGATTTTCTAAAGCAACCTCTTACTTCTTGGGGATGTGCCCACGTGGCCATCGACGACAGTGTCTTTACGAATGGCAACGGGCAATCTAAATGTTTTTCTGAGATGCATTTGGACACAAGAAGCTGCATTCTTAGTTATAACTTACAAAGCACGTGCGCGTTCGGTTGTAGAGCAGAGTGCATTTAGCTAGGGCTCCTTGGTGGCCGTTGCTAAAAGACTGGTGCATTACTGTCTGATGTTGCAGAGGACAGCTCCAAGAAGCACCCCTTCCCATGCCCCACCAGCTACCGCACAGCCCTGCTGTATTATGTGGACATCACCACTCCGCCCAGGACCCACGTGTTGAAGGAAATTTCTGAGTATGCCACCGACGAGGAGGAGAAGAAGAAGCTCCGGCTCATGAGCTCCTCCTCCGACGAGGGCAAGGTGAGGGGCCGTATTTTTGTGCCTCCCGCCCTCGCACCTTTCAGAGTGAGGAAGAAGTAGCTGTGACCCATAAGCTGAAGTATGGGCTAGGGCAAAGGTTCTCAAACAATGTGCCTTGTAAACATTACTGCTCATGCTGGGGTCTGTTTGGCATATAGTCGTGCACCAGTGGATGGCCGAGATCTTCGAAAATAGTTCTCAACTCGGAAAGCACTTTGCTCGAGGGGGGTGAAGGCACGGTCGAGAAGGTTTGGGAGCTCGAGGAACCTGTCAGGGGTTCTCTGGGGAACCCTGGGTTCCTGGGTGCTGAGTTTGAGAACCCATAGCCTAGAAGAAAGTTGGTGACTTGCACTGGCCCTTTGAAAAGTGGTTTTTAGGAAAGGGTATGAGGTAAACCTATTGGGGGGATGTGACCTTATTGTTAATTGTTATTGTAGCTGGACGCTGAAACGGCAGAAATATTTGGTGTTGCCTCGAGGTTCAAGTAAGAGAGGAATGATAAAGATAAGGGAAGTTCTAAAACACTGTTAACCTGACACATTTAAGATGAAGCTTGCTTTGGTGATCCTGGCAATCATACTCCTGTGCATACTCCTGTGCTGTGCACAGTTGGTGTTGCAGTGGGTTGTTCTTATGCAGCCTTGCAAGGGGGCCTTTCTGAGGGAGGATGAAATTACAAATATAGACTGTAACTTCCAAAGGTAACAAACACTTACAGGAAGTGTGGCCGTGGACCTAAAGCTTCTTAAATTCTTGAATAGTCATGTCTAGTTAATATGGGCCCTGTTAATAAGGCATCATGGCCAAAATTTTCGGGGACCAATCTTTTGTTGTGCAATTCTGCCCCATTATTACGAAAACCCACTGTCGGGCTATAGACAGCTATTTTGGTAACGAATTGGTCAAAGGCAGTCATTTTTGTCTCATTATTATGGATGCCAGTACCCCAGTTTAAAAGGAAAAGATCCAAAAACGCTCCCAAAATATTGATGAACCCAAGAGGTCACAGTGTGCATCTGGATGTTCATTGCTGGTCTTCCTATAAAAGCTACACACCAAAAGATGGAATTTTTTTCTTTCATGTAAACGGGGTCATTATCGCTTTCAGTCTATTGTTGCCCGAGATTGACCTACAACTGGGAACCGAGAAGGATGAGCCCTAGGGCAGTTAGGCCCCCTCACTGTAGACCTCACCTCTGTTTGGGGAATGGGAGGCAAGCTCTGGAGCCACAAAGTTAATTTTTTCCTGGATAAGGCTATGACGGGGGGGAGGGGGTAATTCCTGTGCGTGAAGTGGTTCACAGCAAAAGCCATCTTAGATCATAAGCGTGTCATTGGCATAAAAGGCAAGGCCGGACACTTCTCTGGTCACTTGGAAGGCAAAGTAGACAATGTCAGGCAAGAAGCAGAAGCGGTCGGAGACCATGACAAGTGTCAAACGTAAACAAACGGAACTCTGCTCAACTGAAAAATATTTTTTTTCAATTGAATAGAAAAGAAAGAAAAAAAGAAACTCAAACAAAACTTTACGCTGACAACAGTACCCGATGAAGAAGACGAGAGAGCCACCCTAACTCGACAAGCAGCTCGCTGCGGCTTGGAAACAGCTTTTGCTTACCTCGAGCAGGAAGGACAGGGAGAATGCGCACTTCGAGTAGTGGGTGTGTTGCACTTTGTGGACACAAAAGTAGGACCGGAAGTGTCAGTACAAACCCACATCCAGTCCTTTTTTAGCTTAATGAATTGTACATCTTGTTGTTGCAACTCTCGTTATTATGTGTTTTGACCCCGATTCATTATTATGGACGACTCGCACTATGGACGATTTTTCTCGGGAACTGAGGCGTCCATAATAACAAGACACGACTGTAGAAGGAAATTCGGGATACGAGATTTGGCCCAATCACTTTTCGCGGGTCAATTTTTTTGCTTCACCCGAGCAAATCTTTTCTATGAGAACATGGAGGCAGACCTGGGAAAGTTCTAAATATGAAAACTTGTTTTTTTTAATGTGCTCGCGATAGAAGCCCGCGCCGTACCCAGGTACAAATGTTTCTGGCATTCGAGATGCGAAGACGTGGCCCGCGCAACTTTGATCAGTGGTGTGGGAGCACGGGGGTGCGCGAGCACGAAGCTTTGGCTTCATTGCCGGAAGAAGTTGAAGGGGTAACCTCCCCGTGTCTCTGTGCAGAGCCTGTACAAGCAGTGGGTGCTCAACGACTGCCGCAGCGTAGTGCACATTTTGGAAGACCTGCCGTCGGCCCGTCCACCGCTGGACCACCTCCTAGAGCTGATGCCCAGGCTGCAGGCTCGCTACTACTCCATCTCTTCTTCGCCTAAGGTGAGCCTGAGGCCCTGGGACCGACATTTCCGCAGGGTCGGCAGCAAACTGTGCCTGGGGTCATTTTGTGTTTCTACGACGATAAGATGTCCACCGCATTCTTCTTTCATTTGTAAAATGGGTGAAAAGTTTATTATATCCAATATTGTTACTTGATAATGGCTGAAATGAATTACATTCTATTATTACCTCGTCATATATACATACATATACGAGTCTCTACCCTCTACTCAAACTCTAATTAAGATTCCCATTCTCTCGTGGCACACTGTGAGGGTGAGTGTTGTTACTTGGTAGTGGCCAAATCTTCCAGACATGCCAAATAGGCAGTTTTCGAATTGCGACAGTTTGAGCGTAGAAGGTATTCTACTTTTATTATTTCAAATTTGGAATATTCGTGCAGACCCGCTTTACGGAGTGAATGCGGAAAAGGTTGCGTGCACAAGCTGCTAACTCTGGAACATGCATGCATGAATGCTGATTTAATGAAAACACAATCCAAAGGTACCACCTTTTTTTGACGAGTCGTCCTCAACTATTGACTCAGTCTAAATGTGGTCCTTTCTTCCAGGCTGAAAAGCGGTTAAATATTATAAACTGCCGAAGTGAAAGCAGATAGCCTGACTTAATTGATACAAAAGTAAACAAGTCCAGAAGTGCCTCATAGTTTTGAGAACGTTATCCTGGTGTCTTCTGACTAGAAACTACTGCTAATCCCTTTGGTTTATTACCACCGGTAAAATCCCACATATCCTGGTGCCCAATGCGGGGGCCCCTTTTTAAGTGGGACATTGCTAGTGGTAGTAACTGAAGGAGTTAGCAGCTGCCTCTAAAGAGGAGATGCCGGGCCTTTGGCACTCTATACTTCATCTTGCCTTACGATGAACCACAGAGGATGCTACGAGCCACTGAAACCAATCCTACGAAGCCAATCTCACGTCACGTGGGTGTCGCATCACCTTTGGAAGGGGCGAAGCGATGTTCGGGGTCACACGATATTTTCGCAGTGATTGAGTGGGATGGCTCGTAGCACTCGCCGCAATTCACTCTAAGCAGAAACAGAGTATAATATCCCTCACTCTTTCGACGTCCCGGGAATAAGCAGAGGTGTGAGCTTGTGTCGTCCTCCAACAGGTGCATCCGGACACGATCCACATGACGGCGGTGAAGGTGGAGTATGAGACTCCGACGAAGCGGGTGAACCACGGGGTGGCGACGGGCTGGCTGGCCAGTAAGCGCCCAGACAACGGCACCCAGCCCCGGCTGCCGGTGTATGTGCGGCGCTCCCAGTTCAAGCTGCCCTCTCGGCCCCAGGTGCCCATCATCATGGTGGGGCCCGGCACGGGCCTGGCCCCCTTCAGGGGCTTCATCCAGGAGAGGGACTTCATGCGCCGTGAGGGTGAGTGCCCTTTTCCCGTCTGCGCGGAAACCGTTCCTCAGTGGAGGCCGTCTTCCGTGGCTCTTTGCCGGTTCCGCGGGGGGAAGCTTGGCAGTCCCTTAATCGGCGTATGAACTGCTGGAAGCTTTCTATACCTCCGTTCTGTTTTGTAAATCTTGTCTCTCCAAGCTGTTCTCCGTAATCTCGCCTCAAAGGGAGTTATGCAGTCACTTACGGGATGGGATGCCCAGCCTCCAGCACGCAGTCCTCGCCTTCCGCCCTGCATTGGCTGCGCAGGCACGCCCGAACCTCGCGAGACGTCTGAGCGTTTTTGAAGGCGGGGAGCTCGCACTGGAGGCAGAACAGCCAAAACCCTTCCCTACCTTTCTCATCTCATCATTGACTACAGTTGCATTTTTTAGGGGCGAAGCTCCTTGGGGGCTAGCCATGTCCGTATGTCCGTCCGCCGTCGGGTGCACGTGCTCCTGCTCGTGAGCTCCCGCGCTCATGTAAGCTCGTGCTCAGGCAGGGAAAAAAAAAAAAAACGCATCTCCACGTGGTGAATGATGTCGATTGGGGCAAAGCTCTGGTGGTGCTTGTCTGCGTAGACGGTGAGCCGCAGCATGCCGAGCCTTTCGTTCGTTTTCATCCTCGTCAGAAAGAGAATGTGTGGTATGAAATGTGGTTATATACGCATTTGAGCATTTGACCGGAGCGTGACATGGATGAAAACGAACGAAAGGCTCGGCATGCTGCAGTTCAGCGTCTACGCTGACAAGCACCACCAGAGCTTCGCCCCAATCAACATCATTCACCACATGGAGATGCGTTTTTTTTTTTTTCCTAATGTATTATTTGACAAAAAGTTTCACCTATGTCCAAGAACGTTTACGACCAACAATATTGGCAGATTTTGAGCAAGGTGAAAGTGAAACCGACCAATCCGGGAAACTGCGTTAAAGTCGGTCCCCTTTCATTTTATCTAGTTTCTGACCTTAATTCTCTCCAATATTGAAATGGCAGGCCATTTTCAAGCCCCATTTTTGTACTATTTCTGAACCCTTCTTGAAAACTTTTGTGGGTGCAATAAGACTCGCTCAAAGGTCTAACAATTCCTAGAAAGCTGTTCCTTGACCGGGGGAATAGCTTGTGCCAATGTGCGGTGCTTGTGAGATTTCTAGAGGAATGTTATTCCATCTAGGCCCTAATATGTTGATATAATAGTTAAATATACTGTAAACAACTTAATTTTTGCAAATTTTGCGAATCGCCTACAATTTGTGAAAAATATGTCCCGCAAACAATTCCTGTAAAATGTAAACATATTGGAATCTATATTGAGATCCCACCGCTTTGCGGAAATTAGAACCCGCGAATTATTCCAAAACTGCAGCTTTGACCTAAATCACAAAATATTGAGCCTGCGAAAAATAAGTCGTTTACAGTATTTATACTTTCTTCGGAGGCAGGTTGATTGTGAAATTGAACTGCGTCTAGATCTGTTCCCATCCTCTAGGCACTTCAGTTGTAAGTGATCGCTACTCTATTTATTGGCTCTTCCTTAAAGGAATTGCCAATAAATAGTTTTTTTGGCTTTCAGTAAATACTTCTAGAATTATTCCTTGACACTTATGAAATATGCATTACCGTATAATCCTGAGAGAGGCCCCACCCCCGAAAGATAGCCCTCTCCTAGTGATCGTAGTGTTGGGATCAATGATGGCCTTGGAAAAAAATTAAAAATACAATTAAGGCAAAGCACAAAAGCACAATCGCCATGGCACCCCTCACCTGTAGTCTTCTAGCAATTGCACCATTGCTAGACTGCTGGTGTTTTTGAAGGACACTTCTGCACTCTACCGGCATGAGAGAGGACTCTAGTGTGTGTTGTGTCGGAGCGCGTTGTGACCCATCCTTGCGACCCTGGCAGGCAAGCCCATTGGGGAGGTGGTGCTGTACTTTGGCTGCCGCAAGCGGGACGAAGACTACCTGTACCGGGAGGAGCTGGAGCAGTACCTGGCGGACGGCACCCTGAGCAAGCTGTACCTGGCCTTCTCCAGGGACCAGGCCGAGAAGGTGTATGTGACGCACCTGCTGCGCCAGAACAAGGACGAGGTCTGGGACCTCATTGGTCAGAAGAACGGCCACTTCTACATCTGCGGGTCAGTGCCCCTCTCCCTTTCGTTCCACAGTTTGCCGCCACACTCTTTTTGCGGGTGTGCACGTTTCGGCAACGGCTCGACAATTTGGTTGGTACCGACGGCAGGCAGTTTGAGAGATGCGTGCATCGTGGTTTTAGCCACTTGCTCTGCTTTGTGTGTTTGCTCCCTTGTGAGGTCACAAGGGAAATTTTGTACAATAAATGAGGCCTCTTCTTCGTTTCGGGAGGAGCGTTTCAAGTGCAGCATTGTGAGAGGTGAGGGTGCGTGGCTTCAACAAGAGTTTTCCTTGTTCGAGTGCTTGAGCACAGGAAGCTCTGGAGCCTTAGGCTTTAATTGTACTCCACACAACTTGTGAAATGGAGTGGAGTATAAGCGTGCATAAAACCTACATGTAAGGCAGTGGAGAACACGAACATGAAAGACTGTTATCAAATGAGACATCCAAATATCACCACGGCCAAAAAAGAAAAATGTGCACCCTAGTTCTTGGGAACCTCCGGTGATTCCCGGCAGTACCCAGGGGTTGCCGAAGCTCCGCATATACCTGTTAGGTCAGATTCCCATTTTGTTTTTGCACAGGGATGCGCGCAACATGGCGAGGGACGTGCACGAGATCCTGGTCGAGATATTCTGCGAGAACGGCAACATGACGCAGGAGGAGGCGGCGGCCTACCTCAAGCGGATGGAGTCGCAGCGCCGCTACTCAGCCGACGTCTGGAGTTGATGGTCCCATCGGCACCATAGCAAGTCATTATTCGGCAGGAGAGGGTGCCGCCAACGAGGCAGCACGCGCCGCGTGTGGCACCCACGAGTCTTGCTTGGGAGGCGCTTTCCGGCCATGCGGCGCGGCTGGTCCGGGCTGCGTCGGTTGGCTTAGAGGCATTGGCGGTCAGCCGGTCAGCGCCGATGCCTGCTAAGCCTAAAGGCGCCCGCGCAGTCGTGCGCAGGGGATGTACCTCCAGTCTCATTAAGCGTCGGTCCTCTGCCACTTTTGCGCGGGCTTGGCTTGCCCTGTGCGAGCGTGTGCGTGTGTTGTTTGGATGAAGCTTTTCTTCATACATATACATTACATCTATATATATATATATATATATAAATAGAATAGAGCTCTTTTTATTTTTATTTTTTGTTGGAGTGTATGTAGTACTTTTGGGGGTGTCTCAGGAACCCAGCGCATTCTCCCAAGACGTCCGTGGATCCCGGCATGAAGCTCTGGCGCTTTTTGCGGAGCTTGTTTGTGCACGTGAAATAGCGGCATCTGTATTTAAGGTGTGGGAGGTTGGTTGTTCCTGTGAAAAGTATGGATGCTTCTGATGCACCGACATTTTATGTTTCGGCAAGAGTCGCACCCTCCTTTTACGGTTTGTGCGTGCCACATCGTGAAAGCTTTAGAGTGCGAGTGCAGTTGGTGTGGGGGGTAATGCAATTAAGTGTTGCTATTCATAATGCAGCTTGGTGAGCTCTCTCCGCTGTACAGGTTTAGAAGCAGGTTGTGTAGACGCGTAGGAAATTAATGCTTCTTATCTTTATGAGTAGCCTGTGCTCACTTCAGTGCTTGTTCCCCAAACACCCAGTTAACGGTTGCTCATATTTCGCCCGAAGGACGTGCACATATCGAAGTGGTCGGTGTAATGGGTGGGAATGTATGTCTCAAACTTTTTTTCTTAATTTTTTCTTTGTCATTTTCTCAATGGGTTGCAGTGCAAGCTGCTAGCAGTCGAGGGTTGGCATTATATGCATCGCAGTGGGCCCATGGAACTGTTGCGTGGTGCTATTCTACCATTTATTTTGTAGGATCCTAATTTGGGGCATTTATTATATACACACTGCAGGGCATGCCAGCATGAGGCAGATTTGGAGAGGTCATTGTAGGATCCTCACATGGATTGGCAGATATGTAATGATGAATGTGGATGCAAAGAAGGTTGCGGTGCCAATGTAGTTGTGCTTGAAAGTAGCATGCTTCAGACATTGAATAGCAGGCAGGCTCATATCTTGTCTAGTATAGTTTTATGTACAGAGAGTACCTAGTTAGGGACTGGCCTGAGCTTTATGCTTTTCCCAGGAAGACGTATTTCCCCCAAGTCAGCGCACTCTGACAAGCACTTTAATAATATTAAATGGGGACACCCCATTGCAGGCGTTCGATCAATCGTCGTTGGAAGTGGCACGGTGAGAGGCCGCAGTGCTGTTTCGCACACTTTTATTCCAATTGTTGGGCACACTTTTATTTTTTTTTTAATGAGCGTATTAACGTAATATTTGTGTGTGTGTATGTTGACTTGGAAGAGAACCCTTTGTATACCCACCTTTCCATATCAGAACAGAGAAACGACCATTGTGGTCGGGTGTGACACTGTGTTATAAGGAGTAGGACTGAATGTTAATAATGATGACGACGTTGTACATTTTGATACAACTTAAATAAAGAAGGTGCCCTTAGCTCATGTTTTTTGGTGAGGCATGCGAGCACTTGTGTTATGACACAGTATTTATTTTTGCGGCACATATCTGCTGTACACACCTGTGAAGCCGCCCGAAGCTGGTGTTGAACAAAGGCAGAAGTGTGTGTTTGTGTGTGTGTGTGTGTCTGTGTGTGCATGTGCATGACAAAATGCTGATGTTTGACCTCCCAGGCTACTGAGATGCCAGTTTGTCTTTTGGTGCATATAGTTCTCGTTGTTGCCAAATGTGTTTTTGGCAGATAGAATTGAGGCATTTTTAAAGATGTATTTTTGTACCTTCCCTTACCCCCAATCCCCTTTTAAGAACATCACTGGCTTTAAAGAATTCACCTGTTGTGTTTGGTCTTTCATGCTGACATTGTAATATTAAATTTTTGCAAATTTTATATTTGATACTGTGTACTATAAGATGTTTTCTAGGGAGAAATATATTGTAAATTTGGTCCGGTACATTGTTTGAATAAAAATCATGCCAATTTTTAACTCCTTGGTCTTCCATAGTGTGGCTTTTTCCTATAGATACTGGACAAACACATGCAACATTTTTAGCAAAATAGCAATGTCACATCCTCTGCAACACTTTCCTTACTCAGTTCGAATATTAGAGGACTCACTTGTAAAATTCTCAGCATGGATGCTGCTATCTTTGGGAAACGAGATGATCATGAATAGGCACAAATGCAGTGTTATAGCTCAAACTTGGAGTTTGCTTACTAGGTTTGGCCATGTGAATGGGGTGTAATGACAATTTCAGGTTTTGTTCATTCTTTCTCTTCAATGAATACTGGACGTCTGTAAAAGGTTGCCGACGTAAAGAATAGGTTTATGTTGAAAATGATTGTTCGTCTTTTTAGGTGCAACAATTTATTTGTGCGGACTTTGTACAATTTCATAGCTAGACATGAACAGTGCAGACTTGTAGCTCAATAAATGTCCAGATACGCTATGGAATCTTGTTTCCTCAATTTGAAAAGAAAAGTCTCAATCATGTTGATTAAAATGTTCTAAAAAAAGTAGCTATTTGTTGAATGGATATTTAGGTGGCAGGGAGTTAGTCTGCATCTAAGGGGTATTTTTATGTATCCGCTGAAGATTATAAGTTAATTCCTTGCAGCACGGCTGCAAATCTGGGGTGTTTAATGTGCACCTAAACACTAGAAAAAAAAAAAAAAAATCTTTAGCGGGAAGTTAGTTCGACTCGGTGTGTTTGCTGCAGCTCATTTAACCAGGAGACTATGACATGCTAACCTCGGGTCTCTAACGTTGATCCGAATATTCAGCCATAAAAGTTAAATATGTTGTATAACATATAATAATGTATTACTATTATTATTATTATTAGGGAGCGCGAAGTTCGTCTGGTCTGTCTAGGGGCGTACTTATGGCTGTGCTAACCAGGGGTCTCTAAACTTTTATCAAAATAACATAACGAAAACTTTATGGATATCTGTGACATAGAGGGAACCCTGCGCGTCTAAAGATGATCCAGCATGGTCTAAATGTACCCATAAATGGGAACTGTCACAGTTTTGTTTTCGATGTGTCTCCATCGTTGCTTGCAGCAGAGTGCATAATTTGCCTCGCGTATTGTAAAAAGCGCAACGTCACGTGATTATGATTGTGCGTTTTTTTAATTATATTATTGTATTTGCATCCAAGTACAATTTTTAATATTGCCCGCTTATTACGGCGCATTCCGCTCATTCATTGTGGACCTTGTGCTATTACTTTTTAAAGTAGCCAAGACTAGCCAAGACACTTCAGATGTGTCTTGTTTGTTTATAAATTTATTTACGAGGAGAGTAGTACTAGTAGTACTGGTATAGTCAGTTACAGGTTAAGAAGGTAGCGGCAAATGCCCCTCAAAGGGAATCAGATATCCCTCCGCCACCTCCGCATCCAATAGCGTCCCACCGTTTCCGTGACGTCGCGGCCAACGCGCGAGGAGGGTCTTGCCTTTCTGTACATATATGCTTTATCTTTCGACTTTGACTTAGCATTGTGGAAGCCGCGAGAGGGAGATTAGAGTTCTCCCCCACCGACGGAAACAAATACGACTTTCGGGGATTAGCTTCCCCCCCGATGGATACAAAGGCTGCTTTCAGGGGCTCGGTTCCCTCTCCGATGAATACAAAGGTCGCTTTCTTAAAAAGTGGGATCGGAGACAAGTGGGAATCCATTGAAGCGGAACAAGGAGCGTTTCCAGTGAACTTTTCTTTCGACCGCGGAGAGATTTGAAACGGGCGCATCACACTTGTGGGAGGAGCTTCTCCTACCTTCTTGACTTGTAACCGACTATAGTACGTTTGTCGGCGTTTGTCGGCGTTTGTCGGTTGCGGTAGTTTTGCCAGTATTGCGCGATCCTTGCAAAGCGGTTTTCTGTTCCCTTTACAATGGCACGCAGGTGTTGCCTGCTGCTCTGCAGGCGAAATTTGAGCTGTGTCTCGGACGTTGCCAGAGTTTCTACCTTCGGAGGTTCGTGTTCATGGGTGAACTTCTACTTGCTTACGGTGCCTTATTCGGCTTTGTAATTCCAAGATGTTTCTTCCTCAGCATTGGGATATGCAAAGACAGAAGCACGCAGCTGGCTCCGAGGGCTGGGCAGCTTTGCGTGGCCTCATGCACGCTCGCCCGCTTGTCGGTTCTCCTCCCTGCCGGTGAAAAAAAGACTCGCCAGAAAGAAAACTGTTGCAGAGCAACCGGCACCTGAAGTAAGCCTGCGCTTCTTGTCTTGTTTTTGTTTCTTGACATGCGGTTTTTTACGCGAACAATAGCTGGATACACAAATAAACAGCAGGCCAGACGTGATGATGTGGTGTGTCCGAGTCCCACTAGAGCGACAAACAGAAACAGCCGACTCCGATAATCCTCAAACACGCGCAGCATGCATGCAATGGTACCTTTGGCAGGCTTCCAGTGTTTCGGTGCTGGAAAAGTAAGCACGATGGGATCGCAAGCCTGCCAAAGATACCTTCGCGTGCATGCTGCACGTGTTTGAGGCGTGTCGGTGTGGGTTGTTTGTTTGTCGCTCTAGTAGGCCTTAGGCAACGTAGACGACAGACATTAAAATGTCTCTGTCGTGTTAAAACCTATTTGAGTGGTGTTTAAAAAAAAAAGATTTTTGTATGAATTAGTAAGTGCACTGTGTAGGTGCCCAGCGTTTATTTAAACACAGCTACACAGTAAACAATATGCAGCTCGAAATTTGTTTTCTTTCCGCCCGAAAACAGTTGGTTGAGAATTGGCCGGTTTCGGTTGCGCACGCCACTCTTTTCTATGGTCATGTGGCGTTCAAACTATGTGTACTAAATATATTCGAAGTCGTGGTTCATCTAAGGCACACATTCAATATTAAAAATATAAAAGAATACAAACCTTATTTTGAGGCACCCAACAAGCTGCAAATACAATGACAAAAAAAAAAAAATGTTGCACAGATTAATGGAAGTACATGTATACAAGCCATCCTTAATATGGCGACGTACCGCGGGCTGAACAACGCGATGCCAGCGCACAACAAACCAACGTTGCGATGGACGTGGGGCTGCTACTTCAAAACTTGTTCGTGGTACCGGCCAATCAATGTTCACGCTCAGAACATCAAGCAAAAGAAATATAAGTGTGAAAAAATCACACGCCAAATGGTGAACACAACTTCATTGTCTGCTTCATACTCTAAAAGAGCGGAGGAAAAAAAAAAAAAAAAAGTGGCCACGTCACCTTTGGCCATGAGCTCCGATGCTCGTGTTTCAGTTTCGAGCAGTTGAGTTTTCTGCCTTTATTAAATATATATATGTGACCCTGTAGCAAAATATTGATTGGGTAGTCTCCTGACACAATATTAAATCACCATGGAAAAAAAATTAATGTTTGGGGGGGAGGCATCACTGTGTGCCTTGTTCAGAGGTGGGAGATCCACTCGAGAGAGTTAAAGGGCCGGTGCAACGATATTCAGTTGGAATGTTTTTCACTAGTGGGACTCAAGGATATTTGCACGCAACGCCACTGGCCAAGAAACTCCTTTGTTGCGGTGTAATTTCAAGGACAAAAGCGAGCATTTTCATCCAGTCTCTCCTTCCCAAAACTTTATGACGTAGCTGGGCGGTCGCAGTGCCGCCCAGTAACGATATTTGAATGCGGCTCATAGATTGGACCCGAGCATTGCATGGGCACTCAATTTGGGCTCATGATAATTGATAGCTCAAGAACCATTCAGGTAGTGGCCCGTGTTCAATCGCTGCAATGATGACAATAGCCAAACCACAGCAATGTCTTGAGCTCAGTGCGTGTCCTGTGCCTTGCCATTCCCAGCACATGGCTATGATCAACATTGGCGGCATATAATTGGCTCCAGATCACGTGGCCTCTTGTTCTGGCTGCGAGTTGAGGGGGTGAACGCTGCTCGTTTTTCTTTAATTTTTTCCCCGAGACTTCGATATTTGTGCAAAGTGCAAAAATCTTTGCATCGCCCCTTTAATTACATTTAAGTGAACACCTTTTCATTGAAAATAATTTTAGCGGACGTGATTTCTTTTGGCGAGTGTGATTTCATCAAGTTGTCTTAGCAATTGTCGGTTTCTTACAATTCATTGAGTGACGAGGATGCAAGGCATTTATTCCAGTGACGTTTTTGCAAATTACAGAGGCAAACCCGACAGGTTACTATGGTTGATGACAGGTTAAGAATAAAAAAGCTCCTCCCACCTCTCACTGGAGAGGAGGTCGCCTCCTCTCCAGCGTTAGGATTCCTGGCTACGCTATTGATATGTAAGCAGTCTCTCGTTAAAAAGAATTTAGAAAAAGCGGAGGATTGTTGCTATCTTTTCTAAATTTAGCTTTCTGCAAAAAGAGATGGGAAGAACTGGCATCTCTAAAGCAGCATTTGCTAGCGGCATTTATGTGTGGGCCTGGTGGGCTAACATTTTTGTGATGAGCCGCCACAATCTGTCACCACAAAATGGCATGAACACAGAGAGCAGATTGGTTAGCCGTGCCCCAGTCATTCACTAAAATTTAGATTCGCTCGAATGACCGGTGTTTGCTAAAACGTCATTCACTCATGTGATATAGACCCGCATTTGCTAAAATGACTTCCAGTGAAACAAATACCTCCTACTCCGTCCACAGGCCTTTCCTAGTGTGTTCCTTTAAACTCCTGCGTTGTCCAGAGGTGTAAGAAGCAGTTTGTGTGCCTTCCAGAGCTGCTCCCTGGCAGTTGCATACAGCACGGCAGAGGAGTACAACTTGGCCTCCCTTGCAAAGGCCTTGCAAAAGCAGGGCTTGTATGAACAAAAGACTTTGTCTGACGACGTGGCAGATGTGCTATGTGCCGCTGCTAAGTACAAGCTGGATGAGGAACCGAGGAACATGTTCATCTTTAGGTGAGACCTTGGAACACCTTGCAGTGCTCATGACTATAGTTCAATGGTTACAAAGTTGATGGATGTTATACCAATGTGTAGCAAGTGAAGGTGTGGTGGTATGATACTATATCTAGATAGATGTGTGATTCGTCTTCTAGCTATGGTGTCCATAGCCACAATCTTTAGAGCTTCACAAACTGCCAAAATAGAATTTTTCAATATTAAATAAAGCTTATTTATTCTGTACCCACAACACCTTTCGGCATTACAGTGCCTCTGTCTGTGCATAGAGTGGGGGAGGGGTAAGGAGGAAATAGAGCAGAAATATAAATAGGACATCAGAGAAATTGAACAGCAGGTAATTTTTTTATAAAGCATCTTGAACATACTCACAATTAAATGTCTTTGAAAACAAAAAATGAAAGACGTGACAAATCTCTGTAACTCGAAATTAGAGCGCAGCTCTTAAGGTGGGGGAGGGCAGGGTATGCCCCTCCTCCTCTTCCATCCCTTCCTCCTCCTCAAATTCAGTTTCCCTGTTAAATTTAGCGGGGAAAATGACATCACATGAATAGGTGTCACGTCACCCATGAAGAAACTCAGTTTCTCGGCTAGATTTAGCGGGAAAATTAACGTCACGTGACCTCAACACCAGTTCAATTCCCCACTAAATTTAGCTGGGAACTGTATTGGTGTTCAGGTCACGTGACATAAATTTTCCCGCTAAATCTAACAGAGACTGAATTTGTCCTCTAAATCTAGCGGAGAAACTGAATTTTCCCGCTAAATTTAGCAAGGAATGGAATTGGTGTCGAGGTCATGTGACGTCAATTTTCCCGCTAATTTTAGCGCGGTTACGCCGACGCTGATGACGCGAAACCCGGAAATGGCCGCCTAAGAGCTGAGCTCGAAAACTCGAAACACTAGGCCTGTTTTCCTTCTCTGAGAACAGGCGCAGTTAATAGAATAGTTTTTTCCAAATTACTGGTTTGAGTAAATCCGGTAGAGCAGACGCATTACCAGACCTTGGGTAAGATACCTACGTAAAGTCCAATAAGGGTGCCCACCCAAAGTGAAGAAATAAATGGTGAAAAGCGTGAGGGATGAGACAGTAAAACTTTTTGAAAAATTTTTGATAAACCGATAAACACAAGAGGCACCCCACTACAAACCGCGTGACACGGGAACTGATACTGCAGATCGCGGACATGTCAAATTCGCGTTTCCCAATGCAATATACACGTCGGAATTCGCTACAAACTTCTGTGTCACGGGAAAGAATATTGCAGACTGCGGAGGCAGCAGATTCGCGTTTTATGGTGCAACAAACACGCGGAAACGGGCTAAACTTGCATGCCACGGGAACTGATACGTATTGCGCGTGCAGATCGCAGACATAAAACGCAAAAACTCGCTACGAACGCACATGTCACGGGAATTGATTTTGCTTGCGCAGATTGCGGACAAAAACGCGGGAACTTGCTGTGAACCTGGTTGTCTCACGCACTGGTGTCGCAGATCGCGTGGTTGAGGAGATTCTTGTTGCGCAAGTTCCTACGAGAATCGGGGGGTAGACGGTGTTTTGGAATTTTTATGTTGCGGATATTTGGCCAGAAAAACGGGATGGTCTATCTTTCGGGGGAGGGTGCCCTTACGGGATTTTATGGTAGGTAGGTACATTTTGTTGACTCCATTGAGCTGCAGTAACCTAGCCTAGATTGAGAACCCATAATACTATGACGTTTGTGCCCATCCTGTATTGTCTTAGGCCTCCAAGTTCGTACAAAGAAGCCTTCTTTCTTCTTTTCTCGACCAGCTCAAATAGAGAAAAGGAAAAAGAAGCAAATATGGTTCAACTTTGAATTTGGAAAAATGGTGGATTACTTTGGTAGTTGGATTTTGCAGCTGATGGCAGTTGGATGGTTATATGTATCGTCAATGCCACCTTGGTTACAATCCTTCATCGATGAAGAAGGAATGTGGAGTTATTTTGTAGTGTTGATATTTATTATCAAAGCCACAGTGAGCTTTATTTTAGTGTCAGTTGCCTCAAACATGTACCTGTCCTTATCTAAACCTTTCCCTTTTCTTCGTCTCTAGGGAAGGATCAGTTGTCTTCTGGAATTTTCCCGAAATTGAGGTAAATCCCAATTGCCCAAGCGCTATGCTGGCCCTGTCCTTCCGTCTACTTGCTCTGCTCTCCATACTTTTTCAGCTTCTTGTCCAAGCCTTTCCTTGTTTAACAGCATCTATCCCATTGACCTGCATGTGTGAGTGTCTCCTGGATCAGTCAACGCAGAGTGCCCATAAATGTTACAAGTTACCATGTCACACTTATATAAGCGTACATTGATAGTGTAGCAAAAAAGAAAGATGTGATTTTTGGGAAAAGCATCTTACAGCTCTCAAACTTGGGCTGCTCTAGATGTTAGTCACATTCAAGACCAATCTATTGCATCTGCAGTGATGGAAGTGCTGCGCCATTTGCACCAAATTGTGCCATGAACGCAAGTCTGCTACATGTTGTGCCAAAATGCCATTTTTTGCTCAAGATTGTGCTACACCTGACCAGGAAAAACTTAAGCAAAGCTTAAAATATTTTAATAATCGTCGACACTAATATTGGAAAAAGTAGAAGAACTAAAATGGTAAAAACATATTTTTCATGGTTTCTTTACTCACCGTAGCTAGCTACCGTGGTGGCCACGTCATCAGATAATGGCGTGGCCAGTGCCTAAAAGTTCAAATGAACTTCAAGACAACGATGTTGACGATGTCGCGGAGCTAGAAGTCGCGAGAGAAATTCATAAAATGGCTGGATGGAGCAGCGCAGATGGACAGTCACACTCACATGCACACAAGAAGGAAACAGACTCGCAGCGCTGACTTACAACTCAGTCCTGTATTTCTTCTTCCTCAAATCTTCAACTTCTTCACCTTTGCTTCATAAAATGGTGGTATGGCAGCTGCTGTGATAAGCCAGAACAGGGTCCCATACTCCTGATGAGATCATTTGATTTTCATCTCAGCTACATGCCCCCATGCTGTGGCACAATCGTCTCTCGCAACCACGTTCACCACCTTGTACAGGCGCACGTGTGTCGAGCTTCACTGCGGCACGTCGGTGCATTAGGAGAAGTGGCTTACGTGGGAGAAAACCCGCGGGTAAGTGTGGTGCGATCGGAACTTATGCTCAGCACGATTTCAGGTCTACCTTTTTTGGTCTTGATTGTTGATGAACTTCTAATTTTAAAGAGCGGTGCCGAGGAAGGAAAACGTAATAAGAAACGCGGACTTATAATAAGCAGACGAGATAGTTCCCACACAGCAGTGGACCAAAAGAACTCCATGGAACATATTTGTATTGATCAACATTTTAACAGATGTGCTAGTTTTTTTAGGACTTTTATACAAATGATATTGATTGGCTACATTAACTATGAGTGTAAAAGAGGGAATGTGAAAGATACTTGATCTCGACTGAAGTATCTTGCTATGATTCATTTTTCAACCATTTTTTTCTTAATCCCCATTGTAAACAGAGCCTACTTTGACCTGAGCCTTATTTCTAAAGAAACAGTTGTGTGCCATGTTGTACTTTTTATGATTATTCGTATGTATTATAATTATATAGGGGAATGAGTAACATTCTCCAGTATCAAAGATGAACCCTCAAGGCCTTATTATCAAAGGCCTTGAGGGATGTTAATTGCATCAAGTGATGCAATTATCGTTTAATTTTACAGTGATATGCTAAGACATGTTGGGATCTGCTCAATAAGAGTCAATGGCTGCTAGAAACCAACAATTTGCCTGCTACAAAATTCAAATACCACTTCCATCACTGCATTTGATGGCAATTCACCAAGACAAAAATTGAGCTCTTCTACTGGTTGCTGTTGCTTAAAAGATGCATATCGACACCACTGTTTGTTCAGTGTTACGTCTATCTCAACATCCAAGCTCTTTCGAGTTTGAGCAGCTGAAATGCAAAGGTATAGGCTACCTTTGCACCCATTAAATAAGGTGCAGAGCTCACTTCCTTTCTATTGCCTTCGGGCCACGTTTTGCTTTCATTGTCAGTCCTCACTTCACTGGTGTCTAGCTTTTAGAGTAGATATGGGCTGAGGTGCTTTCCGGTGCATATAATGTTGTGCTACTTTAATTAGCTTTGTTGAGTAGATTTGTCTTTTAACCATAAGTGCACTTGACAGTTTTGGTACCACCATAGTTTCATAACGCTATGGGAGAGCTTGGTACGTGACCATCCGCGGTGCTAGCCCCGCTTCCCGTTATAAAAGGGTACAGCCGTTACCACCTATCTATCTATTTATCCTTTCGCTTGACACTTCTCATTTCTCCTGTCTATAACAATGAAAGATGCGTTTTCCAGACTACAATTAGTTGTCTTACTTTATACCCCCCATTCCCCACTTCCCCCGCTGACACGGGGTCCTCCATCACTGTGGCGGGTTACCAAGAAGTCTCTGACACATCCATCCTTGGGAACCACCACCGTAAACATTCAGCACTGCGACTAGCGCCATCTAGTACAGGCACTGCAAACCAGTACGCTTAATTGCCTAGCTCTTCGCTCGCAAAAGCATTGTTTTCTTTGAGAACAACTGAAAACGGCTGATTTCCCGAGTTCTTTTGTTAGAGATCAAACAAGAATGGCCAGTGCTTCCACGCAGTGATCAAATACTATAGGCGTAAAAAACTTTTGGTGTATCCGAAATTATTTTTTAAAACCATTTGTAATTGCAAATTTGAGGTGGCTCAACCAAACGAGAATGCCCCCTCCGGGACAGTAGCGCCCCTGGCGGCAGCTTTCGATCCCGTACCAAACTTTGGCCAAAGTTTCGTGACCATGTATTGAAGGACTCTTGTACTTCTATGCAAGTAATGTTTATGCTACTGCTGTAGCATGATGCACGTTAAAGGAACCATGAAATTATTTTTAGACTTCCTTCTTAGCTTTTTTTCCTCGTCAAAGGCGAAATAAGAAATCATGGGGTCGTGACGTGTTTGGGCACCGGATACAATGACTCCAAGCTTTCACCGTGCTTTTCAAGCACACCATAGAACTTGTCATTCGCAAGAGAGGATAACTGCCATCACCGTATTCATTGGCCACGAACGCGAATCAAAATATTTGTCGACGGATTGTCTGTTGACGAGAGCATATGTCCGAACGATGCAGTACTCGTGTCCAATGCATGAGCTGGGATCAACTGAGGTGCTTTGGTAACTGCAGATGTATCATAGTGAAAAGGCAGAGAGCTTTCAAAGGAAAGGGGTACGAGGCAGTCTGCTATAGTATTTTCATATTTTTGCACCGAAAAGCAGGTTTTTGACTGTCTACTCTCTTTCTTTTGGCCCACTGAACGATACGCGATCAGTAACATTCCAATCTAAAATCATTTATCCCAACTGAGCCAGTGTAGCAGTCGTGCTGCACTGGCTCAGTTTTTCATCTGGAGCATGGACAAGTTTTTGCATACTTTAAAGGCAGACTGACCTCACATTGCTTAAGCACCCAATGTCTAGTTTGTTTTGCTCCACGAGTCTCTAGTGACTAACTGGGTTCCCACTATTATAGGGGCACTGAAAACAGCTCTATATGATTTTTCAGCAAATTGTTCTGACAAAGTGGAGCCCCCGAAAATTAGCATAAAGCTTTGAAATTGAAACTTGCAGCCAAAATCTGAGAGAAGGTAAAGCAAACATAATGTTTCAGCTAAAAAATCTTGGTGAAGGTGACCATGAGAGACTGGAACATCATGCACATTGGCAACAATACAGTCTGTTCACCTTGTTTAAGGAGGGACAATACCTGGGAATGTCAACTTTTGAACCGCTCACTCAATTGGCGTGATGCTTGCAGGTGGTGTTTGTAGCCATATAGAAGGAGGGTATGCGAGGTTTCAGTCCTGTGACCAATTTTATGAGGTACACCTCCACCATGAAGTAAAGCATTGCTTTGCATGGAATCTGCTCAATGAATATATCGTTGAAAAATGGTGTTGATAACCACATAGTTTTCTGGGGGAATGCATACTGGAATACCTGTTGCCGGTTGGTATAAAAAGAAATTTAAGAAAATAAGCATTTCACAAGTGAAACAAAAAGCTTATGAAAAAAATTTTCTTTTCACATTTACTAAGTTTTGCAAATTATAATTTTTCGTAATAAAGGAACATGAACATGCAAAATCCAAGTCCATAGTAACCGGCTCCATAAAATTTCGCCTTATCAGCCGCAAATATCAAGTCTCTCGATAGTTTGATACTGAAACGATAGTTAAAATTTATTAAGGTGGGATTCATGCCAAAAAGTGGACTGGTGGAAAAGTGCTCGAACCTCTACCTTTTCTTTAGCATTAATGAGCTGGAAATAATTTATAAAAAAAATAACTATGTACTGTAAACAAATGAAACTTTCTGGTAATACTCCCTGATGTTGGTGTATGTACATACGAGGGCATTTTCAAGATAAACTTTTTTTGCAGAAATTTTTTTTCGTGGGTAGTGACTCTTTAATCGATAACCTTTGTGGACATGGAATTTGTGAGGTATCAGCCTCTGTTATGTGTTGCAATAAAGTTCAATTGTTGAAACTACTAGCATCTGCATTAGTCTTACGGAGGCCATACACTGTAAATACCGATCACCATGCAAAGGAGCTGTAAGACGACATCATTGCAAAGCTTGCCAATATAGTACACCAATCTGTGAAATACAAAAACGATGCAGGTGTGACATAACTCTCTCCTCTACCATTTGCAGAGAAAGGCCATACTTCAATTCCTCAAACCGTATGAAGAAAACTCTTACTGCAGCACGCTTGTAGAGCAGGAAATTGAAGCCCTGGAATTCAAGCACCACGAGTAAGCCCAGCGTTTCCTTTTAGTATTTAAACTGGAAAGTAAGTTGTTTCAGCAAAATTACCAACAGGAAAAAAAAAAAGCGAACAACTATCCTTTTTTTATATGTAAATCTTCAGACTTTCCATAAAACTAAAAGTGAAAAAGAAGGAAATATCAACTCGCACAAAGATAAGGATAGCTACATATTCACTCGGACCTTTGGTACTATAGTCTGTTGCAAGTTAGAGAAGTGGAACACGCTCCTTTCACACTTTCCACTTTAGTTGAGGAAATGCTGGGCAGGAGGAGAGTTGAAAAGAGGAAAACACCAATTATGGTAAGCGAGGAGCTTCGCAGGAGGGTCTCGTCACGCTATTCTGAGCCTGTGACAGACTATAATGAGGTACCTCTGTCAGAACACTTTGCACGCGGTTATTTTCTGACCTGTTTTCAGTTGCATTGCAAATTGTTTAAGAAGCTCAAGATCCCCGTTTGTCACCACATTGCGTCGAGCAAACCTTCTCCCTCTAATCGTGCGGAGCACATCGTTTTCTCTCTCCAGACACAGGACGAGGCTTGTGAATGGAAACATCTTTCTGTCTCCTCAGAGCCCCGACACAGACCTAGAGAAGTACACCTTTTCAAATGGAATGGCCCTGTCGGGTATGGTCTTCGTTTTACCTTTGTAATGAGGATTAAATTGCGTGCCGTAAGCAAAGTACTTCGGTATGTGGCAAATTTCATTCTCGCAAGTTTTGTAAACATTGACGGAAGTTTTACCGCACAAATGTACCGCCCATGTGCGGGCAACTTACTCGGATTTACAGACCAGTTTTTTCCTCAGTCGTGAAATTTGACACAGAAAATGTATAAAATGCTAAGCCTGCAAACATACTGTCATTTGTAGTAAAAAGAAAAAAAAATTATATTTAGTTTTAGGCTGAAACTGTAGGTGCCTCAGTAATTGTAGCCTCCAGAAATAACGAGGCCACTTTTCTTTTTCTTTTCTGTTCAGTTAAATTGGCCATTTGGGAAGCATTTCTGGACGCCTACGTCGAGAGTGTGGAAAGCATAATCGAGGTATGTGTCGCACCCACTGTCTAGTATATTCGCCGACGGGACGAGATGGGCGGCAAAGTCTTTCGGCGAGAAAACTTCGATGACACTCCCCGGTATCTCGTGGGCCTCGAGCATTCACACGTGGACAACACACAGTGGAAGGCAACAGGCGCGTGCTAGCGTCCGTAGGAGACGTCCCGTCATTCTCGTCTTGTTGGCGACCATTGTGACGTAGTATCGTCTGCTCTAGCAATTACAGAGTTTGAGCCCGACTCGCGTGCCACGTTTTTGCCTGTTTTTGTTTCGGAATTCTTCCAGGACATGAAAGAAGGGAGAACAATAACCATGACGAGGGAGCATGTCTTCAGAAAGACGGGAGAACTGTTTTCACTGAGGTTTGTCGAAGCTGAAACGAAGTCGCCCGCAAGCGGCGCCCAAAGGGGCTGAACACTCTTTGGTGCCCTCTGCGCGTGCAGGCACCTGATCAATCTCAGCTCGGACTTGCTGGACACGCCAGATTTCTACTGGGATCGGCCGGCGCTTGAGAGCCACTACCTCAAGGTTGTGAGGTACATGAACATCGGGAGGAGAACAAAGGTGGGCCCACTGAGCACATCTGAATAGCCATGTCTGTTAACTGCTGTCTAGCTTTTATTTTTTATTTTATTTTTTTTTTTTTAATAAAAAGGCTAGCCTGGTTCATGATGTTGCATGAAACTTGGACAGTAAAAAGGGGCATTGTACTACTAAAGGCTTATTCACACGATGCATCTTTTCATCGTGCCACAGTTTAGCGGAACCGAGATCTCGCAAAATCGACCTGTTCACACGTGAAGTTTGACGTGCAAAATCTGCGACGTATTGACTCGCAAGAATTTCGCCAAACCTTGTCGTCTGCACTGGGAATATCAAGCGTTTCGCATCAAAATGATATGAAGTACGAACAGTGTGAAGAGACAATCTGATTTATTAATACCACTCAATAAACTTTGTCAGATGCGGCTCACTGGGTTTACTAGTCCTGCCGAAGCCGGGAAAGACTGCGAACGTTAAAGAACAGCCAGATGATCTCGAAGCATCTCAGACGTTTTTGCGCTGCTAAAAGAAAGTTATCCTCAGTCATCATGTTTTATATGCGGTGCTTGCACTCATCACGACTGCTGATGAATCAGCACTGCACCACCAACCTGTACTGCTAAAGCGCCGTCCACACACTTGCAACCGAGTAGGACCAAGACTCATCGCTCGTACGCCCGTCTCCGCTTGTCACGTTTGATTATTTTTTTCGGCTTTGGCTCGGATACGGCCAAAAATCAAACTCCTCGAAACCTCGCTCCGCCTTGAAGGTCAGACGTCGTAGCGAAGTCTAGCGGTCATTCGAAGCGTCCGCGTTTCTCCTTCATGTGATTGACAGGCCTCAAGGAGGTTTCAGCAAAAAATTGCTCCAGAAGTGAGGAACACGCGCCACTTTTTCGGTTGCGTTCAGACAGGGAATCTGTTTCCTGAAACCTAGTTTCGCGACACAAGACATGCCACAAAGATGCATCGTGTGAATAGACCTTGAGACTGCCTCAGTCAGATGCGAGGTGTAGGAGGTTGTAATGCTTCGACGGCTGTGCGACAATTCTACCGGGTGTCGAAGCCAAAATCGGTTACTTTCGGCCCAGATAATTTTTTTTTTTTTTTGTTTCTAGTGGGTACCCGATATGCTCATACGGAAGTTATCTAAATCCTGAGCATGTGCAAGACATTTCCTTTGCAGTGGTGCCCTAACTGTCACTCACTTGTTTTTAGAGATTGGAATTGCAGATTAATGTGTTCAAGTTTCTACGGCCTAGAAAAGGGATTTTTCTTGTCTTCCTTTTAAGACATGGCTTGCCTGAGCAGTTTGATTTCTGTTGGCAATTTCATGTGCCAAACCGGTGCCTTTTATATAGTTACACAATGCCTGTCGGCTTCAAGCAGTGGCAATAAGAAGCGAGAGGGCAAATAGTACTATGTGTGGCTTCCATGGTGGAGCCACCTAGGCATTCAGCACAAACCTGTCGTGTAGTGAAGCCAGCCATCTCCTCCGCAGGGGACTGTATGATGATGCAGTGACAGCAAGGTATTTAGCAGTCTTTGACCGACAATCCAAAGCTCCATACCAGCTCACAGCTTTCAGCGAAATATTTTTTCTTGTTCTTTTCTTTTTATAATTCACCCGCAAACTATTTTTGTCCACGCGATTCACGGTAACCGCCTAAGCCCCAAACTGTCGCCGAAGCAGACGACCAAGCGTTCGAGCTCCGCAAGCGCCACCTGGCCATGCTTGCTTTGGTTTCGGTATTTTGTTTAACCATAACTTTTCTTAAAGGGCAACTCCGGTCCATACTTTCGATTTTGGGATTATGGCTGTTTTTAGTGCAGTTAGCGCCCCTGAGTTGCAAGGTGTAATTTTTTTCTCGTTATTGTGCGTAGTTTTAAAGATATCGACGTCTCAAAGTTTTAATGGGGCGCGGCCGACAAAACCGAAACTAGCCGCTCGAGGTTCCGGCAACACTGGAAATCAGCCGCTATGTGGACGTGACGCCAAGATCGTCCTCGTTCAGCGAGTACGCAGTCCAAGCAGTCCAAGCGGCACCTACCTCTGTTGCGCTAGTCGTCTAAAGATAGAAGGCAAACTGATTTTGTTTTAACTCTGTATATGTGGTAGTTATCCAGCATATGTAGCAAGAGTTAGTGCGTATACCCAAAAGCTAGCGACTGGAAAACCCGTCAACTCGTTCGGTGGCGTACTCGGCGGCCGCCGCCGCGCGTGCGCTACGCCGTGCCGTACTCGTTGCTTGTATACCCAAAAGCTAGCGACTGGAAAACGAGTGAACTCGTTCGGTACCGTACTCGGCAGCTGTCGGCGTGCGTGTGGTCTCCCGCACTCGTCGGTAGGCCTAAATTGTCATCGGGGCTCCGTGGATGGAGCGGCGTTGCTCTACGCCGCGCTGCCAGTGACGTACAGTGCTGGCGCTTTCGCGCGGCGGGTCAGTCCCAGACACGAAGCTTTGAGGCTCTCCGGCGCGTTCCGCAACAACCGAACAGACGTGTGTCAAGCTGCAGACGTCTGTTTTTTCGTTACTTTTTCCTCAGGCGCGTAAAAGCCGAATTTGTAAGCTACGACACTAATTCACCACATAAGTTCGTCCAGGTAGTGAATCTTTGTACAAATAAAAAAAAAAACTTTCCGCTCTAAAAAAAAAGTTCTTTGGGCAGTCATTTTCTTCTCAAAGCTAGCAAAAGGTTTTTTGGGTGATAAAGGAAAACAGAGAACGTTAGCAAGGCGAGAACACTTTCTTTCCCTTCCGGATTCCCAACCCCACCCACAACAATTTTTTTTTATTAGAATACATACGATTTTAAGTTTTCCTTCGTAACTTTTGACTAAGGCAAGTGTTTTTTTTTTTTTTGCATTTTTAAATATTATTTTTACCTTCAGCCGAACTCGGGCAAATTAGAGAGTTGTAACTTACAAATCCGAACTTTCGCGATTTCTTTAAAATCCCTTGTGGTATTCACAAGCGCAATGTCAATTAATACTGCTGCGTAACGGGTTGGAACGAATGGGAGGCGAATGTTTATATCGCATGAGCTTCACGCGCCGGCTGTTCGCTAGTAGTCGTTACGGACCTGAATACTACGCACGAGATTGCGTAGTAAACAAGCAGTGACGCAAAGCAGAACATTGTTTTCGCTCTCATTACAAACTTCAGTGTTTGGAGCTAGTTAGTGGTTGTACTCTACATGCCCACCATTCCCCATTCAACAGACATTCAATGGAGCATGAATGCTCAATCTTCAACACTGCACTTGACGATGACTGTTTTATTTATTGATCAGGATACTTTTATCATGTTTACCTTTCTGTACATGTATGATGGGCAAAGAGCGACGGCACGGCATCCTTTTTAAGCCTCGACCCCTTCACTGACAAGCCACAAGCAACCAACACCGTAGGTTTCGTTCGTAACTCTCCGGCGAAAAATGATCGGAGCAGAGCTTCGATCTGGGAGTCGACGTCCAAGGCTTTCCAAAGTCCACTTGTCGAACAGCGTTCACTCACACCTTTTCCAATTTCCGATCCATTGGAAACTTGTGAAAAAGCACCTTCGGGTTGCGCAGCGGCTTGTTTGAGCAGCCCACAGCGCTTTAAGTTGTACTCGGCATCTTTCGAGGAACAGCTGGGCAGTCTTGGGCGCACCGAGTTGCTCGCTAAAACGAGTCTAGGGGACCTCACAAGCAAATAAACAAAAGGCTATACCGAAGCTACACGGGCTACAGGTAAAAGCAACGGCTAAACACGCAATTACAAGCCGAAGTAGCGGTGGTAGCGGCACAAAGAAGCGCGCGCGACGGCTGCGCCGTGCTCCCGTCCGGAACGGAGGAAAAAAAAAGAGGACGATGTTGACATCACGGCCCAATGTTGCTTTAGCGATCGGCAACCCGCTGGCCGCCCGCTAAGGAGCAGCGGCTCGCGGCGGGTCGCGTTTTTATTATCGGCATTAGTTGAGAATGCGGCGTCCCACGGACGTGAAATTTTGGCTGGGGTCGTATTTTGTGTCACTAAAGCGATACCAGTAATTTAATTAATTTTGAGTTTTGGCCGGAGTTGCCCTTTAAGCAAGGTGGTCGCTTCCATAAAGGCGTTCCACATGTAGTTAAAATACATATATATCTTCAATAATGACGCAAATACTACATGCTAGAAAAAGAATTAAAACAAACGGCCACCTGGCAGCGACGCAAATACTACATGCTAGAAAAAGAATTAAAACAAACGGCCACCTGGCAGCGCTGTATAGGTGCTCGTGCACGATGCAAGGTGGACTAGCGGGTTTGAGCATCTCGTGGAGAGACGCCGACAGGCATAACTTATATAGGAGGCACTGGCCAAGCGTGGAGATGCTTGCTATTATGGCCCTATGGAGGGGGCTACCAATCTTTCTAAATATAAATAAGCTACACGGTAGGTATAGTCTGCATGAATGGGAACAGTTGTCGCCATACACTTTTATGTATTCCCTGTTCCTTGGGCTCAGGTGATGAATGAGAAGCTGACTCATTGTTGCGAGCTAATGGAGCTGCTCAGCCACCACCTAGAAGACAAGCACCACGTTCGGCTGGAGGTCATGATCATTGTTTTGATCATGGTCGAGGTGAGAAGTTTGGAGCACCTTATTTCTCATAGACCCGTTTCAAAGTTCAGTCTAGCCACTATGCTCACTATTGTCATCCGAGATATGACATCCGTGCCGTACTAATGGTTGCCTGGTAGTGTCCGATGAAGGAGCAAGTTGAAGGAGCACCCAAGCGGATGATGCAAGGCCTATACATTTGAGGCGTTGGTACAATGCAACGCACAAATTGAATACAACAATTGTGTTATCTTTTGTTCCTAACTCGCACCCAATCATTCTGCTGGCACACAACGGCTCTAAAGCCCTTTGATGGAGAGGATTTTATTGAGGGGTTTATGTGTGTTGTTGCTCCATCCCGATTAAAGCCATGTGCTGCTTTCCCAAACAGTTGTTGTAACCAATTGTTCAGCTAGCTAAATGAAAATTGTTCAGTTTACAACTTTGAAAATCAACAGTGTCCTCACTTTTGCTTTCATTTTTCCAAGTGCCAGAGAAAGGGGATGTGACAAAACTATCCCTTTCTTCTTTTTCAGGTGGTGTTTGAATGCTTACATTATGCAGCAAAGTTCTTTTAGCCATCGTAATCTGTTGACAAGTAGTGCATGCACATCCCTGTCGCATGAAAAATTAAAATAGTACATATGTTTCTCCATAGAAACTGATATTACATTGGGTCGCTGTGCCTTTTGTGCTGTGCATACATGTTGCTACCAGCTACATAGTTGACTGTCTTTTTAGGTTATCACAAAAATAAAATACATACTTTTTTTTCAAACATGTTTGTGAAATTCATACCTGCCAACCTGCAGACTTTTAAATTCGTAAAACCCCTGCAGCCGCAAAGGGGGGGGGGTGCATTTATATGTGGGTGAAAGGCGAAGTTGCCATCAAATACTAAGCATAGAAACTTGTGTTCAGACCTTAAAGATTGGTATATTTTTGACATACAACAATGGATCAGAAAATGCTTTGCTGCAGTCTTGCCAGCAGAAAATGTAAAGCCAGGGGCTGCAAACAATGTAACTAAAACAATGTTTTTAATTCTTAAAAAAAAAAAAAAGTTATTACAAATTTTGCGCTGTTCTCCAGTAATCGAGGAAAGCCAGGCCCCCCCCCCCCCCCCCCCCCCCCCCTCTGTGCACGCCTATGAATGGAGTAGAGAATTAGCTGAGTGTACATTTTGAGATGTTAGTTTATTAGTTGAGTACAAGTCATTACAGAAGACTTGGTATTGTAGTCGTAATACGAAAATGCTCACTTGTTAAAAAAGTTTAAAAAAAAGAAGAAAAAAAGCTGCCATGGAGACATTGTCACTTATATAATCCTAAAAGCTTTTGAAATGTCAATAGGTAAAATAGTTACATAATTCTTTTTAAGAATCTCAACAGTGCACCGACGTGCACAAACAGTTGCCACTATTTTTTTAAAGAATCTCAACAACACACAGATGCACGCAAAAATATTTGCTGCCATCTGGCAGCAAGCTTTGGTAGAGTCCAACGTGCTTCTTTTTTATGGTCATACAGTGCACAAACATTTACGCATGAATTGGAAAAATAACACACAACTGCCTTCAGATAAGCGCAAGCAGAACCCTGAAGAAGCAATTGCAACACTACACAGATCCACTGGTATGAGATTCAGGCTGCACTGGTACGGTCAGTCCACTGCGAAATGATAGATGCGCACATGATTATGAGAAGCCAGTAAATGCAAGTATTTGGCATGGGGTGGATGCAGCTTGCAAGCCAGGTATTTGTGCCCTAGAAGTTTGTAGCGTAATCACTTGGAAGCTCTCTTGCAGATCCTCTCCGCCACTGTATTCAGCTCCTCAATTCCGTCCGAGATGTCCTGCAAGTCTTGTTTCAGTTTCCGAGCAGGTGTCCCTGGCGTGCAACTGCCGAAGGATTGGAAACGTCCAACAGTGCTACACATTTCAAAAAGTAATGTGGCATCTGCTCAGGGTGGAGAACAAATATCTCAATGATATAGATTGTGATCTAAATCACACTGGTTTCACTATAAGGACTTAAGTTTAACCTTTCCGGCAAAAATAATCCAGAAGATATATTGTTTATTTACCATTTGCCTATCATTTGATTCTGTTATGTGCCGAAGCTTGACTTAACATCGATTATAATCCATTTCATCTAAATACCAAGTGCCATCAGTGATATAAGCCAACAAGGCAAATCAAGCTCTTTGGAAAGAGCTGGATCACGGCAGGCATTTTTCATGTTCCTACTCACGCGTTGATGCCAACGATTTCAAGCAAGCGTGAGGAATGCGTCGTGACATTTTGCTTTCAGTCTGTGCGTTTGTGTTGCAACAAGCTTTGGGCCCCGCCCAGACTTACAATGAAAAAGTATAGTGGGGTCATTTTGTCTTGCATAATTGTTCCGTCTGCTCTTGGAAACCATGCTACCACGTCGTAACACAACACATTTTTAAAAAAAATTTGCTGGGACTATGATTTGGACGCTGTGCTCGAGATGATGACAAAATGGTCGGAAGCTGTTTCATGAGGGGACTCGAGAGTTTGAATCCCGGTGCCATCAAATTTGGTCTTTTGGCGGCTTTCTAACTATAGTATATTCTCATTCGATCGTACAATGCATTCATCCGCATATTTTGTCTTTAAAGAGCATGAAAAGACAATGAAAATGACACAAGATTTTCATGCGTAAAAGCTCCAGTGACCCATGTTTTGACTAGTTGAGAGATTGCAAAAAATGAAACATGACTTAATAAAAAAACGAAAAAAAACCCCCAAAGAACTAGCTGTTTCTGTTGCAATAAGGCGTACAATATTGTTTACAAGAATAAAAAGTTGTGAATTAGGCTGTATGAATGTGACCAAATTTACTGTGAATGTACTGTGAATTTCTCTTTGCATGCTTTTCAGCGATTTAGGGCATTGAAGGAAGATGCAAGTAATATTAAAAAGCAAAGTGATGTCCATACCTTCTCGGTGTGCGTTGCCTCCTGGCACTCTTGTAGCCGGGAGTCCTCGGACTGGGCGTCTCAATGCCGAATGGGGTGTACAACTTCACGGGTGTCTGACACCTCAGCGGAGAGTAGGACTTGGGCAGACGATACCTGGTCCGAGTTTGCCTGCCCTGCAGGCATTTCTGCAACAGAACGCGAGCTCTTTTCTTAAGAACACGTTGCTTTGAAAGACTGTTCAGGCACCAGGAAGTACCACGGGGCTTTCGCTGAATGACGTCTCGTCGTAAAGGCTGCAATTCCCACCTTTTCCTAGCTCAAAACAACAAGCCTTACAGAATCGCTTACAAAAAAATGCATATTAGGTTCTAAGCAGGGCACGCTTTTAACAAGAAAACTCCACCGCTCTTTCATCAATTCATAACCGTAAAAAAAAAAAAAAAATGCGTTTTTTTTTTTTTGTTCTTAATGCTTTTACAATTCAAAATCTGCTCTGTGAGCTAGTGAGAAATATGCGTAAAGCCAAGTAAAGCTTAGGAAGACCGAATAATGGATCATAGATGACAGCTTTACCCACGTGTCATCGGAAACCGGTAGGGACAACGCCCAAGGGGTGCAAGACCCCTAAAGATATTTTTCTACAATTTCGGATCGGATAAGATCTTGCCCGTTTCACAGATGGATCTGGATAATAACGCGGAGAGGTTAAAACTCACGTTGGAGATGTTTTCAACTGCTGATTTGACGTTGGACAAGGTTTGGCGTGCTGTGCTCTTCACCTCCCTGAGCGCGTAAAAGGCTGTTCCCATCGAGCGGTTGATCTTGGTCCGGTTCTCCTTTCGTAGCTTTCTGAAGCTCTCCCTCGTTTTCTCGCGCAGGCTTCTTTTAGAAGCGTTCGTTTCTGAAGTTTGGGATGACATTTCTTCAAATGACGCGCTCGCCCAACAGTAACCGGATTCCAGCCAACGATCAAAATGTGACGTCATCTACTCTCGCCAGAAAGCCGCATTTTTATTTATTTTTATCGCTTCTTTAATGTAAACGGAACTGTTAATATTTAAAGTAACGATGAATAATCTTAAAATACGATAAAATTTGCCCCGCTAACTTGTCCTTACAGACTGTACGGTGCACCTTACTCTCGTTAACAGGCATCATCTGTGTTTTAGTTTTGTTATTGTCAAAGATGGCCTCTGCTGGTGGTTATACGTTGGAAGGTATTGTGAGTTTTAATTGCCTCTCAATCCAATTAGCTGACCCAATTTACTCCTAAAAGCTATGTAGATTATGTGGATCGATAGTGTGGGCACGGGTACCTACTGGGTTTCACGGGCTCGGTAAATACTGTCGCGATCGGCTCTGAGCTTACGTGGTCCAAATGTGTTGGCAGCGTCAAGCTTGTTATGAAGAGAACATAAACAAAATAAATACAAATATTCGGAGCAGTTAAAGAGACACTTGACGCAGCGAGCGTCGTGTCATCAAAATATTGTGAGGGGGGTTTCGTCTCAAGATGGTTCCTCAGTTGCGCATTAGTATTGTCTTTCGATGTCGAATAAACTGACGGCAACGTAGATTTTGTTTGAGACTTCCTCACCGATTCGTCCGAGTGACATTTCTGCAAGACGCGCTACATTCTTATGTCGTTATCAGCATAGTAACATCGCTCGTCTTGCAGCTTGGCGGCGCGTTGTATGTCATATTATCATTCCTCGAAGTGACACAATCCTTAGTCAAAACTGGTACTAAACACGCTACAAGTTCTGACGAGTCTTTTGATAAGTGCTCTGATCGGCTTCCCACTGGCCATGCTAGGCAACCTTTTCCTCGTGATGTAAAGGGATGTAAGAATACGTGCACATTTCAAGCATTTTTTTTTCTTCAATTTGTTGTTTTATCTAAGATCTAAGGAAACAAGCCCGGCACCTTGAGAATGAAATCGACCTGAAGCTTGTTTCCTTCAGCAAGTTGGGCACGGGCCTTGGCTCTCGAGATGTCAAGAGCGACGGGTGAGTGGACTTTTTTTTATCTTTAAGGTGACTTCATCAGCAATGTTCAGCAAAATTCGTCAGCAGGCTTTATCAGCAATCTACCCATACGGCACCAATGTGCTGCGTAGGTTTCACTTAGAATCGATAGAATTAAAATTTTGAAATAGTGTCGTTTTGCTTAACTTGGCACGCTTTTGGTTTTCCAATGTTCTGACATTGTACACTGTTTTCCGACGGGCGGAGGTAGCCCGTCAACCGTCCCTGGATCATTTAACAAATACCGTGGCTAGGGTTCCGTCCAGACGGAACCATAGTCACCACTAGAGTTCCGTCCAGCCAGAACTGAGAGTCGCCGCAAACTTGATGGCAGTTTTGGACAGCGCATGTATCACTGGCGTGCGTGTTAAACCCCCCCCCCCCCCTTGCTGCCTGCGTTCACACCACTTCGCGGCGACAATCTGCGGCTGCTCATCACAAAAATATTAACCCACTTGCCCCCCCCCCCCCGCATGCTGCTTTGCAGCGGCCCGCGGGTGGCCCAACCCTCGCTGTCCTCCATCGCTCCCCCTGAAAGGGAGTCCCATACCATTTAGTTCAGCAGCATTTTGCCCACAACATTTGTTTTTGGAGCGCAGCTCTTGGGCGCCTGTTTCCGGGTTTCGCGGCATTGACGTGGCCATCGGCCTAACCACGGTAGATTTAGCGGGAAAATTGTTGTCACATAACCTCAACACTAGTTCAATTCCCTGCTAAATTTAGTGGGGAAAATTACATCACATGGCTTGGTGTCACGTCACCAATGGACAAATTCAGTTTCTCTGCTAGCGAAAAAATTGACGTCACCTGACCCCAACAGCAATTCAATTCCCCGCTAAATTTAGTGGGGAATTAAATTGCTGTAAAGGTCACGTGGCATCAATTTCTCGGCTAAATTTAGTTGAGAAACTGTGGGAGGAGGGAAGGGTATCAAGGAGGAGGAGGTGCATACCCTCCCCTCCATTTCCTCTCCTCCTCAAGAGCTGCATTCTAATTTCACGTTACAGAGATTTGTAAACATCTTTATTATTTTTCAGTGGTAATTGTAAAAAAGAAATCTGTAAATATTGCCAAATGTTCAACAAAAAAAAGAGCAGTATGCCCACTTTCTGGATTGAATTTGGGTCTGCTCCTCGTGAAGCGGATACCTTTCCACTGAGCCCCTAAACCGCTACAGTGCCACCACTACTGCACCTGCTATTTTTCCATCTGGACGGAACTCTGCTAGGCCTGCTATCGTTCCGTCTGGACGGAACTCTACCGCATCCGATATCGTTCCTTCTAGACAAAACTCTAGACACTCCGTTTAGCAAATCAGTGTGCATACTAAGAGCTTAACTCTGTTATAATGAACTCGAAGCCTAAATATTGGCAAGGAATGGTGCAAAGCAGCAAAGGTTCAGACCTCGGAAATAGATGTATCCAGGGGTCTTGCACCCTGAACTCTAAAATGGAACCTCCACAGAATGTAGGCAGTCAGGCTGAAATCCCAGAGATTCCCATAGCCACTGCTGTTGCAAAAAAAAAAATGTGGGCGTGGCTCACTTGGGTCAAGTCATTATTCTGGGGCAGACTTAAAGATTGCAGTGTCAAATAATAGGTGTAACAAGTAACCAACTGTAATGTGGGAAACAGACAAAACAGACCAGTCACCTAGCTGTGTTTGGAGATTTACGTTTGTCCTTTGTCCCTCTTGTTCCCCTTCACCAGGGATTATTTTCATCATTCTTGTCCAGCTCGCTTGCACCTTTGTATTTAATTGCATTATAATTACAACCTTAAATCGCAAGCTTCACTCTTGTTGGTGTTAGGCTGGTGGCGGCTGATAAAACCCGTTTGCTCTACTGACTTCTAACCCCTGGTTAGCTCAGTTGGTAGAGCGATCCACCTGTAATGGAGAGGTCCCGGGTTCGATACCCGGACCAGGCGGATTTTTTCGGTCGCTCACCAGTCACCTAGCTGTGTTTAAAGATTTTCATTTGTCCTTTGTCCCTCTTGTTCCCCTTCTCCAGGGATTATTTTCATCATAAATAACACTTCTTTAAAAATCAATGACAGTTCTTTTCTTCTTTATTTGGGGGGGGAGGGGGGAGGGGGGAGGGGAGGGGAGTCGGTTGGTCAGTATGTTCCTTGCAGGAGTTTCATGAATTCTCACTTTTTATTTTCGGCACTTGACCCAAGTGAGCTTGTCAGCCAAGTTGCTGACAAACCTTGATTTATCTTATTCTAGGGAAATTCCAATTTATATAAAACAAACTGCTCAAAGGCAAAAAAAAAAAAAAAAAAGACTGGTGAGATAGTTCCTTTTGTGAGTGTTATTTCTATGTGGTTTCATAATGGTTATACTATAATCAAGCAGAGTGCCAATGTGGCAGTCCTGCCGCTTGCTTGTGCCGACCTAAACCATTCCCTCCCTCTCTTCCCAGCTTGGACACAGCTCCCCTTCTGAGCAGTGACCACATGTTTGAGACTATGACCCTGGAGATTGAACAGCTCCTCTCAAAGGTGAGGTCCAGTGAAGGCACGAAGTGTCTTGGTGTCTGAGCATTCTCGTGCCGTCATGTTCACTCGCGCTTCCACCTGACCGGAACATGTCCACTCCTGAGCCGAAAGTGCAGTGCAAGCCACATGGTCAATGGAGCAGTTATATGTCCATCCCCGCTCACGTTCACGTGCTTAAAGGGAGGCGGTTCATTGGTTCGGCGAGTGTAGGGATGAATGAGGTATGGGAGCTTGTGCCTGTAGCATCCGCCCGAGTCGAAGAGAAGCACTATGTGCAGTTGCTAAAAAGATGTCCATCACTTCCAGAGGCCCGCATCTATCGTTTTATCTGGGATAATGTGCGGTGACTTCGAGGCACTCGTTCGGAATTAACCTTTTGCCGTGGTAGCACCAACGGGATTGGTCAACCGTGCCACCGCCGGCCGCGAGGCCGTGCCCTTTGTGCTTGCGCCAAACGGGGGCCATTCCTCAGCACGCTTTTCCCTCGCGCAGCTGGGGGACGTGAACGACCAGATGTCCCAGGGCCAGCAGCTCCCGTTTGGGCAGCACGCCCCAGGGGGCGCCACGGTGGTACACACCCTGCAGCGGCACAGAGACATCCTGCAGGACTATGCCCGGGAGTTCCAGAAGACGCGCGCCAACGTCCAGGCACAACGCCAGCGGGACCTCCTGCTCGGCTCGGTGCGCAAGGACATAGAGTGAGTGCGCTCACCTCTCTCCCTCCCTTTCTCGCGTGTCTTTTCCTTCTAGCTCCAACCAGTCGGCAAGCCATAGTCGAGGCTGCTGTTGCAGTTCAATTACACGCCCGTGGTGAGTTGGTAGGCGGTGGATCGGTGACCGAGCGTGTTAATGCGCCCCGGCTCTGACCCCTTGGAGCGAAATTTCGCACTGTAGAACTCGGGAATCCTGGGATCAATCGATACCGCCTAGAAGGCGAGGCCTGCGCACGACCTTGTCGTCAGTGGATCTTTGACGCACCCCAAGCGACAAACAAGCTAAAGGACGAGCGTCGTACCAGCGTGCAGTCGTGTATCACTACTGTGTGATGCACATCAAAGATTCTGGGTTGGCAGTTCTACTGCACTGGCTAAATTTCTTGTGCGCAGCGGAGACGCCAGATGCTCATTGAGACTGACTGACTCGCCGCCGTGTAAAAGTACATGCAAAGCAATTACTATTGCGAGTTCAAACTGCCACAATTTACCGTTTCAGAAATCCCGAGAGTCTGCGCGTGAGGCGTGGAACAAATTGTGGAGACGTCTCGTATCAGATGCTCCCTCTTGCTCTCACAGCATCCTTCACAGGATACTGGAGGGAGGGGTTTGCTTGCCTGCCCTCACCTGCTCATTACAAAAGAAAAAAAGAAAGCACTTAAGCCTGCTTACGTGTAGTAATGCAAAAGTATTCCCGCTGGTGAAATGTCTTGGAGTTACGTTTCTAGACATTTTAAAGTTGTTTCTGCCGGTATTGTATTCAGTGTGCTGCCGTAGATGTAGGCACTGCTGCTGAGGTCGAGGCCGTAGATGTAGACGTGGTCACCTCACAGTCCATCGCACGAAGCACACGACGAGCACAGATGAAGTTCGAAGCGCAACTGACGCGCCGGAGGCAGCGCGCCAGATCTTCCTTTTGCACACGGTGCTCCGGCGGTGACGTCACGCTCCCCCACTGCGCAGGCGTGGCTCCCCTGCCGGCTTCACGGCTTCCGTGGCAAAGCATCTGCGTTGCTATGCTTTTCTTTGTGTTTTATTTCTGAGTCGCGTCCACTTTGACCTTGAGCGGCGCGTGCTTGATAACATTTCTATGGCCATCTTTTGGACAAAACGCCGGCGATGCCTTTTCTCGTAATGGGACATATAAGGCTTTCGCCTTAATAAAGGGCGATTCACAGACTTGCGCCAGTTACGACCGAGTGCGACTGCAACGGCCTGCGACGTACGGGTTGCCGTGGCAACAGGTGTCGGCTTCAACACAACTGGTTCTTAAACCGCCTTGTTGGAACCGATGCGGCTGTTGCCGTAGCAACCCGTACGTTGCAAGCCGTTGCAGTCTCACTTGGTTGGACTCGCGCCGGTGTGTGTATCGACCTTAAGCTTTCGTAATGAGCAGTTACAAATATCTTTTGTGGCCAGCGCTGCTTCTTTTGCAAAAGGTTTATTGTTTCTGCCTGCACTGGGGGTGGCAGGGTGATGTCGCAACTGAATAACGCGAGATGACAACTAGTGTTCATATTTAATTTATCCTCTGCGTTTCTCTGCAGAATAAATTGGCCAATGTTTTCTCCAGTCGAAGTTGTGGCTTCTTGGCCCGAACAGCACAATTTAAGGGAGGGACAACATAATCTGGCTTAGTTTGTAGTTTCTGATATTAGAATCTTGAGTTTGGTAGGTTCATAAAACTTGGGAGGCATATTTTGTTTTTATACACCTACTGGGTGTTTCAAGGAGCGGCCAGGCTCTTTAAATCGACCGCAAAATTTGGTTTCTTAACCTATTGCGCTACGACTTTGTGCAGCGTTGCCCACAGATGGTGCATTTTTTTTGTAAAATTTGCAAAGAGCAAACTTTCCTGAGCAAAAACTAAAGAAAGAATAAGGCTTAGCTCCTATGGAAATGCAGCGAAGCCACCGGTCTTCAAACAACACTGCGCCGTTTCACACGGGAGACAAGAGATGGCGCAAGCGGTCGCAACACCAACTGCCACCAACGAACGACCATACAGCGCCGAGGGCCGGCGTCTTTCGCAGACAATCCTTTCGACTCAAAAGCGGCGCAAGCCTTTTTGATATCGGTTACCAATGTATTATTTTATCATCCTTACTAATAAAACATTGAATGGACACATAATGAATTAAAACAATGGTTTGTCTCGGGACATTTTGACAGTCTTTTCGGGGTACTGATGACGTCTGCTTTGCGGTTCCTTGTTGTTACCGCGCCTGTTTTTGGTTCCGCAACTGTCGCCGCTGAGGGACGCGCGCTGCTATTTGCTCACCTCGAAAGTGCGGCGAATAGCGGCGCCGCGCTTTCGAGGCGCACAGTGCGCTCAAAAGCAGGGGAATGTATGCCGGGGCGTGTGGAACGTCTCCTTTCCTGCATGGCATTTGTGTCTGCTCCCCACGTGATCGGATCATGGCAAATACTGTCGAAACCGGTTATAACGAAGTCAACGGGAAACGGAAATCACTTCGCTACATCTGCAATTTCGTTATAACCGACTTCGGTCATAACGAAGTGCAAAAAAGAATGGGAAATCGTGATCGCTTCGCTGTAGCCGCTATTTCGTTATAACCGATTTCGTTATAACCGGTCTCGACAGTAGCGGCACGTGGAAAACAGACACGCAACCCTGGCTCCCATAGGGAGCCTATACAGGAACTTTAGCTGAAACAAAGTACCCTGCCTCAATGGTCCATCTGGTCTTGCATGGTTTTTCCCGCCATCTCTCGTTTCGCGCTGTCGTCTCTTGTCGTCTAATGATTCTCGTCTTGAACCTTTTTAAAAAAAATTTCAACGATAGACGCGGGCGTGTCCGGACACTTCAACGGTAGCGTGCCCTTTACCAGGCCAGCCATGCCATCATGCTGTGAAACGAAGCCACGTTTTTGTGTGGCGGGAGTAACTTTGTGCACTGAAGCACTCGCCCCTGAAAGCAACGGCCGTGAGAAAACTATATTTGGTTCCTGCCGTGGTCGCGCGACGTTGGGTGTTGCCGTCCCCACGTTGCTGGAGATATGGCGCTTTCTAAACTGAAATTTAAGGACTGGCGCATGTTCATCAACATTCCTGCTCTTGTTTAAATCATACGCTACTACAAGAATCCCTCCTGAACTCAAAGACTGCTGTGTCGAAGTAGTATTGATTATCTAGGTTTCCCTCTGTAGGCTTTCTTTCGAAAGGGACCCCAATACGTGACAAATCTGCCACGAAAGAAAGTTGGTGAAAAGAATTGAGCTAAAGCAAAGAAGGCAATGTTTGCACACTGAACCCGCACAGCGCACTTGTTTGTCTCGAGTTCAGTCATTGTGCAAAGCACTCTAAGAACTTTTTGACCCTGGCTCGCGATGTCTTGCATCAATGCGCTCAGGTTCTTTTTTTTTTTTTTTTTTTTTTCTTTTTGGTGTTTAGCTTGTATCTTGTTTGCCGGCCTGGCAAATACGTGCCGCTGGACTGTATTTTGTCGTATGCTGGACAGTCACATTTTGCATACAAGTTTGGGACCAATTGGCGGTAGAGTGGAGTGGCATAGTGGCATGGTTTCGGTTTCGATTGAACAGCCATCTCCGCTCACGCAACGAAGCACGTGCAACTGCAAGCCTGCTGAAGTTGCCCTCACGTGCATGCAAACATGATTGCGCGACAGAAGCACCAGCCGGGACGCTTGCAACTCATTGTTTTACGTTTGCTTACTTCTGACGAAAATCTGGCATGTCGGGAACCAGTAAAACGGTGGTATGCGATTTTTCTGAATTTCTCTGCAACGCCTAGCACTGTAAACTTGTGCGATGTCTCAATGTCTTTTTGGAGGCATTGAAAGTGGACATTCATTCTAGTCAAAGGCAAAGCGAGGCTTGCAGCAGCCTTGCAGAAAGTTTCGGAAAGCAAAAAGAAAAGCACCCGCTAGTCGTAGTGCACCTTTGTCTTGTGTACAATTTTGCATTGCACTGCAGTAGTTAAGTGTTTTATCAATCGGAGACTGCTTCCATTTATTATGTTATATAACTAGTCAACCTAGGCTGTGATATTTACTACTAAGCTGGATATTGTAAGTAAATTTTAATATGGGCAGTTTGATTCTTATTTATTTATTGCTGGTACACATACATATATTGTCACGAATGACAGTGTATAAAGCGACGAAAACTGAAACCAACTTAACGTTTAAAAGGGCAAACTTGTGCACTTGAGTGTCGATGGCGGCGTAGCAGCGGGATTGAACGCTAGGGCGAGACTGACTCCGGCTTGCCACGCAGCGCCCCTTTTGTACATGCGTGGTCTTCTGGAACAATTGACGTAGAAGGTTCGGCGCGTAGAACATTCTAACCTCAAATCAGCAACACTGTTCTCGAATTTATCAGAACATCACATTACAGTCAACAAAAATGCATACCCGCGGCCAGGAATCAAACCCAGGCTTTCTGCGTGGAAGGCAAGCGCGATAACTGTTAGGCCACGAGTGCTTTATTTATTTATTTATTTTTTATTTCAAATTGAGCTTTATGTACATGTTTAAAAATTCGTTCATACTTCCTCATGCTATCAAAGTGCTGTTCGGCCACGAGTGCGCTGCCTACTTGGTCAGGTGCGCACGCGGCAATATGTAATATTTAACTGAAGCGTTGCAAAATGTGTCCTGTCATTGGCATTTCAGTTACATGTTGAAAGACTCCCAGGTGGTCTAACTTGACGATTATTTGTTTGTTGAAGTGAGCAAAGTGCCCTTCGTTTGTCCAGCACTTAAAGCAATTATCTTTTTTCCTAAGAATATCTGCTCCAAAAGCCACCTTTGCTGCTCCAAAACACTGTTTTGGCTGCCCCGAAAGGTGCTCCAAAACGGCTTAGGCCAATCACATCACTGATATGCTCATTTCTGCCCTAGTCTCAGGTTTATTCAACATGATTATTAAGGTATGTTCCGTTTAAGGCTCTCATGTTTTACGAGGGTCACAATTGGCTGACAGCGTCAAGTGGAGTGTCAT